CTCCTGCCCTGATGGAACCAATTCTCCCTAAACCTTATGCCCGAAGCCCTCTCACCCCCACCTACCGCAGGGCTCCATCGAGTGCTGATGGGTGTGCCAGCCAGATTCACCACCGACCTACTGCCTGCCAGATTCAACTAGAGACTTTCATACAACCTGACCCCAACACTGAAACCCCCACCAACCCACCGCAGGGCTCCATCGGGTGCTGATGGGTGTGCCGGCCAGATTCACCACTGACCCACTGCCTGCCACGGCTGCTGCCCACCCCTCCGGCCCCACCAGCTCCACTCCCTCCGTGCCTGGGGTGGTGGGAGGGAAATGGAAGGAACGGGAAGCAGGATCGGTTGCAGAGAGATGAAGGGGTGCCTGCCTGCCACAGCTGCTGCCCAGTGCCCAACCCTCCGGCCCCACCATCTCCCACTCCCTCCGTGGCAGGGAGGTGGTGGGAGGGGAGAAGAACTCAAGGGAGAAATGAAGGGCAGGCAGAAGAGAAAGCACTGCCTGCCACAGCTGCTGCCCACCCCTCCAGCCCCACCATCTCCACTCCCTCCGTGACAGAGAGGTGGTGGGAGGAGTAGAGAGTAGGAGCAATCAGGGAGGGAAAGGAGGGACGAGAAGGAAGAGGGGCTGGCCCGATAGAGGCCAGACACCTGCGAACACCTGTGCACACCTGCTAACCTTCACTGCAACTACCTGGCTACCAACAAATGCTTTCAAAGACCCTCTCAAACACTTGAGCACCTTCTCATACGACACCACCTCCTTCAAACACCTTCTCATACGACACCACCTCCTTCAAACACCTTCTCATACGACACCACCTCCTTCAAACACCTTCTCATACGACACCACCTCCTTCAAACACCTTCTCATACGACACCACCTCCTTCAAGCACCTTCTTTTACGACACCACCTCCTTCAAACACCTTCTCATACGACACCACCTCCTTCAAACACCTTCTCATACGACACCACCTCCTTCAAACACCTTCTCATACGACACCACCTCCTTCAAGCACCTTCTCATACGACACCACCTCCTTCAAACACCTTCTCATACGACACCAAATCCTTCAAATAACTTCAATCACCTTTAAATAACTGTCCACACTCCTCACCTGCAAAGACCTCCTTGGCCCGATCCACTGAGCGCGTCAGAACTTTCACTTGCTCGCCCTCTGCAATAGAAAGAGGGGAGGGATGGTCGGCGATTCAAGAGCATTGGGGAGAGTGTTCAGCGGTTGTGATGGGTTGGGATGAGAATGGAGAATGGCAGTAAGTAATGGACAAGTGACCTCCTTGGCCCAATCCACTGAGTGCATCAGAACTCTCACTTGGTAGGCCTCTACCACAGAAATTTGGGAGGGGTATGGGGAAAAAGGAAGCCGTGCCGTGGCCAACCAATCTCCAGGCTACCCAATCCAATGCATGCATGGGCGGGGGAAAAAAGAGATGAGAGCGTCTGCAATGGTTGGGATAGGTTGAGACTGGTATAGAGAGGAGCAGCGGAAATAGAACACATGTTGCAAACTGCAACTACCAAGTTGTGTATGGTGATCCACGTTATAAGCACCTGCTAGGAGAGCTTTAACGAGTGCAGAGCCAACGAATCCAGTGCCTCCAACCACTGCCACTGGGCCGACCTGGAGGGCGGCCAGAAATAAAACAGAACACCACCTGAAGGTCATGCAACAATCACTGAGCTCGATTCGATGGTCATGCAATGCAACAAGCACTAAGATTCGTGTTTCCAAAAAAAAAAATGGCAGGTGGAGGACGGGACAGTGGATGTGCGGAAAATGGGCGTTTGTTGTCATAGCAAAGGAGAGCACGAGCGAAAGAAAAAGGGGGAAAAAAAATCATGAACGTGCAGAAATTGCTCAGCTCAACTTATCTGTGACACCATGCATTTTGAGTCGACTCAAAAGCAAAAAATCATGAACGTGCAGAAATTGCTCAGCTCAACTTATCTGTGACACCATTCATCGACTCCCGCTCACCTTTGCTGCATCGGAGCCCGTGGCTTGAGCTGACACAGTCAAACGGCGAGCGTTGCAAGGCACCAACCCGAACCCGAACCAGGCGGGTTGAGAGGGGGTGAATACACATCTCTCTACTCGCTGTGACACCATGCGCCGACTCCCACTCACCTTTGCTGCATCCGAGCCCGCGGCTTGAGCTGACACGGACAAGCGGCGTGCTTTGCAAGGCGCCAACCCGAACGAGGCGGGCTGAGAGGACGTGCTTGCTGGACGGGCCGCAGAAAAGGGACTCTGCAAAGAAGGATGAAGGATACAGGGAAAAAAATACGAGAGAAAAAGAGAGGGAGAGAGGGAAACGGCAAGGGAAAAGGTTGAGAGAGAAAATGGCCGCTGGATAGGGGTCTGTGGCGCTGTCAGAAAAGGAAGGCCGGGGAAGTGAGGATGGACGCTGGGGAAGCAGCATAGAGGGATCCGTGACTCTTCAGAGGTAGAGAGAGAACGCTTCCATGTGTCATTGAGAGGTAAAGCAGATGCAACAATTCCATGTCGCGCTTGTGAAAGGGATAAAAGCGAGGCACGAGAGAGGGAAGAGGGGAGACGTCTGGACTGGACGACAGTGGGTGATGTGTGGATGCAACAAGGGATGCCATCTCCCTGTATAGTGACGACAGTGCGTGAAGGCAGAAATTCTGGTGAGGTGATGAATGGAGAGTGATAACATTGCTCATTCGTGCTGAAACTACTGCAGAATTGTTAATTTATGGGTTGATATTACTGTAGGTGAGCTTATGCTGATGCTGAAGGGTGATAAGGCATGGAAGAATAATTCGTTAGCGGGTTGACTTCACGGCGTGAAGTTATTTGGGTGAGATTAATGACTCCTTGCGAGGCATACATGGTGAGGGATGCGACGAATGCGACAGGCTTGGCGAGAGATGCGACGAACGCAACGACAGGAGAGTGAGCAGGTGGGAATCACCTCAACAGAGGAGACAATGCTTCTTGATCCGGGATATTTCGCGACAGGAGTATGAGCGGTTGGGAAATTTCCCCACGAAGGGTATGAACGAGAGTGCGGGTGGGGATTACCTCAGCGGAGAGAACCAAGGAACGCGAAGAGCCAGAAAAGAACGGTGAACGGGACAATGGCCCGCTTTCTGATCGACTACTCGTTGCGACAATCGCCGATGGCGACGATGTCACAAGACGAGCTGCTGCCGATGCGTGAATGGCGGCCATTGCGGCTCGGTTGCTGCGGGCTGGTTTCAAAACTTGTGAAGGGAATGAGACGAATTGCCAAGCCCTCCCTGGTCGCGGGGGAAATGGATTGTCATTCTTGTGGGTTAGAACGGACTGTCTGAATAGGATAAGCGGTTAAATAGGATGCCGTACGTTTAAGAGCGGTTTTGGCTTATCACCGCTTAAAACCGCTAATTACCTGCCTGAACCATTGATGCATGAACTCGTGGAAGCAAGGGATAGGGATGACTGACAGATTTGACGGACGGACAACCTTGGGATTCCCAAAACCTGAGGCTCGGAGCGTTTCGGAAGGTGGTGGGTGAACCAGACGCTGGTTTGATGCTGAGGGGAATGCGCAAGCAATGTGGGCATGTCGAGCCTGATTGCGAGGCCTGGAATAGCTGAATTCTGTCAACCAATTGAGCTGGGCTTGCGTGGAGGAACCCGTGCCAAGAGATCTCACATGGATTTGCGTGACGGCATGGGCTGACGTGGACTACAATAGTAGTGTAAACATATGAAAATTGTGTGTTTGCGCTATTTAGTGGTTGAAAACATCATACCTTTTAATAGGTTAACGAGAAAGATATGAACGGGATATTCAGTGTATATTTGATACCTCACCAATTTTACGGCTTTTCTATCTTGGAACAAGGGCCTGTGAGATCTGTTTTTTCCGCGAGCACGGTGCACACTTGCCATTTCCTGAAATATTCCAGTTCTTTCGCCGTTCTTGGCCAAATTCGAGTTGTTCACCACAGCGAAGAACGGGATCTGATCTGACCCGTCTAGTCCTAAGTTGGCTGGCCTAAGCTTCGACTAAGTTTCATTCTTCTTAGTGCTCGAATCGCGATCCCGCTGTTGCTTCGAAGCTCCAGCCATGGCGGTCTCAGGAATGGGAGACGGTCGCATGCCCGGGGTGCGGATTCGCTTAGATTTGTCGGATTCCGTCGATCTTACAGTTCAACAGCACGCGTAGGATTGAATATTATTACCGTTTTGCTGAATTAGTTTCCCGCTCGTTCTGCTTTGTTCAGGGTGATCGGCTTTTCAATGAAGCGGCGACGGAGGAGAAAGGCGAACGCGCTCGTCTGGTACGTTGCTGATTTCCACGAATGACCGATGCAAATCGATCCATCTAACATTCGACTGATACATGAAAGCCGATCCGTTGTTTGGAACGATCTGCGGTCGTCGTTCAGCATTGCTGAGTTCGACCTGTCTTGCTTCGTTAACTCTCATCGCATCCCCCGACCACTTCCCTTCTCGATCCGTTTCTGGAACGATCGGCCCAACCGTCGTCGTTTCAGCGGTGTTGAATTCCACCAGTTTTGCTTCTCTAGCCCTCATCCCCATCCCCCTGTCCACGATCCCTTTTCTTTCTCCTCCTCGTCTCTTGCATTTATCGAGAATATCCGAGCCCTCCCACCACCCCCTCTTCCACTTCCATACCCCGTACCCCTTCCCCCACTTAACCCCTCCGATCCGATCAGTCGTCGTTAGTTGCGGTCGTGATTTTAACACCTCGCCAGTTCCCTCCTTTCCCCCACCCCCGTCCCCTCTCCCTTTCCCCCATCGTATCTCCCCGTGCCCCCGTCTGCTTTGTTCACCGGGATCTCATCAGTCGTTGTTCGTGGGCTTCTGGCGATTACTAATCTCGTCAAGCCGACTCTTTCCGTTCTTCCTGCCTCCCTTCCCCTCCCCCCTCCCCTCTTCTTTCCACCCGTTTCCCCCCCCCCAAAACCTTTCATCAGTCGTCATTCGTGGGCGCTATGGCCATCTCCGATCTCGTGAAGTCGACTCTCGGACCCAAAGGAATGGTGAGAGGGACCTGGGAATCTGCGAGACAAGGGAAGTAGATATAAGCTAACCAGAGAAATACACTCGATCAGGCCAAGGGGTTAGATCGACCAGGGTATTGGATTCGATTCGTCCAAGGGATAAAATTTGGAAAGACATGAGAATCAGAGCGAACAGGGGATGAGGATCTAATTTGGCCAGGGGATTCGGGCGACCAGGGTATTGATTCTGATTGGCTAGGAAACTAGTGCAATTTCGACCCCCTTTTTTTCTTGCCTTCATCGTGCCGCTATTTTCTCAACTACAGGACAAGATTCTGCAGTCCACCAGCCGTGGAGGCGGGCTCATGGTGACCAACGACGGAGCGACCATTCTCAAGGCTCTACACATTGACAACCCTGCCGCCAAAGTGCTCGTTGGTAAGTGTTACAGTGTTACCACCTCAGTTTCAATCCACCCTACCTTGGAATTGGTGGAGGCGGGCTCATGGTGACCAACGAAGGAGCGACCATTCTCAAGGCTCTACACATCGACAACCCCGCCGCCAAAGTGCTCGTTGGTCAGTATTTCCCAGCCTACGTCGTACAGAGAACGGATCTGCTCGATGACTTTTGAGTCGACTCAAAAGTCACCTGGGAGTGGATTCGCTCAATCACATCCCCATGATTTCATTGAAGTCGTTCGCTAGGAGATGAGCGTGTGGACATGCCATGCCCTGCCATGCGCCTCACCGCCGCCATTCTTAGAATGCTCCACTTGAACAGAGCTGCTGCCAAAGTCCTCGTCGGTTAGTATTACCCTGTAACCCTACCTTTTTTTTTTGGTGCCACTCGGCCTACCAGCCTCCAACGTCAGGACGAGGAGGTGGGCGGTGGCACGACGTCAGTGGTGGTGCTGGCAGGGGAACTGCTGAGAGTGGCGGAGAAGCTGGTTACCACATGTATCCGTTGTTTATTCCCTTTTTATCCCCGTTATTGGCATCTCCAGACATCTCCAAGGTGCAGGACGACGAGGTGGGCGACGGCACGACGTCAGTGGTGGTGCTGGCGGGGGAACTACTGAGAGAGGCGGAGAAACTGGTTACGGCGAGGATTCACCCCATGACCATCATTTCAGGTGGGTAGTAGGGAAATTACCATGAAAAAAATGAAATCGTTATGACTCTAGGCGAGGAATGGAGTGGTGGTGCCAGCAGGGGAGCTGCCGAGGGAGGTGGAGAAGCTGGTCACGGCGAGGATTCACCCCATGACCATCATTTCAGGTGGGTAGTAGGGAAATTACCATGAAAAGAATGAGAATCTTTATGACTCTCATGACCATGACCATCATGGCAGGTGAGAATCGGAGGTGTTCGAGGAGATTCAAAGAATAATCTCTAGGGTGTGGGAATGGGGTCGGGATTTGGTAAGGAACTGCTACAGGAGGGAGATGGGGAGAAGCTGGTTACGGCAAGGGCCCACCCTATGCTCGTAATTTCAGGTGGTGCTGCTCATGGTTTCAGGTGGGGAGTAGGGCAAGGAACCGGAGTTGCTGACTTGGGGGGTTTCAAATATTGATCTTCAGGGGTAACCCCACCCCCCCCCCCCCTCCCCCCCCTCTCCCCCCCATGTTGTTGCTGTTGTTGGTTTTTGTTTTTTGTTTTTTTCCTAATTATTGTCTGATGCGAGCCCATTTTCATTGCAACGTGCAGGTTACCGCATGGCCCTGGACTGTGCCCGGGAGGTGCTCATCAGCAAGAGCAGAGACAACAAGGACGACCCAGGTAAGCTAAGCCTGTCTCGGCTCTTAGCCGTTTCCTTCCATGCCTTGGTGTGATTGGTGTGGTGTGTGCTGAGAGAAAAGGTCGGCGCTGTCAAGCTTTGTACGGGTGCTGCTGTTTCCAGAGGCTCAGTGGCTGTGCGCTTGTGGATGGTGGTGAGTTGACTTTTGAGTCGACTCAAAAGTCAACTCGCTGTCAAGCTTTGTACGGGTGCGGTGCTGTTTCCAGAGGCTCAGTGGCTGTGCGCTTGTGGCAGAGCTTGCCTGCACACAGCAACCGTACAAAGCTTGTCAGCGCCGATCCCTCAGTGGCTGTGCGCTTGTGGATGGTGGTCGTTTGCTCTTCCTTCCCCTCGTTAAGAATCTTTGCAGAGCTTGCCTGCATCATCTGTCACATGCTAATGTCATCCCTGTATTTGCTAATTTTTTCTCGTTGCAGCCAAGTTTAGGGAGGACCTCCTGAGGATCGCCAAGACCACCCTGAGCTCCAAGATTCTCTCCCAGGACAAGGAGCACTTTGCCTCGCTCGCAGTGGATGCAGTGCTGCGTCTCAAGGGCAGCACCAACCTGGAGGCCATTCAGATCATTAAGAAGGCCGGTGGGGCTCTGTCGGACTCATACCTTGATGAAGGGTGAGTAACCCTGCCTTTTCCATGGTCTCTCCAGGTTTTTTTTTGGGTTTCTCTAGGTGTTTTTTTTGGGGGGGTGGGGGGCTTTATGAATGTTCGGGGTCTAGTGAACAGCAGTGGATGCAGTGCTGCGCCTCAACGGCAGCACCAACCAGGAGGCGATTCAGATCCGGTTTTTTTAGAGCGGGCGTGGCTCTGTCCGACTCGTACCTTGACAAAGGGTGGGTAAACTGGGTTTCTGTACGGTTTATCTAGGGTTTTCCCAGGGTTTGGGTTCTCATCTGCAGTGAGCAACGGTGGATGCGTCTCAAGGGGAGCACCAACCTGGAGGCCATTCAATCAAACATCCTTCATACCCCTTTCACCCTCTGACTCTCTGCCCCTTCTCTTATCCTCGCCCCCTGCAACCAACAACACCAGGTTTATCCTGGACAAGAAGATAGGGATGGGGCAGCCGAAGTGAATTGAGAACGCCAAGATTTTCCTGCTAACATGGTGATGGTCACGGGAAGGTGAAGGCCTACGGCGCCCGCGTGTGTGTGTGTGTGTCGAGAGTTTTTTGAAAATTTCTCAAAAACTCCCTGCACGGGAAGGTGAAGACCTACGGGGTGTTTTTGAGAATTCTCAAAAACTCCCTGCATGTAGTGAGTCGGTTTTTGAGTCGACTCAAAAACCGATCCACGGGGTGTTTTTGAGAATTCTCAAAAACACCCTGCAGCATCATGGTCACGGGAAGGTGAAGATCTACGGCGCCCGCGTGTGTGTCGACGGCATGGCGAAAGTGGCATGGCATGGGCCTAGGCCGCTCACATGCAAGCACCCCTGATTAATGAGACGACTCAAACCCCTCCTTCCCCCCACTCCCCTCCCCCTTTTCCCCGCCCCCTTCCCCCCCTCTCCCCCCTCCCCCCGACTCTCTCCCACACACCCCACAACAATAGGTTTATTTTGGACAAGAAGATAGGGGTGGGGCAGCCGAAGAGAATCGAGAACGCCAAGATTCTCGTCGCAAACACAGCCATGGACACTGATAAGGTGAAGATCTACGGCGCCCGCGTGCGCGTGGACGGCATGGCGAAGGTCGCCGAGATAGAAGCGGCCGAGAAGAACAAGATGCGGCAAAAGGTGGAGAAGATCATCGCGCACGGGATCAACTGCTTCATCAACCGGCAGCTGATTTACAACTTCCCGGAGGAGCTCTTTTCCGACGCAGGGGTGATGGCCATCGAGCACGCGGATTTCGAGGGGATTGAACGGCTGGCGCTGGTGACGGGTGGGGAGATTGCAAGCACGTTTGAGGACCCGGCTGGAGTGAAGCTGGGGCAGTGCAAGGTGATTGAGGAGATCATGATTGGGGAGGACCGCCTGATCCACTTCTCGGGGGTGGCGCTGGGAGAGGCGTGCACCATCGTGCTGCGCGGGGCCAGGTGAGGCACAGAGGGGCTTAGGGGGAGGGTTTAAGGATTAGGGTCAGGGATTGAAAAAGGTAGAAAGGATCAGGGCCTGCCAGATCGTTGCCTGATTCGCTTTTCCGCGCTGGCGCTGGGCGAGGCGTGCACCATCGTGCAGCGAGGCGCCAGGTGGGATTCAGAAGAGGTTCAGGGTCAATCATTTGGAATTCCCATGGTTACTCCACCCACCCCTCCCCCTTTTGCTCTTGATTATTTCCTCTCCTCCCCCACTCACGCCTTCCATCCTATTCTCCCCTTGTCTTGCCGTCCCTCTCAGTTCACACGTGTTGGATGAGGCAGAGCGGTCGCTGCATGATGCGCTGTGTGTGCTCACAGCTGCACTCACGTCAACCTTTCCCTACTATCCTACCCCCCTCGCCCCCCTCGCTTGCAGTTCACACGTGTTGGACGAGGCGGAGCGGTCGCTGCACGATGCGCTGTGTGTGCTCACAGCGACAGTTGCGGACAGCAGAGTGGTGTGGGGCGGGGGCTGGCCTGAAGTCATGATGGCGACTCGAGTTGATGACCTTGCTCGCCGCACACCGGGTGAGTTGACTGACAGCTGACTGAGTGTTAACTGACGTTGATTGACTGTTGACTGAGAATGAATTCTGTGTGGAATGGCGGAGGGAGCACTCAGGGAGGTCAGTGGCGGACAGCAGAGTGGTGTGGGGCGGGGGCTGGTCGGAAGTCATGATGGCCACGCGTGTTGAGGACCTTGCCGGCCACGCGTGTTGAGGACCTTGCCGGCCACGCGTGTTGAGGACCTTGCCGGCCACGCGTGTTGAGGACCTTGCCGGCCACGCGTGTTGAGGACCTTGCCCGCCACGCGTGTTGAGGACCTTGCCGGCCACGCGTGTTGAGGACCTTGCCCGCCACACACCGGGTGAGTTGGAGGGGTGATTGGCGGTTCACTGACTGTTGACTGACAGTTGATTGAAAATGCCATATGGACAGTTGACTGTTGACTGACAGTTGATTGGTGTCTCATATCATACCCCTCAACCTGCACTGCTCCGCCACTCCCTTCCCACCGCACCTGTCAGGCAAGCGTTCTACCCTGTGTGCCATCCCCACCTTTATCACCAACGCGTGTTTTTTTAGAATTCTCAAAAAACTTCCCACCGCGCCTGTCAGGCAAGCGTTCTGCTCAAGCGTTCTGCCCTGTGTGCCATCCCCACCTTTATCACCAACAACGCTGGGCTGGATAGTGCAGAGCTGGTGGCTCATACCCCGAACACACTCTCCCCCCATTCCCCTCCCTCTCCACCGTTCTCTCTCCCATTCCCAGGCAAGCGTGCCCTAGCAGTGGAAGCTTTTGTGTCGGGCCTCCGTGCCATCCCCACCATCATTGCTGACAACGCTGGGCTCGACAGTGCAGAGCTCGTAGCTCATATTCCCAACCCTCACTCCTCCTTCCCTCCCTCATTTTCCGTCCCTCTCGACCCTGTCTCCCCCATGCCCAGGCAAGCGCGCTCTAGCAGTGGAGGCATTCGCATCGGCCCTGCGTGCCATCCCCACCATTATCGCTGACAACGCTGGGCTCGACAGTGCAGAGCTGGTGGCTCAGCTGCGGGCGGCACACGCTGAGGAGAACAGCCGTGCTGGCATCGATGTTATCACGGGGCAGGTGAGAGAGAGAGAAAGGATTGCTTGTGCTTATCCCCTAGAAATACCCTTTCTGATCAATGACCCTTAGCTGATTGCTTGCCTGTTTCAATGAAGTGTTCATGGGGCGGCAACACTTCCGACGTGTTCTTTCCGTCTCGCTTGTCTTGTATTCATCTCTGTCCTTCCTTCGTTTTTCCACTCTCCCATGCATGTGCGTGACAGTCTGGCGACATGGAGGAGTGTGGGATCTACGAGTCACTCAAGGTGAAGCAGGCTGTGCTGATGTCAGCAACCGAGGCAGCGGAGATGATCCTGCGTGTGGATGACATCATCACCAACGCTCCTAGAAGGCGCGAGGAGCGGCTATGAGTCAACAGTGCTCTGTAGAGAGTTTCTTACTGTTGTGATCACACGTACAGTTACACAGGATGACAAAAAGGCTTCGCGAAAAATAAAGGATGCACATGTTTTTTTCTTGATGTTTTGACACCATAGGATGCCATTAGAGCAGCTCAAGCTTAGGCTGACTTGTTTGCAGAGGGTAGTAGTGAGCCTGGCTACTTTAAGGACAGTTTATGTCACATGGTGCCTCATCCATACCCAAAGCCATTTCCACTCCCCAACCTTCCCAGAGCAGCACCCATTCCCACAGCCGTAGAGCACTTGTTTGAAGGCTCGCTCGGAAATACATTCGTGAAATTACAGGGGTTCAGAACTGTTCTGGTCTTAAACAGCCCTTTTAACAGAGCTGCACCACGCACTCCCTCAGGTTGAAGCCTGGTACGGTATCATACTTCCAACAGAAGTACCCTGCACTTCCACCCCTCCCTGCTGTCAGAAGCACCAACTGACTCCGTCCACGCCCCTTCTCTCCATTCCTCAACAATCAGGTACCACACAGAAACATCTTCAAATGGATGGACCAGCTTTAACAGTCAGTCTTAGTTAAAAGTTCTCCCTTGTGTTGGTCCATCCACTCCTCAAATCGCAGCGGTTGGATCCCAAGGAACGGAAGATCAGATGTAACTTCCTTGAACCTTCCAGTGGTGTAGTATATGTGCATCCAATCACGGAAGCCCTCAGCCTGCCACCTGGCCGAGCCGCCTACAGCAATTGAACGCTCCATGGCCCCCTCCAATCCCAGATCGACGAATGTCAACTCCTTGCCGATTCTTTCGCCTATGATTCTCACTACGTCGTGCTGAGTCAGCAGATCTGGTCCCACTATCCGATACGCCCGACAATCGTGTGTCACGTCATCATCGCTCGCTAGAATCACGGCTGCCGCTTTACCGATGTCATCCAGAGCAACGGGAAGCGAGCAGGCACCAGGGTTACCACCAGCTCCGTACACTTTATCCTCGTTACAGATCGTCTCTCTGCTGCGCAGTACGTTCTCCATAAAATCACCGCACTCGAGCTGGGTCCAGGACAGGCCTAGGGTTTCGCCTGCGTGTCGCCTCGAGCTCTGCCATTGGCGGTGGAAAATGAACCTCTCCTCTATTTGAAACACGCCGCCTATAAGCACAACGCGTCGCACGCCGTGCGACTTGCCGGCCGTTAGGATCGAGTTGACGATTTCGTGACGGTTTTCTAGCTGCGGGGCGATAATCAGAGCGCGATCGACTCCGGAAAACGCGGCTGCGTGTGTAAGCGGATCCGCGACGTCGAAACCGCAGACGATCTCGATATTGGCAAGATTCGACACTATCGTCTCCTCATTAGCGACGGTTCCGGTGCCTTCTGGTTGTAAGAGATCATGAAGGTAATCCTCTTTTGTCTTGCTCGTCCCGCGAAACACGGAGCGAATGTGGACCTTATCGCTGAACTTGGCAAGAAGGTGACGAATTGTGGCTTTACCGACTCGAGAGGACGCCGTAACCACGGCAACTGCAATCTTCTGGGGAGGCTGTCCACCAGCGGCAGTTGCGGAGTCACTTCCGGCGTCAGGCGTAGCAGCAGCCATTGTTGGGCAGTGGTTGAGCCTGAATGCAAAAACCACCTTGGAAAAGGATCACTTGGATTGCCTGACGAAAATTGGTTATTCCCGCGCGAAAACTCTGTAACCAGATGAAGGACAGATGATGTGAGCTCGCCGCGAATTCACAGGGAAGAACGAAAATCGTGGTCCGAAAAGCTGTGACGAACGAAATGTTCGTCATGTAGATGACCCTGCCCTGACAGCCTCGTTCCCGCCAACCAGGGCGACCGCTCAATTTCAAATGTCCCCCCACAAACCCCCCCTTGGCGAAACTTTTCACACAACCCTAGCAAATTCGCAATCAATCGCATCCCTCCACCTGGACACTTACGACTTTCGCTAAGCCTCCTTCCCGCTCCACCCGACATCCCTCCGCCGTTGGTATTCCCCGTCAAATCCGCACAGCCACTGATAAAACCATGAGATTTTTCGCAATATAGAGTGCAGGAGCTGAAACCCCGGAGCGTCGGATGATCGCAAGAGTTTATTCTGCTTGAGGGAAGAGATGGACGAAACGCCAGGCCGCTCGTGCTCGTGCAGTGACCGTTTGAAGGTAGGCACCGACCGACCACAACTACATGTACAGTCACTTCAATCCGTCCCAGGAAAAAAAAAAGCAAAATTCGAAGAATCCAGTGTGGGTTTGGGGTGGCCGTACTACTCTATTTCCTCCAGTTTCGCTCGCTTTTGCAGGTTGGCTTTCCGTGCGATAGGTTCGATTGAGACTGCATTCTGCACACTTTGCTAAGTGTTTTCGTCCAGTCGTCCAGTCCAGTAGGCTACCCAGTCGTCCGGTCCTGCTTTTCGCCATCCCCCCCCTCCCCTCCTCCCCCCCTCCCCCCCCCCCCCCCTCTTTCATTCCCCTTTGCTCCTTCCTCAACTCTCCCCTCCCGTCGCCCAATCCGCCCCCCACCCATTCCCCCTCCACCTCCCACCCCTTCCCCGCCCAGCATCTGCAGCAGTCGCTGGCGGAAGCGCAGCTCCGCCTTGCGCAGGCGGAAGCGTTGCTGCGCGCGCAGGGGGTGGTTCCGCCATGGGGAGGGGGAAATGGGGAAGCGGGAGACGAGGACGCGGAGGTCGGAGAGGCGGAGGAAAAGGTAGATTATGCGAAAAAGGAGAGCGCGGGAGTAAAGTCTGGTGGGGGAAATGAGGTGATTCTCCAAGAGACTACTAGTAGTGGTGGTCTGGAGGAGACTAGTGGGGAAAGGGATGAGGGGTTGACTCAAGAGGCAGGGCATGATGATGGTGGGGGCGGTGGTGGTGCAGGTGGTGCGGGTGGTGGTGGCGGTGGTGGTGCAGGTGGTGCGGGTGGTGGTGGCGGTGGTGGTGCAGGTGGTGTGGGTGGTGGTGGCGGTGGTGGTGCAGGGAAGGTTAAAGATGGAGAGGATTTACAGGGTGGCGGAAGGAGGGGAAATCGAGGGAGGAAGGTTGGTGGAAAGGGACTGGAGAACTACAGGACTCGACACGTGGCACTGCAGATCATGTACCTGGGGTCGAGGTGAGTGTGAATCAAGGGTCGAGGTGAGTGTGAATCAAGGGTCGAGGTGAGTGTGAATCAAGGGTCGAGGTGAGTGTGAATCAAGGGTCGAGGTGAGTGTGAATCAAGGGTCGAGGTGAGTGTGAATCAAGGGTCGAGGTGAGTGTGAATCAAGGGTCGAGGTGAGTGTGAATCAAGGGTCGAGGTGAGTGTGAATCAAGGGTCGAGGTGAGTGTGAATCAAGGGTCGAGGTGAGTCTGAATCAAGGGTCGAGGTGAGTGTGAATCAAGGGTCGAGGTGAGTGTGAATCAAGGGTCGAGGTGAGTGTGAATCAAGGGTCGAGGTGAGTGTGAATCAAGGGTCGAGGTGAGTGTGAATCAAGGGTCGAGGTGAGTGTGAATCAAGGGTCGAGGTGAGTGTGAATCAAGGGTCGAGGTGAGTGTGAATCAAGGGTCGAGGTGAGTGTGAATCAAGGGTCAAGGTGAGTGTGAATCAAGGGTCGAGGTGAGTGTGAATCAAGGGTCGAGGTGAGTGGATCCGAGGTGTGTATGGATGCGTTTTAATGGGATCAACGTGATTGTAGAGGTGTTATCGCTCCTGCTCTCCCCTGATCCTCCCCTCCTCTTCTCCTGCTCCCCTCCTTCATTTTGGTCACTCATGCATCGTTCCCAATTCCTCTCGTGTCCTCCGTTCCTTTCTTCTCGCCTGTTCCCTGCAGGTACCTAGGCTTTGCGTCTCAAGGCGTTGCGGGCCCGACTGTAGAAGTAAGGCGTTGCTGCTCTGCACCGCACCGCACCGCACTGCACTGCACTGCCCTCACTTCACAGTCACATTTGCTGCTGTCACACGTCCATTCACTGCTCTGCTCATAAGTCTGTTATTTCTTTCAGAACCATGCTGAACTCATGTACTGATATGATACATATCAGAACTCTGTTCTCACTATCTACCTTCCTCCCTGTCCTACTGCCAGGGACGGCTAGTGTGTCAGCTCTGCTGCACACTAAGCTGCTGCTCCTTGCCGCCCCTCCTCTGCTCCCTTTCTTTGAAACGTTTCAGATGCCTTCCATTGCTGCATTCCCTGCTACCTTCCTCCCTGTCCTACTGCCAGGGACGGTTAGTGTGTCAGCTCTGCTGCACACTAAGCTGCTGGTCCTTGCCGCCCCTCCTCTGCTCCCTTTCTTTGAAACGTTTCAGATGCCTTCCATTGCTGCATTCCCTGCTACCTTCCTCCCTGTCCTACTGCCAGGGACGGTTAGTGTGTCAGCTCTGCTGCACACTAAGCTGCTGCTCCTTGCCGCCCCTCCTCTGCTCCCTTTCTTTGCAACGTCTCAAATGTTATCCGTTGCTGTTTACCCTGCTCCTCCCATCCCTGTCCTACTGCCAGGGCCGGTTAGTATCAGCTCTGCTACACACGAAGCTGCTGCTCCCTGCCGGCCCTCCTGCTTCCCCACGAGCACCGACGTCCGCCACTGAACCTGCAGCATCTGCTTCTGCTGTGGACAACGGCAGCGAAATGGAGTGCGATGTGACTGTAGCAGAGGGTGACTGCAGCAGCACACCGCTTCAGCAGGGGGGAAGGGGTGTGACTGTATCGAATGGTGGTCGCACGCCACTTGGGCAGGGAGAAAAAGATGTGACTGTATCGAACGGTCGATTGGATGCTAAGCTGCAGCGGAAGCAGAAGAGAGCGGCGAGGCGGAGAGATGCTGCTTCTACTGAATGTGATTATAACGAAGGTGCTTCTGCTGCTGCTTGCAGTGGAACCGTGACTAAAGGAGGTGTGGTTATAATGAAAGACATTATGAAGGATGAATCGGCAAGATATTCCCGATGTGGGAGGACGGACCGCGGGGTGAACGCCATTGGGCAGGTGAGTAGTCAGGTGAATAATCAGGTGCATCGTCAGGTGTTTTTTTCAGAGTCTCATTTCAAGACATTCAAAACTCAAGTGCCTGCAACGAGAATTTCCTCTTACACACACCAGCAACTGCTTTTTCGACCCAAATTTGTGACTATATCAGGTCGTTGCACTTCACCTGCGTTCCTCAGTTCGTCCACGTCAGCAACATCCAGGAATGACAGCAGCTGACGTGGCTCTTGAAGTCACTGGCAGTGCAACAGCTGCTGCCACTCCAGCAGGCCCAACTGCCAGCCAGAGCAATGTCACCAGTGGCAGCGTCGCTGTCGACCTGGCAGCAACTGATGTAGCGAGGAGGTCAGATGACGTGGCAGGGGAGTCTGCTGACGTGGCAGGCGAGATTGACTATGTGGCATCGCTCAACAGAGCTCTTCCTGATGACATCCGTGTGCTGGCATGGGCTCCTGCCTCTCCTGACTTCAGCGCCAGGTGGGTTTATGAGCACACAGCCATCAGGTCAACAACCAGTCTCTCTGACAAATAGTCAGCTCACCCCATTTGTTCTTTACAGAGTCATCGAGGCGACTTTTGATTCGATTCAAAAGTCACCTCGTTTTGAGTCGACTCAAAAGTCATTTTCAGTCGACTCAAAAGTCACCTCGTTACCAGTCTCTCTGACAAACAGTCAGCTCACCCCATTTGTTCTTTACATAGTCATCGAGGTGGCTGTATGTATGTCTGTATCCAAGTGTTTCTCCTTGAAACGTTCCAATATTCTGCGTTTGTTTCGTACCAGATAAAGCGCTGCCTGTTCTGTTTAGCCCCTTTTGTTTTTGCTAGTCGTTGCTTCGTGTGTGTGTGCCTTGCTGTGCATGTGCATCTTGCTGCTGTTGCTGCTGCTGCAACTGCAGGTTCAGCTATTTGGAGAGGGAATACAGATTCTACTTTGTGGATGAACCTGGACTTCACATTCCTTTATGCTCCTCATTTTCCGGCAAATCATTTCTATGCGTGTGACTTGCTGCTGTTGCTGCTGCTGCAACTGCAGGTTCAGCTATTTGGAGAGGGAATACAGATTCTACTTTGTGGATGAACCTGGACTTCACATTCCTTTATGCTCCTCATTTTCCGGCAAATCATTTCTATGCGTGTGACTTGCTGCTGTTGCTGCTGCTGCAACTGCAGGTTCAGCTATTTGGAGAGGGAATACAGATTCTACTTTGTGGATGAACCTGGACTTCACATTCCTTTATGCTCCTCATTTTCCGGAAAATCATTTCTATGGGTGTGACTTGCTGCTGTTGCTGCTGCTGCAACCGCAGGTTCAGCTGTTTGGAGAGAGAATACAGATTCTACTTTGTGGATGAACCTGGTCTCGATGTTCCGGTGATCCCTCTCCTCCTCTTTCCCAGCTTCCTTTCTACAGTTTCCCTTCATTCTTTTCCCTGTTCTGTAGACTTCTCTTCTCCATCTCCTCCTCGTTTCCGCGTCGCAACTTGTTCCCGTATCCGTTTACCTCTCCAGCGCCTGCTCACCGTCTCTCTGCTCCGTTCATCACCAGGCCAGGCCATGCAGCGGGCAGCAGCACTTTTCAAGGGCCGCCACGACTTCCGCAATTTCTCTCGCATGGACACAGAAAACATGCTCTCCCGTTTCCACTTGTGCCCCACGTATCTGCGCACCTCCCCCATTCAACACCAGGCCATGCAGCGGGCAGCAGCGCTCTTCAAGGGCCGCCACGACTTCCGCAATTTCTGCCGCATGGATGCAGAAAATGTCAAGTCATTTGAGCGGGACATCTCGTTTTGCCGCATTCTGCCCTTCGCCGCGCTGTCGTCACGTGAGTGAGTCATGCGCTTTAGGAGGCACCTTGTGCCGCATGGGCGCACCAGAGAACGTCAAGTCGTTCAAGCGAGGGAAATTTCGTGCCGCACATAGCACCCTGTGCTGCCCACTTTGCTGTTCCCTCTGCCCGTGAGTGAGTCATGCACTTTAGGAGGCACCTTGTGCCGCATGGGCGCACCAGAGAACGTCAATTCGTTCAAGCGAGGGACATTTCGTGCCGCACATAGCACCCTGTGCTGCCCACTTTGCTGTTCCCTCTGCCCGTGAGTGAGTCATGCGCTTTAGGAGGCACCTTGTGCCGCATGGGCGCACCAGAGAACGTCAAGTCGTTCAAGCGAGGGACATTTCGTGCCGCACATAGCACCCTGTGCTGCCCACTTTGCTGTTCCCTCTGCCCGTGAGTGAGTCATGCACTTTAGGAGGCACCTTGTGCCGCATGGGCGCACCAGAGAACGTCAAGTCGTTCAAGCGAGGGACATTTCGTGCCGCACATAGCACCCTGTGCTGCCCACTTTGCTGTTCCCTCTGCCCGTGAGTGAGTCATGCGCTTTAGGAGGCACCTTGTGCCGCATGGGCGCACCAGAGAACGTCAAGTCGTTCAAGCGAGGGACATTTCGTGCCGCACATAGCACCCTGTGCTGCCCACTTTGCTGTTCCCTCTGCCCGTGAGTGAGTCATGCACTTTAGGAGGCACCTTGTGCCGCATGGGCGCACCAGAGAACGTCAAGTCTTTCAAGCGAGGGACATTTCGTGCCGCACATAGCACCCTGTGCTGCCCACTTTGCTGTTCCCTCTGCCCGTGAGTGAGTCATGCGCTTTAGAGGCACCTTGTGCCGCATGGGCGCACCAGAGAACGTCAAGTCGTTCAAGCGAGGGACATTTCGTGCCGCACATAGCACCCTGTGCTGCCCACTTTGCTGTTCCCTCTGCCCGTGAGTGAGTCATGCACTTTAAGAGGCACCTTGTGCCGCATGGGCGCACCAGAGAACGTCAAGTCTTTCCAGCACGACATCTCTGTGTGCCGGGTTTTGCCCTTTTCCGTGCTCTCATCCCGTGAGTGAGTCCGTGTTTTGCCCTTTTACAAGTCTCGGCTCATCTCATCTCATCTCGTCTCGTCTCGTCTCGTCTCGTCTCGTCTCGTCTCGTCTCGTCTCGTCTCGTCTCGTCTCATCTCATCTCATCGCACCAAATCGTTTGAGAGTGATTTTTTTTTTTGTGCTGTATTGTGCCATTTTCCACCGCCTCCTTTCCGCCCTAGCCTCATGTGATTCCTGTCCTGCCCTTTCACTCCCATTCCCAGGTGAGCCCTGCCATGTCCCAAAACTCTCCCCATGATCCCTGCCCTAAGATCTCCTTAACATATTTTACACTTCATTCCCTGGGCGACCATCATTCCCCTCCTGGCTTTCGTTCCATGCCACAGCTTTTGGGGAAGAGTTTGGTCCAAGCAAGCCAGGTGAAACCCCCGAGCGTCCGTCAGTGTGGGTGCTAGAGGTGGTGGGGACGGCGTTCCTGTGGCACCAGATTCGGTGTATGATGGCCGTGCTGCTCATGGTGGGGCGTGGGCTGGAGCGACCAGAGGTGAGTTCTGTTTACACAACTCAATGTAAGCATTGAGTCGACTTCAAAGAAGTCTTTAGACTAGATTCAGTGCATGACGGCCGTGCCGCTCATGGTGGGGCTCGGGCAGCAGCGACCAGAGGTGAGTTTTTTTTTTCTGGGGCGTGTCAACACATATCGCAATGCCAAGCAGTAGATGGCGATTCTTAAGCCGGCTTCAAACCAGATTTGGTGCATGATGGCTGTGCTGCTCATGGTGGGGCGCGGGCAGGAACAGCCTGAGGTGAGGGAGGGTTTAGGGTTGAAAGGCAGTGGGGTAAGTAGTTGGGACAGATTTCCTGTGGCACCAGGTTTTTTTTTTTTTTTTTTTTTTTTTTTTTTCTCCCTCTCTGTCACATTACAGGTCTTCACAATTTCCCTCTTCCCATATTTCCTGCATTACACATGCAGGTGGTATCAGAGCTGCTGCAGGTGCACAGAGGGCCACTCACCAGCAAGCCCCAATACGCCCCCCCTAAAACATGAGCTCTTTTTTTCTTCTTCTTGCGTCACTTGTGCAGGTGGTATCAGAGCTGCTGCAGGTGAACGGAGGGCCGTTCACCAGGAAGCCGCAGTACGCCCCGCCTGACCCCCACGGGCTGGTGCTGCACCGCTGTTCCTTCCCTGCTTCTCAGAGCTGCTTCCGCATCCACTCGCCACTCAACTCCCTCCCTCCTTTCCTCCTTCCCTCCCTCTCTTCCTCCCTCCCTCCTTTCCTCCTTCCCTCCCTCTCTTCCTCCCTCCCTCCTTTCATCCTTCCCTCCCTCTCTTCCTCCCTCCCTCCTCCTTTTCTGTGCCTCTTGGTTTTCAATACAGGTGGTATCAGAGCTGCTAGACGTACACGGAGGGCCGTTCACCAGCAAGCCCCAGTACGCCCCGGCTGACCCGCTCGGGCTTGTGCTGCACCGCTGCTCCTTCCCTGCCTCGCTGCGTTTCCACTGCTCCGCCAGTAAGCCATTCCTTGCAAAGCAAGCGTCTAGTGAAGCAAGTTCAGGGTTTTGAGGCGTCTTCAAGCTAGTGCATTGAAGGGCATGGGTCAAACAGCTAGCTATTGGGCATGAGTCCCCTGCGTTTGGTTTGGGTCCACAGTCAGTCAGGAGTAGAGCAGAGGCTGCTCCCCCTCGCTTTTGAGAATTCTCAAAAGCGTCCCCTGCGTTTGGGTCTACAGTCAGTCAGGAGTAGAGCAGAGGCTGCTCCCCCTCGCTTTTGAGAATTCTCAAAAGCGTCCCCTGCGTTTGGGTCCACAGTCAGTCAGGAGTAGAGCAGAGGCTGCTCCCCCTCGCTTTTGAGAATTCTCAAAAGCGTCCCCTGCGTTTGGGTCCACAGTCAGTCAGGAGTAGAGCAGAGGCTGCTCCCCCTCGCTTTTGAGAATTCTCAAAAGCGTCCCCTGCGTTTGGGTCCACAGTCAGTCAGGAGTAGAGCAGAGGCTGCTCCCCCTCGGCTATGTCCTCACTCCTCCCTCGCCCACCAGATGCCAAGCGTAGCCACGTGTAGCGAGGTTGTTTTTGAGACGTCTCAAAAATGCTCCCCCTCGGCTATGTCCTCACTCCTCCCTCGCCCACCAGATGCCAAGCGCCTGTTCTGTCAGTCCATCCGGCAGCAGCTCAATGCAGCGCTCATCCGATGCTCCGTGCTGCAGTCGGCCCTTGATGTGGCGGAGGCTTCTACTGCTGCTGCTGGGAGTGGGAAGGAGAAGAAGCAGACGCAGCTGCCCCACATCCCGTTGCACCGAAGGCCTAGAGAACGTGAGTGACGATGGGACGTCTTAAAACATGAGATAATTTGATCGAAAATGAGAAATCTCAGTCCAGACACTCACACCATATCTTTCATTTGTGCAGCTTTCATTTGTGGAACGTCTATGTTTGTTGTATCACTATCACATTTGTATACCTTTCACTTGCATATCTACACCTTCCACTACCCCATGGCTACCTACCTTCGTGTTTCCTTCATCCAAGGTCCTGTTGTTTCTACACCATTCTTCCTGATTTAATCACCCCACCTTCCCCTCCCCCTTGCGTGCCTCCCCCTCCCTTGCTGTCCGTCTGCCTCCCCCTCCCTTGCTGGCGGTGCTGGCATGGTGGTCAGCATCACTTGAAGAGCGCCGAAGCAAGCTTGAAAAAGCACGTCGCTGAAAGTGCACTCTCCAGAAGATACAGCCTTTCTTATGCGAATGTGAGGTCCCACGGGTCCTCACTCATCGGGGAAGAGCAGCAAGATAGAGATCCTTTTAGCAGTAGGATCAAAGCCTTGTAAAATCCGTCCACTAAACTGAATGCTCAGCTAAAGAAAAGGCTTGCGCAGGAACTCATCTCTTGATAAAAACAAGACAAAGACAAGCTTGAAAAAGCACGTCGCTGAAAGTGCACTCTACAGAAGATACAGCCTTTCTTATGAGGGACTGTTTCAGGCTGAACCAGGCCTCTCGATATCAGGGTGATTCACCCTTATGACCCTTACTGTAAGGGCGGGTTTGACTACGCACCCTTTTTTACAAGACTGGTTTTGTTTTAGACCCTTACAATAAAAAAGTGATCGATTATACGACACTGATATTTCAGAGCTATGTGGTGTAGTAGCACTGATGAAATCGAGTTCGATCTAAGAGAGGATACCAGGATTGGTTGCGTAAAACGTATTATTTGCACAGGATGCCTGCGCTGGGTTTAAAACTCGGGGCCTCCACATTGTTGGGAACGATAAGTCTTAAGCGCCTCTATCGTGTCGAAACTCAGGACTCAAAGCGAAGCAGTCCAAATCGAAGCATCGCGAGTCAACCCTCGGAGGTTGGGGTAACCGCCTGGAGGTTACGCAAAGGTCAAAGGTCCGTGACCTTTGACTTGACCAATACAGCGCGACAGCAAGGACACACAACCGACTCGACATTGAGCAGTTGCCCGAGTCGCACTGTATCGAATCGCAACAGCAAGACAGTTATTATATCTATTCGTATTCCTTGTACTCTTATATAAAACCTTGTATTTGCTTGTTTCAATCAACTCACTTTGCCCTCACATACCAGCGCAAGGTAGTTCAAGACCCTTTTACTCAAACGCTTCCGCTATTACAATCCTACCCAGTCTTTAACTCTACAAAGATCCTTAGGGCTTTTCAGCCCAACATGGTATGAGAGCAGTTAGAGTTAAAATTCATTATTCAGCAAACCTTACATCAAAGAAGACATGTCAACCAGGAAGGAGAGGAGCTCCTCCAACGGCTCTCCCGGTACTACTCCTACCCCACCACCTGTCTCTGGCCTACAGACAGAGGAAGGGACTGCTACCAGACCAGCAGCTGGGTCCACGGAAACGCCAGCAGGCTTCGATCCAAGCATGATGGAGAAATTTTTCTCCTTCATGTCCTTCTATGAGCAGCACCAGCAAGGAGCACCTGCGCAGTCAAACAACAGCAACAACAACAACGTGACTCCTATGAGTCTCGACGGGTCATCCTACGCACGTGGGATTCAACAACAACAACAGCAGCCTACCTTTGCGCCGTACGAACCCCAGCGTGGTTCCGTCAGCTTCATGCCGCAACCGCAACCTGCACCGGGACAAGAGAAGGCATTGGACGCGTTACAAGTTCAATCGCAATTCGCGCATGTTCTCAAGCTACAAACGACAAAGCCTTTCGACGGGAAAGACTTCTTCACCTGGTCATTCGAGTTCGAATTAATGATGGAAGGAGCACAGATTCTCGGCTTCTTCGACGGGTCCCTGCCATATCCAACAAACGGGACACAATATGAGAAGCAGCAATACACCTATCAATTGATGATGGCGTACACGATACTGCTAAGAAACATTACCCCGACCCAGCAGCAGAACATCAGGACTTACCGAGGCTACGGCAACTCCGCGGAGCTCGCGTACAACCACCTGAAGAACCTGTATCAAGCAACAGACAGCGTAAATCAGAGCAAGTTAATGGCGCAGTTGACAACAATTGAAATGAAACCAGGCGAGAAAGGAATGGCCTATATAAGCCGCTCTCGCGAACTGCGCGACAGACTTCTTCGATGCGGAGGGTCAATCTCCGAAGACGCTTTTGTCACGGTGGTCATTGGCGGTCTCGGCCCCCACTGGCGCTCCACTCGCGCCATACTACGAGCACACGGGAGGATCTCCGAAGCGGCACTTTGCGCCGAAATCCACGCCGAGCAGCAGGACATGGACCTGCAAGAAGAAAGACACAAGAAGAAAACTTTAGCACCGGAGTTTCCGTTTCACACTCAGCGACGATACAACAATCGACAACAGCAACAAGTGAAGACGGTACCTCCATTCTGTCACATCTGTAAGACTTCGGGTCATCCTCGCACACACTGCCCATCTCGTCAGCAGTCGACGACACCACAGCGACAACTCCGGCCTTCAAGCTCCCAAGTTACTTCAACGCAAACAACTCCGACGACCGCACACCAAGCTTCAACGACTTCATCTGGACAACCTGCACAAGGAGCAAAAAATATTGTCAACTGCATGGTCAAGATAAACGACTCTTGCACAACAGAGTCACCACCGTACTACTCACCCGAAGATCAACTTGACAACAGCACGCCTCGCCGCGAATCTCTTCAACCGAACCCAACGTACGCCGCAATCGCTCAAAGTGAACCGTCCGGTCAAGACACCTGGTTCTTGGACAGTTGCTGCGGACAACACATGTGTTCCTCCGGGCGCTTCGTTCAACGCGAGCATCGACTCCAGCGAGAAGTAGTCATCACAGTCGCCAACAATCAGAACCTGTGCACACAAAGACAAGGAGTGGTTCAGCTTCAGTCACGAGAGACAAACGTCATATTAAACATGTCAAAGGTACTTATCGCGGAGGGACTCGGCTATAACTTACTGAGTGTTAGCCAGCTGATGGCGAAAGGAATACACTTGGAAGCCGACAGCACCACCTAGGAGTTTAAGCTGTACCACGGGAAAGGCGGCCTCTACATCGGAAAGGCGGTGTTGAAAAACAATGTCTTCGTCCTCGACTTCGTCCCCGACTTGGGCACTCCCGACAGCGACGCCATCGTCAACTTCGCAGATTGGACGCATCCCTCGGATCTCGATCCCGACTTCAGCCCGGGAGGTTTCTGGTACTCACACACCATTCTTGAAGCAGAACGAACACGTGCGTTAGCAACAATTCGACAATCGGCAGCAGCAGAGACAACATCGGCAGCAGCAGAGACAACATCGACAGCAGCAGAAACATCATCGGCAGCAGCTGCACCAACTATACCAGTCATCATCGACGAAGCACCAACACCCGCACAGCAGCTGAACCCGACTCAACGAGAAGTTCACAGAAGCGCCAACCTCGTCGCCAGCTTCTACTCCAACTCCGACACGTATCAACGCTCACCCGGACATCGCGCCTCCGAAGAAACCTGGCACGCACGATTGGGACATCCAAGCAACACAGTTTTAAATAACACGATAAGAGCAGGAGTTCTTGACAAAGACTCCCTACTACTACCCGACGGCAGAGAACTCCAAAAGGCACGAGGGACTTGCCTTACATGCCCCGAAGCTGACTTACCTCATCGACCGTTCGCTCCACATCACAACCCGAGCGCACCAGCGTACGCACCACTCGAGAAGATTTACAGCGACATCCTCTACAATCGCGAACCAGGACAAGTCACCTACAACTACACCATCACCTTCATCGACGCCGCCACGCGATATGTCTGGCATCTAAACCTACCCAGCCGCGACATGGCTCTCGCAGCGTTCGCCGCCTGGCTACCGGTAGCAGAGAGAGAATCGGGAGCAAAGCTGAAAAGTTTCCAGTCAGACGGAGGAGGAGAGTATACCTCTCAGCGTTTCAAGCAGTACCTGGCGGAAAGGGGAATCAAGCAACTCCTCTCCCTTCCCTACGCACATCAGCAGCAAGGTGTCGTAGAAAGAATGAACAGGACTCTGCAGAACAGCATGCGCAAACTGTTACGTGGCATGCGGCTACCCAACCACCAGTGGCCTGCAGCAATGGACCATGCTGTCATGCTGCACAACTTGCTGTCGTCGTCGTCACTCCCGAACAACGCATCACCGCATCTGCTGTGGACAGGGAAGCAGGGCAACACAAAAATGTTACGAGTTTTCGGGTGCATGGTACAGTACCGACCCCCAGAAGCACGAGCGGGAAGATTTTCACAACGGGCACAGTGGGGACTACACCTCGGCATCAAGAAAAATTACAACGCATGGAAAATCTTCGACGTCCACTCCAAGGAAACAGTAGCAGCACGTGATGTGATCTTCTACGAACGACTCACCCTTCAGACGTACCTCGCCAACTTGCACGAGAATCAGGACCCCGCAGGTGGCTTTCGTGGTGACCGAGCCTTCGCCTCAGCAGCGGACGAAGCAGACTGGGATGAACAGAACGTTGACAACGCATCGGAGGAAGCCGGACCTCTTCCGTTCTGCTCCGTCGACGTGCCCATGGACGAAGAAAATCCTCGCGAAAGTAACAACGCTGAAGTCTTCTATCACTTCGCCGACAATGGTTACGTAACACCTGCAACAGCCAACACCAACAAAGCAGAAAGGATAGGGCCAAATTTCATACCCGATCCAGAAGCGGGAGACGAAGCAGCTTATCCCGAGGACACAACACTCCCCCGCTACTCACAGACCGGACTGCAAATCCTCGGCCTCGTCACCGCCGTCCATGGCTCCCCTCTTCCTAAAGAGCCTGCGACGGTTCAACAGGCTCTGGGGGGGGAACGCAGAGAGAAATGGCGTGAAGCCATGGACAGAGAACTAAAAGCACTGGAGGAACGCAACACCTGGAAGGTCGTTCCCGCAAGCGTGGCAAGGAACAAGACCATTCTCACCGGGAAGTGGGTCTTCCGCATCAAAACGAAAGCAGATGGTACAATCGAGAAGTTCAAGGCACGATGGGTCGTGCGAGGATTCGACCAGGAGCAAGGGCGAGACTTCACCGAGACATTCGCCCCAGTTAGTCGACATACCTCACTCCGAATTCTTCTCGCCGTCGCCGCCATGAAGAAGAAGAAGCTGCGACAAATTGATGTGGCCAACGCCTTCCTCTACGCACCTGTCGACGCCGACATCTTCGTCGAGCTCTCTCACGGCACCCACGGGGAACCCAACCAGGTCTGCCAGCTACTAAAGTCCCTCTACGGAATCAAGCAGGCCCCACGGCTGTGGCAACAGCACCTGCACACCCGCCTCATCCGCATCGGATTCCGTCAACTGCCCCATGACCAGGGCATGTACCGACTCACTAAAGGCGCCAACTACATCCTACTCATCGTCTACGTCGACGATCTCCTCTACATCGGTTCCACCGACGACCTCACCACTTGGTTCGAAGGGGAGCTGCAGAAAGACCTCACGCTCACGGTTTCTTCTACCGTTACGCAGTACCTCGGGCTCAACATCCGCGAAGAAGAAAACGCAATCTATCTAAGCGCCGAGAAATACGCCGACACGATCGCCAAGCGCTTCTCGCTCACACCTACCGCTATCGCCACGCCATACCGCTACACGGCAGGAAACGGCCAAGGAAACTCCGCCCTACTCAAAACTGCCGGAATACGCGACTATCAGCGAAAACTGGGCTGTCTACTCTTCGCAGCCGTCACCTGTCGCCCAGACCTGTCCTACTCCGCCAGCCAGCTCGCTACTTATCTCAAGAGGCCTGAAGTAGATCACCTGGCAGAGCTCGATTGCGCACTGCACTACCTCGTGAGCACGCCGACGATCGGCCTGACTTACTACAAGAACGAAGCTGCGTCAACGAAACTAATCGGTTATGTCGATGCCGACCATGCCGGCGATCCAGATAACAGGCGCTCTCGCACCGGCTACGTCTATCGTCTCGAGCCTATCGGACCTATCTCCTGGCAGTCGAGTAAGCAGGAACTAATCGCTCTCTCTTCAGCTGAAGCAGAATATATCGCCCTCTGCTCAGCCACCAAGGAAGGACTCTACCTTCGCGAACTGCTGGAAGAAGCAAAGTTAGATGAGTTACCCAGCTTCACCCTGCACTGCGACAACCAATCTGCAATTCGCATCGCCAACAAAAGCGGATTCGCGAACAGAACGAAGCATATCGCTCTGCGATACTTCTTCGTGAAAGACGAGATCGAGAAAGGAAGACTCGAGTTATCCTACTGTCCCACGTCCGAGATGGCAGCCGACTATTTGACCAAGAAGCTCGGAAAACAGAAGTTCAAGTACTGCATGCTGCTGACTGGACAAGGCCACGTCACCGTCAGCGACACTCCAGAAGCGAAGGGGAGTGTTGGGAACAATAAGTCTTAAGCGCCTCTATCGTGTCGAAACTCAGGACTCAAAGCGAAGCAGTCCAAATCGAAGCATCGCGAGTCAACCCTCGGAGGTTGGGGTAACTGCCTGGAGGTTACGCGAAGGTCAAAGGTCAGTGACCTTTGACTTGACCAATACAGCGCGACAGCAAGGACACACAACCGACTCGACATTGAGCAGTTGCCCGAGTCGCACTGTATCGAATCGCAACAGCAAGACAGTTATTATATCTATTCGTATTCCTTGTACTCTTATATAAAACCTTGTATTTGCTTGTTTCAATCAACTTACTTTGCCCTCACATACCAGCGCAAGGTAGTTCAAGACCCTTTTACTCAAACGCTTCCGCTATTACAATCCTACCCAGTCTTTAACTCTACAAAGATCCTTAGGGCTTTTCAGCCCAACACACATAATTGTGACTACTCAACACACTGCCACATCAACATCCTACATACTAAGGAGAGTAAAAATAATAGATGAATGATTAGATTTGTTTGCACCCTGATTTTTAAGAGCAGTTTTTGTGAAGCACCCTTACTGAAAGAGTCAAGGCTTGGTGTTGGCCTTACGAGAAAGAGTACCCCAAATCCTATCCAGAGGCCTGGGCTGAACCCCTAATTGCAGGATTTTTGAGGCGCCTCAAAAGTCAAATCCTATCCAGAGGCCTGGGCTGAACCCAGGGCCTCAGATTCGTTTTGGCCTAGGCTGAATCGTCAGCCTTGGGAGTGGGATGAAGGCTGATCAATCAGGGTAGCCTTGAAAAAAAAAACTGAAATTTCAGTGCTTAGTTTCAAATATTGGCTGATCATTCAGCCTTGCTTAAAAACAAAGGCTGAACACAACTTCAAGCTTTCCTATAGCGCAACACGCGACGTGCTGCCAACAGTGCACACGACGTGCCTACACAGCTTCACACACGAAGATACAGTACCTTCTATCGGCAACAACATGGGCGAATCCGAGCTAATTTCCAGTGATTGGGCGAATTTCTGGAAGAAATTGTTGTGCCAGAGCGAAACTTCTTGTGATTGGGCGAAATTGTTGTCGCTTTGACGGGGCGAATCTGTTCTGTAGGGGCAAATTTGCTGTCTCGGGGCGAATCTGTAGTGACGAGTCAAGCTGATTGACTTGCATCCAGAAACCAGAAACTAGATTGCACATTCATTCCATCTGATTGGCCAGGCAGGTTTTTGATTCTCGGCACTACACGAATCTCCACTAGTGGGATTTCAGCCCACACACCCGTTGCAACGCTGATCAGTCAGTGTACACCTCTAAAAAAACTCTGAAATTTCAGACCATACAATGAAAAAAATGCGGAGAAATCAGCCGGTACAATGAAAAAAAAGCTGACAAATCAGCCCCACTTTCTTCCCAGCACTGAAATCTCAGCCTTTTTACCCCTAATCAGCCTTTTTTCGCTGACTTCTGAGGCCCTGGCTGAACCCCTGATTGCAGGATCAAGGAAGTTGTATGCAATGCAAGCAGTCAGTAGTGGCCATTATTCAGATCGTTGTTCAGCTGTCATCAACCTTCAACTTTTTTCTTCGTTGCCCACGTTCTCCCCCCTGCTTTTGAGTCGACTCAAAAGCCCACGTTCTCCCCTGCTACGCTCGGGAGGAAGGCCAATAGCAGAGCCTGCACGCTCTCCCTTACCCTCCTTTCACTATACAGACAGCAACTAGACCACGTTCCCCCTGCCTCCACCATCAACACTCCCATCCGTGTTTGCCAAGAAGGCTGGCAGCAGCGCTTGCAAATTTCCCTCCCCTTCCTCCCCAACAGAAAGCCCAAGCCTAAACCACATTCCCACGGCCACCATCAACGCCCCCATCTGTGTCTGCCAGGAAGGCCAACAGCGGCACCTGCACGCTCTCCCTCCGCATCTGTCTTCCACTGGAAAACCCGAGCCTACACCACATTCACACCACCACCATCAATTTCCCCCTCTGTGTCCGCCAGGAAAGCAGAGAGCAGCGCCTGCACGCTCTCCCTCCGCATGGCGAAGAGCGTGGAGATGAAGAAGCAAGCGTGTGCGTGCCCACTATCAGACATCGCCAGCACCACCATCAATGCCCCCCTCCACATCTGCCAGGAAAGCAGAGAGCAGCGCCTGCACGCTCTCCCTCCGCATCTGTCTTCCACTGGAAAACCCAAGCCTACACCAGATGGGAGCCTACACCGCATTCCCTCCACCACCATCAATTTCCCCCTCTGTGTCCGCCAGGAAAGCAGAGAGCAGCGCCTGCACGCTCTCCCTCCGCATGGCGAAGAGCGTGGAGATGAAGAAGCGTGTGCCCTCGATCTTGAACTCCTCTAGTGGGTTCTCTCTCCCAAAGCCCTGCACGCTCACCTGCAGAAATGCAGAAGCGGGGGAACAGAGAGGTGGATGGAGAAAAGACAGGGCGTCTTTCAAAGACGAGTGCGAGAAATAGTACAGTGCATTTCGCAAATTTCTCAAAATGGGAAAACAAAGAGCTACACAGACCCAACATGCACATGGTTATGAATGACTGCAACTTGCATGCAAAGGCCTAAGAGTCCGACACACAACATTTCTGACTGCTACCTGTCAACACGCACGGTGTTCGACTTTAAGTCGACTTAAGGTGACTTTTGAGTCGGCTAGAATAACACACACAGTTCTAAACATCAACAACCTGTCAACACGCACCACATTCCTTTTAGGGGCCTAAAAAAATTGACTCTTGTCAACACTGACCGCGTTCCTCAGCCGTGCCATGTTTGCGATGTGCACGCTCCACAGCCGGTCCAGTGTCGACAGCAGCGACTCTCTCTGATCGGAAAAAAGCAAGGAGGGCGCAGGGGGGGTCAAGAAAAGTTGGGGGGGGGGGGGGGGGGGGGGGGGGTGTGGGCAGGAGAGACGCGTCGGGGGGAGTTGGGGGCGCAGGGGAGAGATGGGGGGCGCAGGGGGGAATCAGGGCGTGCAAGGGGAAAGTTGATGGGCAGGTAGGGCCACAGGACGGTGTTACAGGTGGGAAATGGCAAGAAAGGATGGAATACCTGTGATTGCATCACATGAATTGAGAAAACACAAATCAAACAAAACACCCACCCACCCTCACATGAGTTGACCACTCTCCCACCACCGCAAAGAAATATAAGAAAGAAAGAAAGAAAGGAAGAAAGAAAGAAAGAAAGAAAGAAAGAAAGATTTGAATAAAGAAAGAAAAAACAACACACAGCTCTACGAAATTATTGTCTTTCTCACCTCGAAGAACTCCATCTGCTGAGGCGACGCAAGAAAGAGAGCGAGATGGGCCCTGTAGCATGTCACCCCCACACTGCACTGCTGGCTGGCTGGACTTGAACCATGTCTTTCTCAATAGGCGGCTCTTTACATCCCATCCCTGGCTCTTTACGTCCCATCCCTTTCTCTCACCTCAAAGAGCTCCATCTGCTGGGGTGATGCAACGAAGAGAGCAAGGTGGGCCCTGTAGCTCGTGACCACCACGTCTCCCAGGTACTTGCGCAGCGCTGCCAGGTGCTTTGATGATCTGCCCCTCCTGGGGAGAGAAGCAAGGAGGGATTTGGGGTGAGGTGAAGTGAGTGCAATGATGGGTGAATAAGGATAGGGGAAGGGCATGTGATCACCACGTCTGACTTTTGAGTCGGCTCAAAAGTCACCACCACGTCTCCCAGGTACTTGCGCAGCGCTGCCAGGTGCTTTGATGACCTGCCCCTCCTGAGGATGAAGAGAGGGGCGGAGTGAGGAGGAAATAGGAAAATGATCGGAGGAGGAGTGGAGAAGAGACGCTGGGATGAAAGGAAGGAGCGAGGTGCAAAAGAAATGCTTCAGGGTGTTTTTGAGAATTCTCAAAAACACCTTGTAGCATAGTGGAGAAGAGACGCTGGGATGAAACGAGCGAGGTGCGAAAGAAATGCCTGCGGTGGCTGAGAAAGGTCCGCACAGGATAGAGACGTCCTGACAAACCTACCTACATGTCACCATCAAGCCTTACAGGTCAGACAGATGACTTTAGGGTCGGCTCGAAAGTCATGGCGTCGCGAAGAACCTACAGCTCATCTCACCACGGAGTCTTACAGGTCAGATGAGTCTTGAAGAACCTACATGTCATCATCAAGCCTTACAGGTCAGGAGAGTCACGAAGAATCTCTCTCCATCTCAGCTCCTCCCGCATTGCTTCCGCCTCTCCCCCTTCCTCCTCCTCCTCCCTCTTATTTGCACTTCCAACAGCAGCCGCACCCGCCGCACCACCGGCACCAGCAGCAGCAGCAGCACCAGCAGCAGCAGCAGCAGCAGCAGCAGCAGCAGCAGCAGCAGCACCAGCACCAGCAGCAGCAGAGTTGGAGCCTACCCCAAAAGCCGGCAGCACCTCAGGCAGGGGAGGCAGGACGTGGGGGAGGTGCTTTCTGAGGTCCCAGCGGTGGCCGGCGTTCGGTGGAGGGGAGTGGGAAAGGGCGGAGCTGAGGGAGGTGGCATCCACGTACTGGGAGATGTCTGGTAGGTAGGAGGGGAGGCAGCAAGCAAGGTGCGGTGCGGTGCCAGGGAGGAAAGAGAGGAGGACAAAAGGAACGTGATTTCAAGGTGCCTCATAAGAAAGGGCGGAGCTGAGGGAGGTGGCATCCAGTGAATGCAGAGCAGAGGGAGAGAGCGACAGGCAGGCAGCAGTACCCGATTAGTGAACAAACAGTACCTATGCCAGTGGTGCGAGAAAGGCGCTTGAGCAAGGTGTCGATGGGCCATGACGCCACTGGCTGGTGTTGGTGGGAGGGGAGGGAAAGGGCGGGAGGGGAGGGGGAATGCGAGAAGGGAGGTGCAGGAAAGGCGCTTCAGCAAGGAGTCGATGGGCAATGAGGAAACCGGCTGGTGTTGGGGAAGCAGTGAGGGAGCGATGAGGAATGGAATGCGAGGGATGGGGAAGAATGGAAGAGAATGCAATGGGGCACTTGAGCAGGGAGTTGATGGGCCATGACGCCACCGGCTGGTGTATAGAGACTCTCATGGGTAAGCATAGTTTTCATAAACTCTTATGAGCATCGCACACACAAATGCTTTATATGCGACCTGCATAAACCATTTATCAGGCGCCAGCCATTTTTTGAGGCGAATTTTGAGGATTTTTAGGCGCCTCACAAATCGTCTCTGTTTGCGAACTGCATAGACTCTGGTTAGCTTGCCTTGGAGGGAGAGCAGTTTTCCTTCACCACATCATCTACCACTGCTTGGATGTACCTGAACGGATGTGGAGGGACGGTTGGAAGTTTATCACACATTTATACCATTAACTAATACCAGCATTAAAAAGGCATCTTAGACATGTAGGAGCAGTATTCCTTGACCACATCATCCACCGCTGCTTGGATGCATGTAACTGTGGACGGGTGGACGGGTGGTGGAAAGGAAGATGGGGGTTGACTTTTGAGCCGACTCAAAAGTCAACGTACCTGTGGACGGGTGGACGGGTGGAAAAGAAGATGGGGGTGGGTGGGTGGATGGACAGACAGGCAGATGGATTGATTGATTGATGGATGCTCATACAAGGCGCATGTGTTTGTAAACAGTGCAGGTAACGTGGCATCCTCACATTTGCAGTGAGACTCACAGTTGTGCACGTGTGTGTCGAACTTCAGGTGACTCTTCCAGAATGGACTCTCTCAGCTCGTATACATGCTTGCGCTGCAGCTGCAGTAGGGCAGAAGGAGAGGAAGGTCAGAAAGAGAGGAAGGTCAGAAGGAGAGGAACGTCAGAAGGAAGGAGGAAGAGAAGGGCGTAAGATGTGGGTGGAAGGGAAGAGGGACAACAGCACATGGGTGATTCAATGGACAGCAGACGGTACACATGCTTGTACCGGTTTTGCAACGTCTCAGATTGAAACGCAAGCTCACACACCATAGCTGCCAACCAAGGATAGAAGTGTAGTGCACGCACATGCTCACATCCTCGCATGGTTGTGTAGAAACAAAATAGAAGCTCACCTCAAAGACCTGATCGTAGTCAAGCATTTGCCTCCGCCGCTCGAACATGGCAGCTTCGATGGTCTTCTGCGTCTGCACCAACTGGTGAATGCAAGCAAGTGTTTTGAGGGGTGCGACACGGTGTGGTTGGGTTAAACAGGGTTGAACAAGTAGTGCAAGGAGCATTTGCCTCCGCCGCTCAAACATGGCAGCTTCGATGGTCTTCTGTGTCTGCACCAACTGGTGCGACAAGGAGTGGATGGGTTGGGTTGAAAAGAGTTGGGCAAGGAGCAGTTGCGATGGGCCGAAATGGGTCAGACAAGAGGTGGTTGGGATGAGTTGACATGGTTGCGATGAGCAGTTGCCATGAGCCACGGAGAATTATTGGGGCGTTGAGAAATGTAGGTGCTCTAGCAGTGCAAATTCTTACAGCGAGCGTGAGTCAATGCCATGTGGGGAAAGCCATGTGGGGAAAGCCATGTGGGGAAAGCCCTCATCAAAGTCGCCCTGCATACAGCAGCTGCTCCAGCATGGCTCAAGGATAGCTTTCAAACGAGGGGCCATTGTTAGACCACCATACTCACAGCGAGCGTGAGCGCCATGTGGGGAAAGCCCTCATCAAAGTCGCCCGTATACAGCAGCTGCTCCAGCATGGCTCGAGAGGAGTCTGGCAGCACCTCCCTCATCATATCATCCTCCATGCTGAGTAGGTTTCGAAGCAGGGGGGGAAGGAGGGGGTTGTGGGCTTGAGGGAGAGGAGGAGCAGGGGAGCAGCGGCAGGCAAGAGAGGTGGCTAAAGCAGCTGCTCCTGCATGGCTCGAGAGGAGTCTGCAGCACCTCCCTCATCATATCGTCCTCAATGCTGGTTGGGGGGGAAGGAGAGGAGGGGAGAGGACGGGGTTCAGGAGCGGAGGATCCGCGAAGAGAGGTGGCCATAACAGAGGTGGCTCGAGAGGAGTCTGCAGCACCTCCCTCATCATACCGTCCTCCATGCTGGTTGGGAGGGAGAAAGGGGAGAAGAAGATAGTAATAGATGGGGTTGACTTGAAGGGGATAGCACTGAGGTAAAGGAAGGACATGGCTCGAGAGGAGTCCGGTAGTACCTCCCTCATCATATCGTCCTCCATACTGGTTGGGAGGGAGAAAGGGGAGGAGGGAGAGGAGGGGGGTCGGGAGTGAGGCAGAGGAGGAGCAGCAAAGAGAGGTGGCCATAACAGCTGCTCCAGCATGGATGGAGAGGAGTCTGGTAGCACCTCCCTCATCATATCGTAATCCATACTATACTGGTTGAGGCGGGCGAATTGGGGAGGGATGGGCGAATGGGGGCGTGCAGAGTACAGCGATGGGGTGAAGGACATGGAACGAGAGGAGTCTGGCAGGGAAAACGAGGGGAGAACGAACGTGGCTCAGGGGGGAAGAACGGAGGAAGGGGGTTGGGGTTGACAAATTTACTCCCAACCAACTGGCACGTGACCATACACCCTCCCTTCATCTGATTTTCGGTTGATGCTCACCATCACGTGATCCTCACCTGACTGTCACGTGATGCTCACCTGATGATAAACTGTGTTGACCCAGGGTCGCCCTGGCGACCTGCCCTGCCCCTCAACTGCCACGCACGCAAAGACACATGAGACAAACGAGACACGGCATAATACACGTGGAGATTGCAACTTTGAACAGCTGCAAAGAGCATATTGCATCTTGAAATGCAAAAGCTACAAGAAATTGAGAGATGTTGCAGGGTCGCACTCTCTCTCCCCCACTCCCCAATCCAGAAACACCATCTACCTGCATCCACTGCAGTGCTGCCTCTACCACAGATCGAATAGCCTAACTCACACTCACCCACCTGGTTGTCGATCCGCCTTGATTCGCTAAAAGCCTTACCAATGACATGCGGGTCCCCCAGTGAGCGCACATACTCTCTGAATTTCATTACAAACACACGAGCCAAACAGTTTTCAGAGCCTCACCTGGTTGTCGATTCTTCTAGACTCGCTCAGAGCAGTGCCGATGACATGAAGTCCCCCCAGCGAGCGCACGTACTCGCCCTCCTCCTGGCAGTCCGCCTTGCAGTCCGCACTCACCCGCCCCAGCGCAGCACCCTCTCCAGAGAGCCTTCGCCACGCCATCACACCCACTTGGTTGTCAAATGCAGATCAAACAACCCTCACACCCACTGTAATGTTGCCTGCAGGCCTCACACCTCCCTCACCTGGTTGTCAATCCGCCTGGATTCACGGAGCGCAGTGCCGATGACATGAAGCCCCCCCAGAGAGCACACATACTCGTCCTCCTCCTGGCAGTGCGCCTTGCAATCCCCATCCCCCCCCCAGCGCTCTCTGCAATAAGCCTTCCCACACCACCACCACCCTCACCTGATTGTCAATCCGCCTGGATTCACTGAGCGCAGTGCCGATGACATGAAGCCCCCCAGAGAGCACACATACTCCCTAATTTCATGACAAACGCGCAAGCCAAACGGTCCTCAAAATCTTACCTGATTTTCAATCCGTCTGGATTCACTGAGGGCAGTGCCGATGACATGCAGGCCTCCCAGCGAGTGCACATACTCGCCCTCCTCCTGGCAGCGCGCCTTACAGTCCGCACTCACCTGCCCCAGCGCCCGCCCCACCACTCTCACCACCATCTCCTGCATCAACCTCAGCACCGCCCGCACTCGTGCAGACGACCAAAGGAGCTGCACTCCCCAAATCCAGAACCTCCATCTCTTGCTTCACTGCGGCACCGCTGCTACCGCAGACCAAAGGACCTTCTCTCACCTGGTTGTCGATTCGCCTTGACTCGCTGAGAGCAGTGCCGATGACATGAAGCCCTCCCAGCGAGCGCACATACTCGCCCTCCTCCTGGCAGTGCGCCTTGCAGTCCGCACTCACCCTCCCCAGCGCCCGCCCCACCACTCTCACCACCATCTCCTGCATCGACCGTGGCACCGCCCGCACTCCCAGCACCCCTCCGCCTCCCCCCCACACTTCTGCATCGTCCTCATCGCTCTCGTCCCCCTCCCCCTCCCCGCTGCTGCTGCTGCTGCTGCTGAAGCCACCACTCCGGCTGCTGATACCACTACCGTTGCTGATACTGCTGCTGGTGGTGCTGTCGATTTCACCGGTCCGCCAGGGTAGAGGGCTCATTCCGGTGTCCTCTGCAGCATCTCCTCCCCACATCCCTGCGCCCGCCTCCTCCCTGCGTTCCCCCCATTCCCAACCCTCCTCCTTGCCCTCGCCAGCCCCAGGAGTGGCTGACGGCCTTAAAGCCTGTGTCTCTGCCTGCTCTAGCACAGCCTGCTGCTGCGCCTCCGACCAGTCCGCTGCCACGCTGCGCCCTGTTTCAATGACAAAAAAAGGAGAAGAGCACCCTTAAGGTATCCTTTTGGAGTTGAATAGGCCAAAACCCTTGCCTCTGCTTATGACTTATGGGAAGTCTCAAAACTCACATGAGAACTGAGCAGCGTAGAGCTCCTTTAAGGTATCCTCTTGGAGTTTAATAGGCCAGAACCCCTGCCTCTGCTTATGCCAAGAGGTGTAAAAAAAAAAAAAAACAAACAAACAAACAAACAAACAAACAAACAAGCAAACAAAAAAAACAGGCGGGTTGGTTGGATTAATCAGGTTAGTGGTAGTGTTTGCAACATAACGTTTATGAGTTCCTCCAGCCCAGTTCATGTTGCCCCTTTTGAAAAACCAATTTATTACCCGCTTCCCTTGAGAGGTATTGCAGAATTTAGAACAAGTTACACCCTAGTGCCTTGCCGAAGTTAGTAAAGTTCCTCCCTAGTGCATTGCGCAACAGTTAAACTTATCACTCCAGCAGCGCACGCACCGCATGTGGGCCTTTCTTGAAAGCCGAGTAGTTCCCCGCTGTGGCTGCTGGCGCTTCAAACAGTGCCCACTTCACCACCTCCTTGCTCAGGAGCTGGACATGGGAGAGGAGGAGGATGAAGGAAGGAGGAGAGGAGGGGAAGATGAGGAGGGGAGAGAGAGGAGGAGGGGAGAGAGAGCCTGAGAACTTGCAAAGGTATGATTCAGAGAGTGCCCACTTGACCTTGGGACGCAGCGCAACAACCATGGGATTTCCCACCCAGCATCAATGCTTATCCCAGGCACCAACCTCGGGATTGCCGCCCAGCACAATGTGGGTGCCCCGGCCAGCCATGTTGGTGGAAATGTTGATGCCAAAGCAAACCTTTGCCGGCACCAATTCCCAGACCATCATCATCACATACTCTCCCAGCCTTCACCTCGGGATCACCTCTTTAGGCACGCACCTCGGGATTGCCGCCCAGCACAATGTCCGTGCCCCGGCCAGCCATGTTGGTTGAGATGGTGATGCCTCCAGCCTGCCCCGCACTTCCATCAATCAAGCGCCTCGTGAGAGTCCGTTTCCCAGAGAAACACTTGATTCGAATGCTGTCACCACAGCCCTCACCTCGGGACTGCCGCCCAGCACAATGTCAGTGCCCCGACCAGCCATGTTGGTTGAGTGAGACGGTGATGCCTCCAAGCCAACCCAGCCTGCACCGGGCAATCAGTGATACCAAACAACAACCGGACCATAAGGCACTCACCTCGGGATTGCCGCCCAGCACAATGTCAGTGCCACGGCCAGCCATGTTGGTGGAGATGGTGATGCCTCCAAACCGCCCCGCCTGCGCTACGATCTCTGCCTCACGCGCTGCATTCTGGGGGCCAAGGGGAAGGGTGGAGGGGAGGAGGCGAGGGGGGTGAGTGTGGGAGAGGCAAGAAATTTTGAGTCGACTCAAAAGTGTTGGTGGAGATGAGATGGTGATGCCTCTAAACCGCCCAGCCTGCTCCACGATCTCCGCCTCACGCGCTGCGTGTTGGAGGGAGAAGGAGTGGGGAGGGGGGGAGTAGAGAAGGGGGAGTGCGGGAGAGGCAAGATTCTTTATTAGTCGACTCAAGAGTGTTAGAGATGCGATGCCTCTAAACCGCCCTGCCTGCGCCACAATCTCTGCCTCGCGCGCTGCGTTCTGGGGAAGACAAAAGAGAGGTAGCGGAGGGAAAAGCCAAAGGGAGGGCAGAGCAGTAGACTTCAATTTCGCCACCCAAACTTTGGGCCATCTCTAATTCTACATGTTCTTCGAGACAGAACGTGTTGCACAGTGCAGTGCAGTGTAGTGCAGTGTAGTGCAGTGCAGTGCAGAGCAGAGCAGTGCAGTGCACACACACATCCAATCATATTGGAAGATGGATGCTCACTTGGACCAAGCAATATCCATATGCTCACTTGCTTGGTAAAAACATCCGATAGTATCGGACCTTTCATCCGTCTCGGAGGACCCATCCAAAGAGCAATGCGACAAGGGAATGCCGATCTTACAACGAAGCTACCCAAAATTGGGAAACACGCGTTCTAACGTTTGGCCTACCCTTGTAAATGTATGTAGAATGTAACATTCGGCCTACCCTTGTAAACACGCGTTTTAACGTTGTAAGATGGGCATTCCCTTGTCGCATTGCTCTTTGAATGGGTCCTCCGTGATGGATGAAAGGTCCGATACCATCGGAAGTTATTACCGAGCAAGTGAGCATATGGATATTGCAAGTACGAGCAGAACCTATGTTACTAATGGGCGCCTTAAGCACTGTGCTCACTTCGGGCCGAGCGTTAAGAACTTGAATGTGGGCAAACCGACGAGGATGCTCCACCTGCAGCATGGCGTAGAGGCGCTCTGACTCGTCCACACTGCGTGAGGGGGAATAGGGTGGTGAAAATGACCAATTTAAGTGCCTGAATAGAGTGCATTGCATAGCATTGCACGATGGGGATGCTCCACCTGCAGCATGGCGTAGAGGCGCTCTGACTCGTCCACACTGGGTGGTGAGGAGGAGTAGGGGGGCACAACAAACGTCCGATTCAAATACATTTGAAGTGCCTGAATAGAATGCATTGCGTTGCACGATGGGCATGCTCCACCTACAGCACGGCGTATAGAGGCGCTCTGACTCGTCCACACTGCAAATAGATATGAAGATGAATAATTGGACAACACAAATTTCATGGAAGAATGTACAGCTCCTGCCACAGGTACGGAGCTTGCATGGCTGAGTCAAACCCATATGAAGGCGATGTGCCATGTGAATGTGATGTGATGTGCCATGTGGTTGTGATGTGATGTGCCATGTGGTTGTGATGTGATGCGATGTGATGTGATGTGATGTGCCACGTGGATTTGATGTGATGTACATACCTGGATGTCCCAACAAGCACAGGACGGCCGAGTTGGTTCATTTTGACAATCTCCTGAATGACATGATGCACCTTGTTGCGCGCTTGCTGTGGAGGAAAAGAAAGGGGTGGGGAGATGGGGGAAAGGGGGAGAGGGGATGGAGAGGGGGAACGAGGAGGATTTTTTACTAACTCCTGTATGGCACGATGCACCTTGCTGCCCGCTTGCTGTAGGTGAGAGGGGGAACAGGGGAAGGAAGGGGGGAGAACGGGGCTTCTGAGGCGCCTGAACAGTCATTTTGACAATGTACTGGTGGATGTTGGGCCGACTGGTGGATGTTGGGCCGACTGGTGGATGTTGGGCCGACTGGTGGATGTTGGGCCGACTGGTGGATGTTGGGCCGACTGGTGGATGTTGGGCCGACTGGTGGATGTTGGGTTGACTGGTGGATGTTGGGCCGACTGGTGGATGTTGGGCCGACTGGTGGATGTTGGGCCGACTGGTGGATGTTGGGCCGACTGGTGGATGTTGGGCCGACTGGTGGATGTTGGGCCGACTGGTGGATGTTGGGCCGACTGGTGGATGTTGGGCCGACTGGTGGATGTTGGGCCGACTGGTGGATGTTGGGCCGACTGGTGGATGTTGGGCCGACTGGTGGATGTTGGGCCGACTGGTGGATGTTGGGCCGACTGGTGCAAGTTATCATTCCAGGAAAGTTATCATTGCGCCGACAGGTTACCAATTTTCACAGTACCAGTCTACTTTAAAGAGCGACGGGTTTCCATTCCGAGGCAACCACATTTTTCTAGTCGACTCAAAAACAGTAAGTCAAGCGCGTGATTGTTTTTCTTTTCATTCTGGGAAATCTCGTGACAGCTTTCCTTGCAAGAAAAAGAAGCACGTTCGGGCCCTTTTTATGCTGGGCTGGTTGGCTAGTGACAGCAAAGCTGTTCAAGCTATCAGTAAAACTGCTGAGGCCAAGGGACCCACAAGGAAAACAACCGCATCTAGATCCTTCCTGATGTTGGGGCGCTTGGTGGGAATGATAGGCTATCACAAAGCAGGATCAGCAAGTGAGGAATTCAGTCGAGGGCAATGTATGAACTTACCAGGAAGACAACAACGTCTAGATCCTTCCTGACGTTGGGGCGGTTGGTGGGGATGATAGTGATCTTACAGCAGGTTCGGCACACCAGCAAGCAGCAGCAGGTGCAGGGAAGTTGAGAGTAACAGACTCACCAGGAAAACTACAACGTCAAGGTCCTTTCTGATGTTGGGGCGGTTGGTGGGGATGACGACCACTGGCATGCCGAATATGCGCTTGAACTCCTCCTCCTGCCATGTAGGGGAGAGGGACCAATGGGGGGAGAGGGGAGGGGAGAGGAGGTGCAAGGGGTTAAAGAGGATAGATATTGGTATGCCACGGTTGGTGGGGGTGACCACCACTGGCAAGCCAAATATGCGCTTGAACTCCTCCTCCTGTCATATAGGCGTTTGTTGAAGGGGGGGAGGAGGTGGGGGAGAAGAAGAGAAGGCAGGGAGTGTGACTGTGAGTCCAAGGAGAAAGAAGGTGGGAATGATGGCAACTTAATCCTTCGATGCCAAATGCTAGACTCTGAAATTTAAGACCCTAGAGCTTACCCCTGTAACGATCACCTCCATCCCTTCATTTTGGCGGTGCCTGTCATCCCAGAGACCTTGCTGTAGAGGCGGAAGAGCGACTGGTGGTAGGTACCCTGCATTACGTGCTTGAACACCCATCAACAACAACAAGCTCCCATCACTTGCGTTCAAACTTCTACACCCTCAACCTTCCCAGTCACAAGGCTCTCAGCGCACCTCCGTCTTGGCGGTGCCTGTCATCCCCGACACCTTGCTGTAGAGGCGGAAGAGCGACTGGTAGGGTAGGTCACCTGGGCTACATGCTTCGTCACACCCCAACAAGCCCCCCTTCACTCGAGTGATACCCTGCCCGACCACTAGGTAGGTACTCAAGCAACGCACCTCAGTCTTGGCGGTGCCTGTCATCCCAGACACCTTGCTGTAGAGGCGGAAGAGCGACTGGTAGGTCACCTGGGCAACTGTTTCTGACACGGGCTGCCGGGGGGAAAGGTGACAATGGAAAGAGGAAAGGGGGGGGGAGAGGGTGAACGAGAAGTGGAAAACCAGGGTGGAGAAGTGGAACTGGTAGGTCACTTGGGCTACGCTACTGTTTCTGACACGGGCTGCCAGAGGTGGGTGATAAGGAAGGGTGTAAAAAGGAAGGGGAACAGGGGGTTGATTTGAAGGATGTTGTGGAAGCAAGAATGTCCCAGTGGGTACCTTTGGTCTTAGTGGTCGCGGGTTCAACTCTCATCGGCAGCACCTTCTCTTCTCATTATGCCGAACATGACACTCCCACACTCCACCACACTCACCCACAGTGAAGTGTGGTCACAGTTGGCATTGCCATCTGTCCACCCATCCCATACTCACCTTGTTGGCTCCTATGGTGTGCCACATGCTGCCATGTAGGCTGTTGTTCCAGCCTGGCCCACATGTGCAACATGTGGCCTCAATTGCTAGCTTGGCAAGGTTGGCTAGCCCTGCCCTCAGCTTTGAGGTGCTGCAGCTAGCCTCAAGAGTTCAGCCACATAAATGTGGCTTCCCACTTCTCTAGAACTCATCCTTGGAAAGGACATTGCTCTAGCCTTTCAGGCTTGTACCATCTTCCTACTAAGGATATATTGTTCTTCTCTCATTGTGCCTCAAGTTCACCGATCCTCATTCTACATGGTATCAGAGCAAGGCTTCTAGCTTAGTGAACGTTGCACACTTCATGGCTCAAGTTGAAACGCCTCTCGGTCGGCACACCCTTCCCATCTTGGAACCAGATGGTTCCAACTTCATTCCATGGAAGAAAAAGATCTGCTACATCTTCAATGTCCTCGGGCTGATCTCCCTCCTTGGAGATCCCAAGGTTGCTTCGCGTCCTTCAATCTCCTCTTCCACAACCAGCGGTGGAGAGACTACCAAAGGCAACAGCGGTGCAGCCCCTAAGACAGCCCATTCGATTGTTTCGCTGCCGGATGAAGAAAAAGAGGAGCATGCATACTATCTTCTCATGTCAGCCGTCCATCCTCAACTATCGCTCACTCTTGCTCAAGCCAACACGACAAAGGATATGTGGGGATGCATCATGGCGCGGTTCGACTGCATGGGCAACCATGCACAAGTGGCTCTCCTCCGGGATCTCATCACTACACGGATGGACCCAACAACAAGTCTTCGCTCCTACTTTGATCGAGTTGGAAACCTTACACACCAACTCAAATCTGCCGGCTTTGAGCTACCATCATGGGTGGTGGTAATCTCCATCATCCTCAACCTTCCGGACTCGTTCAAGACCCTTACTGAAACCATTTGCACCGTGAAAGACATAAAGTCTATGACAGTTGAATACCTACAGTCACGCCTACTCGATGCCGATTGGGAGCGGTCACAATCTGGTACAAGCCGTAACATGGAGGGTGCATACAACCTCAATTCCCAGCCCTCCCACCCTCTTCGCTCCGGTTCACGCCAGTCGCCCACCTGCCGTTACTGCAAGAAAACGGGTCACACCATCGATGAATGCTTCAAATTGAAGAAGAAGAAAGAGCTTGAAGAAAGCTCTAAACGGGAGAAATCCGTCTTCCAACCCTCGGTGCATGTCTCCACCAGCTCCTCTGCTGAAGCTACTCCGACCCCCACACCCCCTCCTGCCCCATCAACCCCTCAGTCCGTACCTGATTCCCGGTACGTGGACATTGCTGTCAGCACCAGCCACCACCCCATCTTCTCCACATGGACTCCTCTCGTCGCTGCTGTCTTCATTCTCACCATCCTCCTTCTCCTCCTCCTCTTCCCTTATGGGGCTCCCTACGCATCGGCATTCACGGCCTCCTCATTCAATATGGAGCGGACTTCGTCGTGGCTGGTGGACAGCGGCGCATCCTCCCATATCTGCTCGGATCGTTCGCTGTTTTCGTCTCTCAAGAAGCCCAACGAAGAGATCCTTGTTCGTTTTGGTGGAGGAGAGACTTACAAGGTCTTGGGAGTCGGCACGGTGGTGGCTACTCTTCGGTCACCAACATCGGAAACCACCATTCAGCTTGACAACGTTCTATTTCTCCCTTCATCAGTTCACAACCTGCTCTCTGTTCGTGCGCTTGGTGCTGCCGGCGTTGCCGTCTCGTTCCCCGCTGCTGGGCGCGTTGTTCTCACATCTGATGACGTTCCTATTGGCGAGGGCTACACCCGCAACAATCTGTTTTATCTTCAACTGCATCATGGGAGCAGTGCTGCTCCTTCTATCAAGCCAACTGCATGTCCAGCCTCCACCACCACCTCCTCGTACCTCTGGCATCGTCGTTTCGGGCATCTCAACATGCAGGCCTTGTCAACACTTCATCGGCAGCAGCTGGTCACCGGTCTTCACCTCTCCTCCACCTCGATTCCCCCCTGCATCTCGTGCTATCGTGGGAAACAAACACGTCAGCCATTTGGCGTGTCCCATTCTCGCACCACAGCCCCACTCCAACTCATTCACTCAGATATTGCTGGACCGCTTTCATATGGAACTACCATTGGCGGCGCTCGCTACCTTCTCACCTTCATCGACGACTACTCCCGCCACATTACAGTGTATCTCCTACGCCACCGGTCGGAGGCACTTTCATGCTTCAAGGCTTACGTCACTCGGGTGCACAACATGCATTCCCCACACACCATCAAAACCTTTCGCTCTGACGGTGCCTTGGAGTTCACTTCCAAAGCCTTCACTTCATTCCTCACAGCTCATGGCATCGCCCGCCACCTCTCCACGCCATACACACCTGAGCAAAATCGAGTAGCTGAGCGGGCCAACCGGACTTTACTTGAGATGGTCCGTTCCATGCTCCATGATGCACACATGGACAAAGGCTGGTGGGGTGAAGCCGCTCTTACTGCTGCCTATCTTCGTAATCATGCCATTAGTCGGGGTGGTTCAACTTCTAAGACTCCCATGGAACTATGGACCGGTGCACGTCCGGATGTATCACACCTCCGCATCTTCGGTTCACCCGTCTCGGTCCTCATTCCTTCCCAACGGCGTTCTAAGCTCGACGACCGAAGCACGGCCGGCATCATGGTTGGATATGGTCATCTCGACGGCACCAAAGCTTACCGCATCTATATCCCATCTCAGCACCGTGTCATCCTTTCTCGTGATGTCATCTTCATGGAGCCCTCTGCACCGCCTTCCGACGACTCTCGCGACCCTCCATCGTCATCTCCACCCACATCCTCCTCACTACCTCCTCCTACACACCCTTCTTCCTTGGAACCAATCTCCCCTCCCTCTCCTTCCCCCACCATACCTTCCTCCACCAACCCCCACCCACAATCCCCAAACCTGCCCGCACCAGCCACATCTTCTCCTCCTCCATTGTTTTCCAACCTTCCTCTGCCCTCGACGCCGCAAGACTTTCACCTTCCATCCTTCTCTCCTCCCTCTTCGCCTCCCCCTCCCCATTGCACGACTCGCTCCTCCCCGCCATCCCCTTCAGCTCTTCCCGATCCTTCCCTTTTCTCCTTCCTCAAGGTCTTACCATCCCCTTCCGAACCCATTGACTTCACTCTTCCTCCTCTTTCCAACACCTCTGCCAATGCTGCCCTTCACCATCATTACGAACCTCAAACCATTCATGAGGCTCGTACCGGCCCTGATGCTGCCGAATGGATCAAGGCTGCTGATGCGGAACTCGCTGCTCTGCACGCTAATGACACCTACAGCATTGTTCCTCGACCACCCAAGTGCAAGCCGATTCCATGCAAATGGATTTTCAAGGTCAAGGAGAACGCTGATGGTTCTATTGAACGCCGCAAAGCCCGCCTTGTTGTCAAAGGCTTCAAGCAACGTGATGGTGTTGATTTTCATGACACCTTTGCTCCTACCGTCCGCTTCGCCACCCTCCGCTTGTTTCTCACCATAGCTGCCGCTTTCAACCTGGACGTCCATCAGCTGGACATCTCCAACGCCTTCCTCAACGGCACCCTTGATGAGATTCTCTACATGATGCAGCCTCCCGGTTATGACCTTCCGGCGGTCCATGGTGTTGAGCAAGTTTGTCTCTTGCACAAACCGCTGTACGGGTTGAAGCAAGCTCCGCGATGCTGGTACCGCAAGCTTCGTGAGGAGCTTGCTGCCTTTCACCTCTTTGCTGCTCGTGCGGACCCCGGCCTCTTCATTGCTCCTCCTCACTCACCTTATCGGCCTACAGCTGCATCCTTCTTCATGCTTCTCGTCTATGTTGACGACCTCATCATTCTCTCCTCCTCCTCCTCTCTTCTTGCCTCATTCAAGCATGCCCTTTCATCTCGCTTCAAACTTCGTGACCTCGGACCTCTCTCCTACTACCTTGGCTTTCACATCACTCGTGATCGAACTTCCCGCACTCTCCACCTTCATCAATCCAAATTCATCACCTCCATTCTAGACACCTACTCCTTCTCTCCACTGAACCCCGCTGCCACTCCCATGGACACAAAGTTTCAGCCACCCGTGACTTCCTCCCCGCACTCCTCCTCCTTCCCTTACACCTCGTTTGTCGGCTCCATCATGTATGCCATGGTGGGGACCCGTCCCGACCTCGCATATAGCGCTGGAGTTCTTGCTCGTCACCTTCACGATTGGTCTACTCCTCACGTCTCGGCTGCCAAACGCATTGCTCGCTACTTGAAAGGGACTACCTCCCTTGGGCTTCTCCTTGGTGGCATTCCCGACACCCTCGAACTTCATGGCTGGTGTGACGCCTCTTGGGGACCGGAGGGGGAGCTGCGTCGCTCCGTTACGTGCTACTTGTTCTTCCTCGGTCCGTCACTCATCTCTTGGCAGTCCAAACGCCAAGCCGTCGTTGCTACCTCTTCATGTGAAGCTGAATATTACTCTCTGGGCGCCGCGGTGCACGAGGCATTATGGCTTCGTTCGCTCCTTACTGCAGTTGGACTTCCCCCTACCGGCCCCACCCGTATCTCGTGTGACAACAACAGTGCCATCATTCTCGCCAAGGACGATGGCGTCTTTCATCCCAAGGCCAAGCACATCGACATCAAGCACCATTTCATTCGCGATCATGTTGCCGACCACTCCATCACCCTTCACTATGTTCCTACTCAAGACAACCTCGCTGACATTGGGACCAAGCCTTTGCCCCGTGACCCTTTTCTTCGCATCCGTGGTCTTCTCGGTCTCACCCATGTTTCCTCTTGAGGCACCCTACCCCGGGGACATCCTTGAGGGGGGGTGTTGTGGAAGCAAGAATGTCCCAGTGGGTACCTTTGGTCTTAGTGGTCGCGGGTTCAACTCTCATCGGCAGCACCTTCTCTTCTCATTATGCCGAACATGACACTCCCACACTCCACCACACTCACCCACAGTGAAGTGTGGTCACAGTTGGCATTGCCATCTGTCCACCCATCCCATACTCACCTTGTTGGCTCCTATGGTGTGCCACATGCTGCCATGTAGGCTGTTGTTCCAGCCTGGCCCACATGTGCAACATGTGGCCTCAATTGCTAGCTTGGCAAGGTTGGCTAGCCCTGCCCTCAGCTTTGAGGTGCTGCAGCTAGCCTCAAGAGTTCAGCCACATAAATGTGGCTTCCCACTTCTCTAGAACTCATCCTTGGAAAGGACATTGCTCTAGCCTTTCAGGCTTGTACCATCTTCCTACTAAGGATATATTGTTCTTCTCTCATTGTGCCTCAAGTTCACCGATCCTCATTCTACAAAGGAGATTGGGAAAAGGGTGGAAAATATGAGTATAGGGTAAGGGGAGGAGCAGATGGACTGGTAACCCCCCCTGACCTGACCTACCAATCCTTCTTCTGCTCTCAAGGAGCAGAAACTGTTTCTGACACGGGCTGCTGAATGAGGTAAGGAGGTAAGGAGGAAGGAGGTAACACGACGGATAAGCACAGTAGAGGACCAGAGCATCCTTTCTCTCACCTTAATCCTCACACACTCTCCTCCTCCCACTCACCTTAATTTCCACACCCTCTTTCGCCTCAACAGCCTGGTGAATGCCGTCGCTCCAGCGCCGCATGTCTGCTGTTCTCCCCGTGAACTACAGACAAGACGAGGGTAAGGGGGGAAGGGGCAGAAGGAGGCAGTTGCGGCGAGTCACAACCCAGCTTGGTGATGAGGCTCCTTGCAATACAGCCTGGTGAATGCCGTTGCTCCACCGCCGCATGTCTGCTGTTCTCCCCGTGAACTGCAGGGAAGGTGGGAGGCGGGGAAGGGTTGGGAAAGGTTGGAAGGGAAGGGGACAAGGAGCAAGAGCGGGAAGAGTGTTGGGGCTCCTTGCAATCAAGCCTGGTGAATGCCGTTGCTCCACCGCTGCAGGTCTGCTGTTCTCCCCGTGCACTGTGGGTGTTTGGGCGGAAGGGGTAAGGGATGTGAGGACAGGAGCAATAAGGAGGAACCGTGTGGAGGGAGGAGATGCTCCATTTCCAAAAAGGGAGGAGTTCAATCCATTTCCTCCTGGGCTGGAGTGAGATGCTCCTTTACAATCCAGCCTCGGCTAGGAAATACGTTCACTCCACTGCTGGAGACACTGCTGTATGTATGCCTGCCTGCTGTCCATCCTGTGAACTTATGGCGATGATGGATAGGGTGGGCCAAGTGGGACCAGCCAAGCTCAAGCATATCAAGAATCTCAAGAATCACTCACGTACCTCGTCCACTATAATCACGTACCTCGTCCACTATAATCACATACCTCGTCCACTATAATCACGTACCTCGTCCACTATAATTCTGTACCTCGTCCACTATAATCACATACTTCGTCCACTATAATCACGTACCTTGTCCACTATAATCACGTACCTCGTCCTCTATAATCACGTACCTCGTCCACTATAATCACGTACCTCGTCCACTATAATCACGTACCTCGTCCTCTATAATCACGTACCTCGTCCACTATAATCACGTACCTCGTCCACTACAATCACGTACTTCGTCCACTATAATCACATACCTCGTCCACTATAATCACGTACTTCGTCCACTATAATCACGTACCTCGTCCACTATAATCTACTTCGTCCACTATAATCACGTACCTCGTCCACTATAATCACGTACCTCGTCCACTATAATCACGTACCTCGTCCACTATAATCACGCACCTCGTCCACTAGAATCACGTACCTCGTCCACTAGAATCACGTACCTCGTCCACTATAATCACGTACCTCGTCCACTATAATCACGTACCTCGTCCACTATAATCACGCACCTCGTCCACTATAATCACGTACCTCGTCCACTAGAATCACGTACCTCGTCCACTAGAATCACGTACCTCGTCCACTATAATCACGTACCTCGTCCACTATAATCACGTACCTCGTCCACTATAATCACGTACCTCGTCCACGATAATCACTTGGCCGTCTTTCACAATGTAGTCCCGATCCCTCAGGTAGAACTCTTTTGCTTTGAGGGCCGTCAGCACGAACCTAGCCAGGATAAAAAGGGCAAGGGGATGGGGTGGGGAGGGTGAGGATGGGACTGCGGCATATGACGGATGAAAGAAAGAGCCATATTCCTGACAAACGAGTTGCTATTTGCAGGCAAAAAATATACCAGCAGCATGAGATGCAGCTCACTCACTGCGCAAATGAGTTGCTGCTCTCAAAGATATCATCTGAATCTGCGCCATTCCCATTCCCTCCTTCCCCCAGTTCCACCCCTTCCCCCTCTCCGTCCCCCTCTGCTGCAGCATCCTCGCTTCTCAAGCTCTCTGCCACAATCGCCACCCCCGAGTCGGTGAGCTGCACCGTGCGCAGCTTCAGGTCTGCCGTGTAGTCCTGGTGGGGTGGGGAAAGGGAAAGCCGGGATGAGTGCTGTGCTGTGGTGAGTGGAACACACTTCTCTAGCGGCCTTCCCTACCTCTGTATTGTGACGTCACAAAACCCATCATGGTTTCAATCTCTGCATCACTCGGACCAAACACGAGAGCCTTGATTGATTCGTACTCGGCTCAACCAGTTATCCCATGTACTAACCAGTAACCACCATACAAGCCTTGATACGTGCCTTGATCAAGTGAGCACTCACAATATCCCTTCTGAGGATCTCCGCCACTTGAGCAGCCACAGGGAAGCGCATGACGTACGAGGAGGACTGCACACGCAGAAAGTGAGTGAGAGGGGGAAAGAGAGGGAAAGAGAGGGGAGGATGGGGGCCCAGGGAGCACACAAATGTCAAATCCGCTATTCCAGCAGCCACATGGAAGAGCAACACGTGGGCAGGAGGGGAAAAAGGGGCACCTATAGGACAACGTGAAACCCTATAGGACAAGTTCTTAGGTGCCTCAACAACGGGCATCTATGGGGGGGAGGGGAAGAGCATGCGAGAGAGTAGGAAGGAGGGAGGCCTGAGGTGAGGCACTGAGGCCCTGAGTGACTCACCATGTTGCTGAGGCACTGAGGCCCTGAGTGACTCACCATGTTGCTGCCCTCGCGGATGAGCACGATGGAGCAGCGGGCAGAGAGGGGCACTGACGACAGTGGGGCAGGAGGCAGTGAGGCGAGGCCGTGACTCATGAGGCGAGGCCCAGGTCGAAACTGTTTTTCTGTGCTACAAGAGGCGAGGCCCTGACTCACGCTGTCCATGTTGCTGATGGATTTTGATGCAGTTTAAGAACGGACGAAGGCCCTGAGACCCTCACCATGTTGTTGAGCTGATGAGCAGGGGGTTCCTGCCCTCATTGATGAGCACGGAGTCAATCTCGTCCACGATGGAGTAGTGTTGTGCAGTGCATGGGAGGAAGGAGGCAGGCGAGACAGGAGGCACTCACCAGTGACGCACTGAACCGACAGGTTTGCGTCAGTGAGGCACTCACCATGTTGCTGAGCTGATGAGCAGGAGATTTCTGCCCTCATCGATGAGCACAGAGTCTATCTCGTCCACGATGGAGTAGTGCAGCGCATGAGAGGAAGGCAGGCAGGCAGCAGTGAGGTACGAAGGCACTCGCTACGCTGTTGATGAAAGGCACTGGGGCAGTGACTCACCATGTTGCTGATGAGCAGCGGGTTCCTGCCTTCGTCAATAAGCACAGAATCAATCTCGTCCACAATGGAGTAGTGCAGCGCATGAGGGCAAGACTGGCAGGCAGGCAGAGGCATGCACTATGCTGTCAATGAAAGGCAGTGAGGCAGTTACTGACTCACCATGTTGCTGATGAGCAGCGGGTTCCTGCCCTCATCAATTAGCACAGAGTCTATCTCGTCCACGATGGAGTAGTGCAGCGCATGAGAGGAAGGCAGGCAGGCGGCAGTGAGGCATGGAGGCACTCACTACGCTGTTGATGAAAGGCACTGGGGCAGTGACTCACCATGTTGCTGATGAGCAGAGGGTTCCTGCCTTCGTCAATGAGCACAGAGTCTATCTCGTCCACGATGGAGTAGTGCAGTGCATCTGGCCACCTCAGCGTGCGCTCGCTTGGGTCCTGAACCAGATGGTCTCGCAGGTAGTCGAACCCAATCTCCTGATATGGAGGTAAGTCAGGGGAGGGGAGAGAAGGGTTTGTTCGTGCTCCAGGTGCTGACCACAGCAGTCAAATCAAACCCAGAGTTCGGGATTCAGGGCGGAAAAGGCTTTGAGACTTGTCGAAAGCCAATCTCGTCCACGATGGAGTAGTGCAGCGCATCTGGCCACCTCAGCGTGCGCTCTCTTGGGTCCTGAACCAGATGGTCTCGCAGGTAGTCGAACCCTATTTCCTGGTATGTAGTTACAACAGTGCAGGAAGGGGGTTTGAGATGTGTCAGTGCAGGAAGGGAGTTGTGTGTGTGCCAGGAGACAATCTCGTCCAAAGTGGAGTAGTGAAGTGCATCCAGCCATCTCAGCGTGCCCTCGTTGGGGTCTTGAACCAGATGGTCCCGCAGGTAGTCATACCCGATCACGTTCACTTGACACTGCCCTACTGACACATGTTATTCCTCACTCTCGTTGTCTCTGCCCTATTAACGCATGTTACACCCCACTCACGTTGCTACTGCCATATGTTATGTTATGTCGCAAGCATAAGCCAGCTGTCTCTGAGGCGCCTCATAAGTATGCCATAAATGCGTTACAACTCACTCACTCACGTTGTTGCTGCCATATGCATTACATCATACTCATGCTGTTACTGCCGTATGTATGTTATGTCGCAAGCATAAGCCAGCTGTCTCGCCTCCTTTGCCTGGCCAGGCTGCACGAACAAAAAAGACGGTGTTATTGCCACCCACATGTGGTGTTACATCTCACTCACGTTGTTGCTGCCATAAGTAATGTCGCAAGCATAAGCTAGCTGTCTCTCCTCCTTTGTCTGACCAGGCTGCTCAAACCACAATTTCATGCAGAAAAAGACAATCGAAGGCGCAGAAAGGAACAACGCATGCAGAGAAGTAAAGCAGAAGGCGCCGAAAAGCACAAAAGAAGCAAAAACGGTCAAGAGTGCAGATAAGATGGAAATCAAAGATGCATCTGAAGAGGGCAAGTGGTGCAGAGTCGGTCGTGCGAGAGAGTGAGGAGAAAAGAGGTGTTTGCAATCTGTTCGTGAAAAGAGGGGAACACCGCAAGCAAAAGAAGTGCATTGAGACGTCTCAAAACACTTCTGTTTACACGTGGTTCGTGAAAAGAGGGGAACACTGCAAGCAAAAGAAGTGCATTGAATCGAGTGACTCAAAAAACCATCCACATCGGATTATTCGCCTGCATCACACTCGATAGAATCACACTAATCTGAATCAGGCATTTCTGTGACTCGCTTACCTGAATGACCCCCACTGACAGCCCCAGAAAGCCGTGCACCCTGCCCATCCACTCCGCATCCCTCCTTGCTAGATAGTCATTGACCGTTACCACTGGGGTGGTGGGGGAAAGGTATGGGATGGGGGAAAGACAAGATGGCATGGGATGGCATGAAAGTCCGTGCACCCGTCCTATCCACTCCGCATCCCTCCTTGCCAATTAGTCATTGACCGTTACCACTGGGGTGGGGAGAGGAGAGGCATAGAAAGGCGGAGGGGAGAGGAACAAGTGAAATCAAAGAGTGGCGGCACCAACTTGCAAACCATTCACTGGGAAAGGGAAAAGGAAGGGGATGGAAAGGGTGCAGATGATCCCTTACCATGCACGCCTTTGCCCACGTCAGCCATGTGGACTGCGTGAGCTGCCTTTTGAGTCGACTCAAAAGTCAACTCAGATGATCCCTTACCATGCACGCCTTTGCCCACGTCAGCCATGTGGACTGCGTGAGCTGCAGTCGCGAAGTAACTTTTAGCAAAAGAAAGACAGTAGTACTAATCTGAATGTTGTACCCTGCTAAGTGCCAAGAAAATCTAGAAATCCGAACTCTCGAATCGACTAAAGAGATTAAAATGCAAACATGTTTCGGCTGACTGGGACAGGCAACGCGTCAAACCTTCATCAGTGCTAGCGGGAGAGGTGCAGATAATCCCTTACCATGCACGCCTTTGCCCACGAGGGCGTTAAGGTAAGCTGCGAGCGTGGACACAAGCGTCTTCCCCTCTCCTGTCTTCATCTCGGCTATCGCCCCTGCATGCAGCACTGCCCCTCCCACGACCTGCAAGAAAGTGGAGAGGTGCGGTGCGGAGAGGAGTGAGGGAGGATGGGACAGAAGAGGGGAGAAGTGGAGTGAGTGCATTAAGTCATGTAACTCATCATCCATGACTGCTGGTGCATATACACCCATCCATCCACCCATCCACCCACCCACATACACACACCCATCCACCCACACACAAACACACAAACACACACCTGCACATCGAAGTGGCGCATGCTGAGGGTGCGCTGAGCCGCCTTTCGCACCACAGCAAAGGCCTCTGAGGAAGGCTTGCCGGTCTGGATTCTAGTACCCCCGCCCATCCCCCCCTCACCTCCCCCACCCCACCCACACACACACCTGCACATCAAAGTGGCGCATGCTGAGGGTGCGCTGAGCCGCCTCTCGCACCACAGCAAAGGCCTCTGCGGGGCCAAGGGCAGGCAGATAGGGGCGCAGGAGCGGCGCATGAGAAAGCAGTCCAAAAAAGAGACACGGCTAAATTGGGAGTTTTAGGAAAAGGGTGATCGCAGGGTGACCAGGCAAGTGCCTTTTGAGTCGACTCAAAAGTCACCTTGGTGACCAGGCAAGTGCACGCGTTCGAAAAGCAGATGCCATGATTTATAACGTGTGAGTATTGTTTGAACCAAGGATAAAAAATACGACCGAAATATTGATTTTAGGGCCGTATTATACGGTATCGTATTATACGGTCGTTTAAAACGGTTTAGTACGGTTAAATGTTATTTTTAAATTCCGATTAAAAATACGATCGTTTTTTTCGACCGAATTTTTAGAACGGAGAAAGTGTACACCGAATTTCAACAATCAGCCCCGTCGAGTTCGTTTTGGGGGATTTCGTGAGAAGTCTTGTGAGTCTCGCTCGAATTTGGCCCGAGTCGCGCATGTCAGGAAAATGGCGTGGCGCGACATTTTGACATCTGACGAACAATATAAAAGCGCTTACCCGTTTCGCTGAGTCGTTTGAGTAGTTCGCCGAATCGCGACGACACCAAATTTCCGAGGCGCGGAAATGTACACCATTGGCGAACCCCTTGAACCTTGGTACCCGTTTCGCGGAGTCGTTAGCACAACTCGCGCGCTGGGTTTATTTTTTGCCCCCAATCTTGACGCCTCGCACAATTGCGCGCGACACAATTCCAGCCAATAGTAATACGCCAATCCATCTCCCATCTCACGTCATCCATTCTTCAAACACCCCTCGACAAAGCAGTACAAAGAGATACATATTGGAGGAGGAAAATCCCATTCGACACATCCTCTCTCTGGCTGCCGTATCTCAGAACAACAATCTCTGACCCACGCTTTCTCAGCATAGTCTAGTGGAACGCCATGGTGCGCCCCGCTTCTCAGTTTTGGGAGCACGCCATTAAGATTAAGGATGACGAAGGCAACGTAGTCGGTGCTACCTGCATTCGTTGCAAGAATCCTGTGACGGCTAATGCGACTAGGATAGGCGAGCACATGTTCGGCACTAACAAGAGGGACAAGAACGTTGCGATGTGCAAGTCGGACTATGCTAAGCAGCTGCGGGCGACAGCCGATCAGGAGCCCTCGACCACGGAAAATGCTGCGGGAGGATCAACCCGTGCCTGCACGTCCTCGGTGGAGGCGCCGCCCGTGCGTCGCTCCCGGCAGCGAGATATCCGTGATATGACGGACCAAGTTGCGCATAATCGCCTCGATTACCTGTGGGCTGCTGCAGTTGCCGAGACCGACCTCGCCTTCAACGTCAGCAAGTCGAAATCGATCCAGGCGTTCGTTGACGCGGTGATCATGTACGCGAAACCGTACACCCTTCCAACCCCGTACAAGGTATCACCCATTGCTAGACAAGCTGAAGGCGGACTCCGAGGACCTGCTGCGGCCGCTGAAGGAGAGCTGGAAGACCAGCGGGTGCTCGCTCTCCGTCGATGGATGGACGGACATCAAATCCCGCGGTTTTGTGTGTGTCATCGCGCAAAATGACACCGCACCCGTCATCGTCGACATCGTTGACTCGAAGACAGTAAAAAAAACCGGGGACTACTTGGCAACGCTTATTCAGGGAGCGATCAGCACTGTGGGGCCGAAGCATGTCGTCCAAGTCGTGATGGATAACGCTTCGAACAACAAAAACGCCGCCAGCAAGCTAAGCGCGGATTATCCCCATATCTTCTTCACCAACTGCGCCGCCCACTGCCTCGACCTCATGCTGCACGACATCGGCAAGATCCCTGCGGTAAACTCGTCCTTTCCCAAGTGCATCAGGTCGTGATGATGATCAAAGGCTCCGCCTCGTCGTGGTCTTGTTCCGTGAGCTTTTTACCAAGCTCTCGTTGGTGCGGCCTGGTGCAACGAGATTTGGCACCCAGGTCATCATGCTCGGCAGGTTCCTTGAGGTGAAGCGCGCGTTGAGGGCGATGGTAATCAGCGAGGAATGGGAGGATGTAGCGGTGGCACGGACGGAGGAGGGGATGGAGGTTAGGAAGCTGCTTTTGGACGACGTTTTTTGGGACTGTGGGACGGCCGTGCACCGCCTCATGACTCCCATCTACGAGGTTCTCCGCGCCGTCGACACACGGGCTCAAGTCATGGGGCAGCTGTACGGCCTCATGCTTGAAGCCACGGTGAAGACTAATGCGGCGGCTGAGACGGCTGGTGAGTGAGACGGCTGAAAGTATTACGCGATGGGTATTGATTGTTAATCTCTCCGCCCACCCGCTCATGCTTCCTATCTAATTAGTGCTCTTTATTCACTGTGAGCAGCCGCACACTTCATCAAGCGGACGGGTCTGCTGTTGCCGAAGGACAGGAGCACTTTCCTCACCTCCATCAAGGCGATCATTGCCAGGAGGTGGGACACACAAATGCACAGTCCTCTGCATGCCATCGGTTGGCTCCTCAACCGCCGTAACCAGTACATTGGGGAGGTAAGGAATGACAAGGAGATTAGGAAGGGGGTGGATGAGGTAATCCAGGCCCGGGGCGGAGATGTGCAGCAGCGCATAACGCTAGCTGCACAGGTGGCTCGGTTTCACCGAGGGGAGGGCAGGTTGGGCTCTGACGATGCCCGTTGGGCAGCAACTACCTTGGTGGAGGCGGGGCGCATGACGGAGGCGGAATGGTGGTTCCTGTTTGGTGGGGAGGTGCAGGCGCTCCAAGACCTGGCTGTGACGTCTTTGTCACAGCCAGTCACCTCCTCCGAAGTGGAGAGGTACTGGTCGGCGCTGACACGTGTGCAGAGGCGCGACCGGAACCGCCTCACGGCGAAGAAGATGACTGACGTCACCTTCGTCGCCTTCACCCGGCAGGCCCGTGATGCCTTTGATCGAAAGGCAGCCCTGCGTTCCAAGCTCTATCAGGACCTGGGCAACGGCAACCTCAGGGAAGGGGCTGCCATCATCTCGGCCGAAGTGGAGGTGGAGGAAGGGGATGCGGAGGAGGAGGCACCCGTGGAGGAAGAATGCACCATTGATTGGTCGAAATTTGGGAGCATCGGCAAGAAGAGGAAAGGGAAGGCGGGTAAGTCATCTAAAGGGAAGAAGAGGGGGAAGGGCAACGGTGCATGCAAGGGAAAGGGGAAAGGAAAAGCAGGGGATGCGGAGGACGAAGAGGAGGCGGAAGAGAGCGGTGGGGAGGAGGAAGAGTCTGCCCTGAATCCCAAGGGGCTATATGCCTGGGAATGCAGCGACGGTTCAAGTGGGGAGGAGGAGGAGGAGGAAGAGGATGACGAGGAGTATGACGGTTAGAGTGGGGAGGGAGGAGGAAGAGGATGACGAGGTGGTGGAGTAGAAGAATAGAAGGCAGCAGGGTGAGTATAGTGGGGTGGGGATGGACTTAGGAGGAGATATAGGCTAAAGGCCGGTACTTGCCTAGGTATGCATAGGGGTAGCGGCAGAATTAGTGGACCTTAGCATGCCTGTTTCTCCTTATTGTAGGTTGTTATCGGTTTCCTAGTCTTTGTTGTAGCCATTTCAGTAGATTCTGGACAAATTCTGACTCAAAAAGGGCCAAAAAAAAACGACAAAATTTTTGGAAAACCGAACGTATTATACCATCGAAAAAACGCCCCGTATAATACGATAGCCGTATTTTTTATCCTTGGTTTGAACAAGCTATTCAATTCAAGAAGCAAAACGATCAATGATGCAGTGTAGAGCCAAAGGAAAGGGGAGGGGCGAAAACATCAGCAGCACCTTAAAGCAACTAGCACAGGATATAGAACAGGTAACAGCTTGCACCGCACACAAACGAATCCTACCTGCCTGTATGTCATCCAGCGTCTCTCCCTGCTTCAACCGCTTCTTGAACTCGCGTGTCTTGCGCCGCAACTGCAGCACAATCAGAGCGAGAGAAGACAGACAGGGGACCAATGTCCGCCAGTGACAGAGAGGGTTATCACAAGGTCTGGTCTGCTGGCTGACTCAAGAAACTCCTGGGTGAAACTGCTGGTTATCCCAGGGCCTTCTGATCTGAGTCGGAATTTGAAAGGAACCTTAGAACTGCTGGTATTCCTTTTGTGACTATCGCATGGCCAGCAACCGGTTGGAATCGGAGTGTTGCTGTTCCTGTGACCACAGCGTGCACTGCAGATGTGAGCGACCTACCACATAATCACACAGTTACAGTCACACAGGTCGCGTCACGTATAATATGCTTGCTTGCACTCTCGCCTCATCATTATGCACGTGTTTGTTCGCCGGTGCACTGCTGGCTCCAGAGCCATGACGAGGGCAAGCAACCCATACAGTTACACAGTCACACCTGTACACTCACACTCCTGCCTTCCTGTAACATATCTGTTTGTCCGTCAGTGCCTGAATTTCCAGTCCCAGCGTGATAGCCTAGTTTTGACTCCACTCAAAACTAGGTCCGTCAGTGACTTTTGAGGCGCCTCAAAAGTCGCCTCAAAAGTTGAGTCGACTCAAAACTAGGTCCGTCAGTGCCTGGATCTCCAGCCCCAGCGTGATAACCTCGGCCACGAGGTGGCGAGAGTGGTGCACCGCCCACACAGTTACATACACGGTACACACGACACCGGATATGCGCACCTGCTTATCAGAAAGTGCCTGCATCGCTGGCTCCAAAGCGTTGACTTGAGCCACGAGGTGCCGGAAGTGGTGTACCACCCAGGTGTTGAGAGAGAAAATGCCCAGCTTCTCGCTCTTTATCATGTCTAACGTGCTCTGAAGAAGAGGGGGGAGAGGGATAGGCGGTAAGAGGAGGGAAGGGTGTTCGTTTGTGCCACGAGGTGCCGGAAGTGGTGTACCACCCAGGTTCCTTGCCATGTCATCGTGATTCGTACCATCCTTGCCAGGTCATGTTACCATCCTTCTTATGTCATGGTACCATCCGTGTCATGTCATAAGACCAGACCACCCTTGCCGTGTCATGATACCATCCTTCTTATGTCATGGTACCATCCGTGTCATGTCATAAGACCAGACCATTTTTGTAATTATAAATGATACCCATCCTTCCTTGCCATATCATGATACCATACCTCGGACTGCTCTCTGTCAGAACCTCTTTTCACTGCATTCTTTCCTCTACAAACTCTATCGCCTCTCCTCCCTTCACACATTCTCTCTCCTCTCTTCCTTTACAAATTCTCTCCCCACTCCTCCCTTCCCATAGTCTCCCCCCTTGTCCTCCTAGTTGCACCTAACCCCATCACCTTACCCTGTGTAGTGCAGCCTGCTGCGCGTTATTCTTTCGCCCAACGGGTGCGTTCCCAGATCCTTCGTCAACCGGGTTACCAGCTGTAACAGCAGCGCGAGTCACTGGTAACACCACCCTCTTCTTCCCGCTGCCTTCTCTCCCTGCCTTGACACTCCTTGGCTGAGATTCATGGTCCAAACTACCCCCATCCTGCAAATTTCCTTTAGGAAACGAGCAACGCGTAGCCCCCGGCCTGGATGTAGCTCTATAACGGAGTTGCGCGAGACCGTACCGAGGATCGGATAGGCAAGGGACACGGCGGAGCTGGCCAGTTGAAGGGAAGAGAGACGTGGAGGATCCTGATTGGCGAAGCAAAGAAGGGATTTCTCCGTGAAGCGGCGACAGAATCGTTGACCGTGTCATGGTGATCCTTCTAGAAGCGCTGGCTTTTTCAGTGATGCGATGCAGCGAGTGTCTATGTCTCTTGAACAGCACTACGTACTAGAAACACCCTCGTGTGTCCAATCCCTGGACTTGCCTGCCTGCATCACTTCAAAGGTACGACAAAGAAACGCGCTTCGTAAGTATAATGCTCCGTCAACTGCGGCTCCGTCATCTGCGGTTCCTCTGCCAGCACTCCTCCAGGTTACGACCAAGACACGCACGCTGCAATTTTCAGGCAGCTCTCAGTTACATGGTTACTTCCAACCTAGGGACTCCGTGCAGATTTACCTCGGGACAATGCCAGCAACTGCATAACGGCCCGATTGCACCAGGAGACAAACCCCCTAACAATTTGGTTCAGATCAACGCACACGGTTAAGTTCGGCTCCTCAAGCTTCAGCCTGGTTCTTGCAATCAGGCACTTGGAATTACAATTTGTGGAACAAAATTTCCGAGAATCACTCGAACTGAGGTGCACATTGCTCAGCCTTGTGTCAGGTTCGCTGATTCCGAGGAGGACACTGGATACAGTAGTTTGCAAGTAAACGCGTTTTGTCGCGAAACAAAGTGGGTTTGGCCGACTGAAATCACTTGTGTGAAGTTGAGGCGAACCGAAACTGAACCGCAGACAAGCTCTTAAGCGAGGATTGAGGAGCGGGAAAAGCAGTCTTTACATTGTTCATGATCTCAGAAGCCTAATTCAAATGCACAATCTACTTGCTAGTTTGAACTTAGTTCTAAGAGCAGCTGTAACAATCACTGAAAATAAAGCATGACTTCACAATTTCTATAAACAGACACCAATTCCATCCAAACCTTTCCACCACCTAAAACCCCCCTCTAGGCAGCAGCAGGCTCGGGAGTGTACCAGCCGAGAGAAACCAGCGTAGCGCGCTTGGCCCGGGAGAGCCGAGCCTTGCGGCGCGCGCCCTTGTTCTCATGAATGGCGTTGACCTTCACCGACCGGTCGATGATGGAGAATGCCTCCGAGATGAGCTTCTCTGCTGCCAGTAGCTGCTCCTCCGATGGCGACGCACTCTTGCGCAGCTCCTCCAGAGCAAGGAAGGCCTGAGGCACAAGGGGGCAAACGAATAACACGAACATGTCAAACATTTGAGGCTGCACGAGGTGAGCTTCTCTGCTACCAGTAGCTGCTCCTCCGATGGCGACGCACTCTTGCGCAGCTCCTCCAGAGCAAGGAAGGCCTGAGGCACAAGGGGGCAAACGAATAACACGAACATGTCAAACATTTGAGGCTGCACGAGGTGAGCTTCTCTGCTACCAGTAGCTGCTCCTCCGATGGCGACGCACTCTTGCGCAGCTCCTCCAGAGCAAGGAAGGCCTGAGGCACAAGGGGGCAAACGAATAACACGAACATGTCAAACATTTGAGGCTGCACGAGGTGAGCTTCTCTGCTGCCAGCAGCTGCTCCTCTGATGGCGACGCACTCTTGCGCAGCTCCTCCAGGGCCAGGAACGCCTGTGGCAGGAGGAAGACAGGGGCGTATGCGAACAACACAAGCATGCCAAACGTTAGGGTTGCAAGAGATGAGCTTCTCTGCTACCAGCAGCTGCTCCTCCGACAGGGACTCTCTCTTGCGCAGCTCCTCCAGGGCCAGGAACGCCTGAGGCAGGAAGGAAGGAGGGGGAGAGAAGGGGAGGCGTGATATGAGCTCCTCTGCTGCAACCGACTTCTCTTCCGATGAGGACGAGCTCTCGTAAAAAGCACAGCCATTGGTCAATCGCCATGCTCCCCACTTCCTCTGCTTCACACTCTGCCTGCTGCTGTACACCCTCCCTTCCTCTTCCCTCCCCCCCCCCCCCTCCTTTTCTCTCCTTACCCTCCCCGCCTTGTGCTCTCCGTCGCTGCCAAGCACTGGCCTGTCTGACACCGCCCCTTTTTCCCACAAAGCGCCCACAAGAGACGGAGACTGGCAGTTGCACCAGGGACTCTAGGGAAGATCAGCCCCTCCCTGACATTCCTCAGAAATCCGTGCTGACACGGATTGGTAAAAGTTATACCCGGACCCCTCCCTGACATTCCTCAGAAATCCGTGCTGACACGGATTGGTAAAAGTTATACCCGGACCCCTCCCTGACATTTCTCAGAAATCCGTGCTGACACGGATTGGTAAAAGTTATACCCGGACCCCTCCCTGACATTCCTCAGAGATCCGTGCTGACACGGATTGGTAAAAGTTATACCCGGACCCCTCCCTGACATTCCTCAGAGATCCGTGCTGACACGGATTGGTAAAAGTTATACCCGGACCCCTCCCTGACATTCCTCAGAAATCCGTGCTGACACGGATTGGTAAAAGTTATACCCGGACCCCTCCCTGACATTCCTCAGAAATCCGTGCTGACACGGATTGGTAAAAGTTATACCCGGACCCCTCCCTGACATTCCTCAGAAATCCGTGCCGACACGGATTGGTAAAAGTTATACCTGGACCCCTCCCTGACATCTGACGATCCGACGACCCCTTGACTGAATCACTCAACCATCACCGTGCTTCAGTCGGTTATCACTCTGCTTCAGTGGATTGCCACTTTGCGTAAGTCTGTTACCACTCTGCTTCGGACTGTAACCACGTGACATTGCATCATCTCCAGTTGCCAATGTGCTGACTCAAGGCTCAACGCTAGGCCGCCCTGTCTGTCCCTCCTCCCTCCACCTCCACTCTCTCCATCTCTCTCCTTCCTCGAGCCGCACCTGCCCCTCTCTCAATGTCACTTCATTTGTCCCGCTCCTCCTTTCCCGTCTCTGATTCGCCCTCTCTCCCTCGCTGTCACCGTCTCTGATTCGCCCTCTCTCCCTCGCTCTCACCGTCTCTGACTCCGCCCTCGTTCCCTCGCTATCACCGTCTCTGACTCCGCCCTCGTTCCCTCGCTCTCACCGTCTCTGACTCCGCCCTCGTTCCCTCGCTCTCACCGTCTCTCACTCCGCCCTCGTTCCCTCGCTCTCACCGTCTCTGACTCCGCCCTCGTTCCCTCGCTCTCACCGTCTCTGACTCCGTCCTCGTTCCCTCGCTCTCACCGTCTCTGACTCCGTCCTCGTTCCCTCGCTCTCACCGTCTCTGACTCCGTCCTCGTTCCCTCGCTCTCACCGTCTCTGACTCCGCCCTCGTTCCCTCGCTCTCACCGTCTCTGACTCCGTCCTCGTTCCCTCGCTCTCACCGTCTCTGACTCCGTCCTCGTTCCCTCGCTCTCACCGTCTCTGACTCCGCCCTCGTTCCCTCGCTCTCACCGTCTCTGACTCCGTCCTCGTTCCCTCGCTCTCACCGTCTCTGACTCCGCCCTCGTTCCCTCGCTCTCACCGTCTCTGACTCCGCCCTCGTTCCCTCGCTCTCACCGTCTCTGACTCCGCCCTCGTTCCCTCGCTCTCACCGTCTCTGACTCCGCCCTCGTTCCCTCGCTCTCACCGTCTCTGACTCCGCCCTCTCCCCCACCCCCTTCCCCGCCTCTCAATCACGCTCTGTTCCTCACTGCCTAGAACGCCTCCCCCTCCCTCCTCCGTAGAAAGCAGCATCTTCGCTTTCCGCTCCATAAAAAATCCCTTGCTTAATATCTCCACCGTATGCCCTGCATATCCCCATATCCCCCCTGCTTGCTCCCCCCCATTTATCCCCTTCTTCCCGCAGCTGCCGCAACTCCTGCCTCTCCAGTTCCTTCCGCCTCCCCTCTTCCGCCTCCCCAGTTCCACCTCCCCGTTTCCTCCTCTCCTTGTCTGCTCGCCCCCTGTTTCCGCATCCAAACCACCCTTGCCCCGCGTACCCCAACTTTCCTCCCGCCCCTCCCCTTCCCTCCCCTCGCTCCCCTCACTCCTTCCCCTCCTCCGTCCCTTCCCACCCTCCTTCGCTGTTTTCGCACCCCGTCCGATCTGATTCCTTCGCTTTCCGGGCTAGCTTACTGGAGCACCAATCGGCCCACTTTCTAATCCAGGTGCGTATGCTTGCGCACCTGAATAGCGCCTCTGAATTCCAAAAAATGCGCCCCCTATCCATGCGCGTGCTCATCTCCGTCTTCCGCAAATTTCGTTCTACGCCCGCCGCGCCTCCGCCTGCTTCGCGCGCTTCTGCGAATTCTCAAAAACACCCTGCTGCAAAACGCACCTTCTTCATGCGCGTGCTCATCTCCATCTTCCGCGACTTGTAGTACACCCGCCGCCTGCTCGGCGCGCTTCTGAGGATTCTAAGAAAAAAAAACGCCTCGCAAAACGCACCTTCTTCATGCGCGTGCTCATCTCCGTCTTCCGCGACTTGTTGTACACCCGCCGCGCCTCCGCCTGCTTGGCGCGCTTCACGGCCGAGTCCACCTTCTTCTTCGGCTTGCCCTTAGCGGCGGCGGCAGCGACGGCGGGAGTGGCGGCGGCGCCGGCGACAACGGCGGGACACCTGGCCGCGGCGACGACAGCAGATGGTCGGGTAGCAGCTGCGAAGGATGGGAGAAGCGGCCGGGCAGGGAGAGGGTGGATAGAAGGAGGGGGAGCGGGAGGAAGAAAGGAGGGGGGGAGGGGGGGGGGGGGGGGGGGAAGAGGGTGTGGTGAGTGGGGAAGAGGGGGGTGCAGGTGGTGGGGGAGGTGTTGGAGAGGGATGAACAACGGTTGAAAGGAGCGCTGGTTGGGTTGTGCACTGATTTAGCCACAGCCTGCTTGTTGCGCATCACCATCGAGCCCCCGTGTTCGGCGGGAGTGCTGGCGGCGACCACGGCGGGACTCCTGCTGGCAGCGATGACAACAGATGGTCGGGTGGCAGCTGCGAATGATGGTAGTTGACTTTTGAGTCAACTCATAAGTCAAAAGTCATTCTGAGTCGACTCAAAAGTCAACTCCTGCTGGCAGCGGTGACAACAGATGGTCGGGTAGCAGCTGCGAATGATGGGAGAAGAGATCCGAGAGGGCAGGAAAGGGGAAAGAGGGGAAAGGGGAGGAAGGAAGGAGGAAGTGGTCGGGAGGGGAAGGGGACGGGGAGATTGTTGACGAGGAGAGGGGAGGGGAGTGGGTGTGACGGGAAATCAATATAAACAAAAAGGGGGGCTTCGGAGAGCTGCAATGCGGGTTTGTGTCGCTCAAGAGAACAGCCCAGAAACACCGAAAGCGACTGGGACAGGGAAACCGGTTTGGCAATCGGGAAACGAGAATAACCGAGAACAGCTACGGCTGATCCGTAGGTGATCAGCAACTCAAACACCTGCGGCAGACCCTTAGGCTGTAGGTAACTAGGAAATCTTCTACGGCTTCCAAGGCAACAGCTCGAGCCCGATCAGATCATGAACTTTCACGCTCTACCTCTGCCTAAGTGCTCGCTCCTTGGCATTGCGTCCGACCAGTGCACGATGTTTCACATTCCATCTGATGAGTGCACATTTCTTCACAATAAAACGTGCACGCTCCGTCTCATTCCACGCTCCTTCGCATTGCTAAAAAGCGCGCATTCTTTCTCATTCCATCTGATAAGCGCACTACGCAGGGAATATCTCACTCAAAGCAACTAATCGTCGAAATCCCAATAACGTACCAACGAGCCGGCAGCCGGGGATTGAAACCCTAAGCGAGTCTCTAAGCGTTTCCTAACGCGGTTAATACCCGCACTTGAAGTACAGGATAACTATGCGTCCAAAATCAATCACAAGCGTACCAGCGAGCCGGCAGCCGCGGAAGCTCGAAACCCTAAGTGAGTCTCCGAGCGACACTCTGCTGGACGAGGCCGATAGTTGATGGGAAGAGAGAGACAGCGACCCCAGGGCCTGCGCGGCTGCTTGAATGCTCAAAGAAGCCATGACTGGTTGCTCTAGCACCAAGCACAGAGCTGCTAGAGGTCCTTAGGAGACGGTGGGGCAAGAAGGGGCTTAGGATTAGGTGAAGGGGCTAAGGACTCTCAGAAAAATGTTCCGATCTCAAGGTCGCCCAGCGGAATGAGTTTCAATTCAAGTTTCAAGTGTAGTTCGATACAATCTGGTGTGCTGTGAAGGTGGTCAGCGAACTAGGGTTACCATCACCAGTGACTTCGTTACCTGACTCCGTGAACTCAAACATACAAGGGTTTGGCAGGACATGTGGCAAGGGCTGACGTGCTCCGCGTGGCGTGGCGTCCTCTGATTGCTGTTGACGTTGAGGCCGACGTGGCCTCATCCGAGGATTCGAGGTGTTTCGATCGTACTTCTGGGAGTTGTGAAAACCGGTCTTCCAAGAAATTTGTAAGTTCAAATCAGCATCTGATACCTAGTGATAAGTCTCCCATTTCCCATTATGGATGGAAATCTATAGCTGATAGCTAGTAATGGAAAAACATGATTATGAACTTAATGTTATCGATCATCAAAATTGAAAATAATTTACACACACCGTCTCTAGACCTTCTCACCGGTAAGGTTTTCGGATATAACGGGCTGATGGCTTAAACCTAACCTTGAAAGTTGATGTAGAAGCCGCTTGAGGGGACAAACAAGCACCAGGGGATGAAATATCTGTTAACGCTGAATACATTTCCAATCCAGATCTACACGTATACATACCCTTCTATAACGTAACCCAACATACTTCACCGCATTGAGAAAGTTTGTGACTATTTTGTATGATGGCAACTTCTTGGGTACCTTGTGTTGCATTGGGTTTTTTTGGCAGTTTAACTAGAACAAGGCACAGACCAATTGCGTTTTAGTCATGTTGTATTTGTATGATTCTATGTTAATCCAGCGAGAAGCAGGGTGTAACTGTGGTGTCTGTACTGTGGCTGCTGCATTATATACAGAGTATTATGTCGGCTATTTGAGGACTTGTCAGCAACTGCGATTCGGCCGCTGACGTCAACCAGTCGACTTTGAGTATGACGTCAGGCTTCTGACACCCGACAATGGACGTGGCGCCCAAAGCAACACTGACTGGACAGAAAAGAGGCGGGAATTTTCACTCTTTGATGATTTCGAACACTACCTGAATGATGTCTCCCCCCGTCTGCTCTCAAAAGTTTCGGGGGCGTCAGATGGGTTACATGATCGTTCGTGAGTATCGAGAGCTTTCACCCATCCGCTGATCATGCAATGCGATCCCTGTGTGATCGCGTGATTATGCTGCCGGTGTGTGTCCATATATCACCTTCCGTCGACAGGCTTGTCGACCTGATTCCGCTGACATCTTCCCTCAGGTACAATCGTGCCAGTGGAGACAGCTTTTGTCATTCCAATGTCTGATTCCACGTAATCCAGGAACCCGTTACAGTAGTCATATGGGAGCTTGAGTGAGCTCATCATACTCAAACGACAGCTGACAGCGGAGGCAGTTGCATAAGCTGTCGCCGCTCAGAATTCCCACCCGACATTCTTAGTTGCTAGGATACCTTTTCCTTCTACACGTTTCTCTAACTTCATGCAGAAGTCGAGCTTTTTGGTTTAGCTTAAGAAGGCCCTCCTCGATCACGCCAGCTCGTTTGTGACGGAATGCACGCCTCACTCTGCGCGACCGTGAAGTACCGCTTCTAACTTGGCGGATTTTGCATAGCTTGCTCAACTGTCCTTGTCGAAGCTGACGAAGCACGCACTTGCACATGTTGTGCATTACCCAACACGTTGTTTAGCCGTATTGTAGTGGTTAGTATGTCCCATTCATAACACTCCGTGTTAGGTAGAAGAGTTAGTCCGCTCGAAGAAGAGTCGTAATTATATCTTTTGAGCCGCGATTCGCAATGGGTGTGGTGGAGGAGCGGTTGGTGGAGCAAGAGAAGGAATGCAGCGGACATTTAAAAAGCACTCCCGTCGCGTCTCCCTTTTCAAGCTCTCGTCGGCATAACGCACATACGGCCAGGATCGTATCTTTTCAAACGGCTACGAGGATTCTGTTCTTTTTTACGCTCGTCTTACTATTATGCGGTTTCCGAGTGATGCTGCAAGGAGGACATTCGGCGGGTAGCGTCTCAGCTGAGATCTTCTCTTTGCTAAGTACTGCCGATAGAGAAAAACTTCCTGTAACGATTTACGCCACAGCCCCACGATCTATCAACCTAACCCTTAACATGTCGAAGTCTTGTATGAGAACACTGAGATCGACTTTTATTACTAAGGTGAGGAAGGATAAGTTAGTAGAACTGGTGGGGCCTTGTCAAGCCAGCGCGTGCGCTGCGTTCAAGGAATGGGCTCGGCGCGCTGCTGCTAGAGAAGCCGAGGCGAACCGTCTCTTTTCGCTCGAATCTGGTAGCGGAAATGGTAGCACGGGAAAGGCCAGTGCTAACACTAGCAGCGGCACCAGCAGCAGCATCAGCAACAGCGACGACACGAGCAGCGGCAGTGCCAGCAGTAGCAGCAGCAGCAGCAGCAGCAGCAGCAGGAAGAACCTACCTTTAACTAGAGCTAACAGCGTCCGCGAGGATAGCAGCAGGGGAGCCAGCAGTGTCAGAGAGAAGTCTACCGACAATAGAAACGAAAGTAGCACCGATGCAACCGCTGTTGATTCTTCAGCTCCGGAAAATGCGCCAACCAACGGCCGCAAAGAACGGCGGTTACAGGAGAACTCTAATCCGGATTATACCGTCGTGGAGCAGCGTCAGAATGGCGGATCCGGCGTGCTATGCAGCCAAAGGTGGCACCAAGACTTGTTACATAGGGTTACCAGCAAGAATCACCTGATACATGCGTTCCACGAGGGATATGTTAGTCCTGAGAACATATCAGAGGGGGTGACGAAAGTGTGCGACCGTATGCGACATGTGGAGAGGTCGCTGGCGAGTGAGAGCGCGTCGCAGTGCAAGCAGTGGCCGGAGTCGTGCTGGCCGGTTCCCCACGTGCCGTTCTCCTTTCTCAGTGTACGTCGCATCCGTTCTCATCACCCGCACCGACCACACCCCCACACCCACCCCCACACCCCCACATCCACACCCACACCGACCACACCTCCACATCCACACCCGCACTCACACCCACGCACCGGACTGCACTCCTTCCATCTTCCCTGTTTGCCCTCGCAGGACTTCCCTCGGCGCAAGTATCTGGTAGTTGCTCACACCATGGAGCATAGGAGCAGGGCCACACACACCACACCCACACCCTCGGACCAAACTCCACTCCTTCGTTCCTTCCCATGCCTTCCCGCAGGACTTCCCTCGGCGCAGGTACCTGGTGGTGACGTTCACGATGGAGCAGATGAGCAACGCCAGAACGCACCTGGCAGAGGCTGCTCGCGTGGCGGAGGAATCCGGGCGCATTCTTGTGCTGCCCAAGGTGGGTGAATGCCTACATGGGTTTAAGCTTTCAGCAAATCACACCTATAAGGCCAGCATTAGGCGGTCAAATACTCTCAATTCGCTGTAGCCCCCTGCCGACCACTGACGGAAGTCGATGCAAGCCTTTTTGCCGCCAAAGGTAAGGTTTACTTGGACTCGGTCTGGTCTGAGCCTCTCAACGGCTTGGTATAGGTCTGGTCTGAGCCGTGCGCACCCACCACTGGCTAGACCTCGCTCGCTTGTTGGAAAGCCTCGCAGAACTGGCCAGTGGTGGACCATATTGCAAGTGCCTTCCGTTCCTTCCAGGCGGACTGTAGCCGCCTGGACCTCCCAGTGGCGCGCCAGCACCCCCTGTGCTCCTACTGGGACCTCTCGGGCTTCTTGAGGCGTCTTACTCATCATACCTTGCTCCCCTCCTCCCCTTCACCTCCCTCTCTCCTCCCTCCCCCACCATCCCCGCTTCCCCCCTTCCAGGCGGACTGCAGCCGGCTCTCAGTGGCCCGCCAGCACCCCCTGTGCTCCTACTGGGACCTCTCGCGCTTCTCCCGCGTGGAGTGGGTGTCGTCCGAATTCTTCCTCCTCACTGCGCGTGCCGCCTTTCTCAACCCTTCTGTGGGATTCGTGTGTGTCATAACGGAGTCCCTGCACCGGCCCTGCTTCAACTACCGTGAGTGGGGGAGGCGATGGGAGGGGAGGAGGGAGGGGGGGAAGGAAAAGGGGTGAAACAATTAGAGGAGATCACTGGGGTAGATGCTGACGTTTGCATGGGGCATGTGCCCATGCCTTGTGCCATTGTAAGGAGGTGACTTCTGAGTCGACTCAAAAGTCATTTGCTCCTGCCTAGTTGCTGACATTTGCATGGGGCATGTGCGAGCCCATGCCTTGATGGATTGCGAGCTTCCAAGTCACTGACTAATTTTTCCTTTGTATGATGCTGCATGGTGTATGGTGCATGGTGCATGGTGCATGGTGTATGGTGCATGGTGCATGGTGCATGGTGTATCATTTATCGTGCAGGGGAACTAGAGGCGATCTTGGGGGAGGTGCTGACGTTCGCCATGGGGCATGTGCCCGTGCCCAGCAACACCATTGACGTCAAGATGCCACAGACGAAAGAAGTCTTCAACATGCTCCTCCACGCATGGTCAGTCTATGAGTTGACTTTTGAGTTGACTAAGTCAACTTGCCATGGGACATGTGCCCGTGCCCAGCAACAGTATTGACGTCAAGATGCCACAGACGAAGGAAGTCTTCAACATGCTCCTCCACGCATGGTCAGTCTAAGGAAGTCAATCTTCTCCATGCATGATATGCCTAAGGACGTCTTTCTTATGCCTCCTCATGCATGGTCACTCTACCGTCGTCTTTGATATGCGTTTCCACGCATGGTCAGCGTAAAAAGGTCCTTGATGATATCCTACTTTGTGCAGGAGTGACAGAGACGTGGTGGTGGTGTGGATGAAGTCAACTTTCCAGTGCATGGAGTACGTGCCCCACACAGATGTGGTTGTGACCCATGTGTGATTTCCCACGTTCACGTGTGTTAGTGCCCACACTCCTGTGTGCCGTGTGTGCAGGGGCGACAGGGACGTGGTGGTGTGGATGAAAACGACCTTCCAGCGCATCGACTACGTGCCCCAAGACAGACGTGATTGCGTGCGCAGTGCTGCCATCTCATGTGCGTGTGTGCGTGTGCATGTGTGCGTGCGTTTGTGTTCACATGTACGTGCAGGAGCGACAGGGATGCGGTGGTGTGGATGAAGACGAGCTTCCAGCGCATCGACTACGCGCCCAAGACAGACATGATTGTGACCCCTATGTGTGCGTGTGTACCTGCCCCTGCCTGCGCATCTATGCATGCAGGAGCGACAGGGACATGGTGGTGTGGATGAAGGCGACCTTCCAGCGCATCGTCTACGTGCCCAAAACAGACGTCTACGTGACCCTTTTGAGGCGCCTCAAAAGACAGACGTGAACGTGACCCTTGTATGATATCCCACGTTTGTGTGTGTATGCCTGCACTGCTGTGTGCCACGTGTGCAGGAGCGACTGAGACATGGTGGTGTGGATAAAGACAACGTTCCAGCGCCCAAGACAAACGTGGTTGCTAACCGTGTGCATGCATGCCTGCCCACACATGTCTGCATGCAGGAGTGACAGGGACGTGGTGGTGTGGATGAAGACGACCTTCCAGCGCATCGACTACGTGCCCAAGACAGACGTGGTTGCTAACCGTGTGCATGCGTGCCTGCCCGCACATGTCTGCATGCAGGAGTGACCGAGACGTGGTGGTGTGGATGAAGACGACCTTCCAGCGCATCGACTACGTGCCCAAGACAGACGTGGTTGCTAACCGTGTGCATGCGTGCCTGCCCGCACATGTCTGCATGCAGGAGTGACCGAGACGTGGTGGTGTGGATGAAGACGACCTTCCAGCGCATCGACTACGTGCCCAAGACAGACGTGGTTGCGCGCGCAGTGCTGCCATACCGAGCCAAATGGCATGACACGGCTGCTCAGATCATTGCAAAGCTGCCCAAGCCAGTCATTGGAGTCCATTTCCGCTCTGAATTCATATCCTGGAACGTGGTAGGTACTCATAGTATATCGTGTGTGGAACAATGGGGAACAAGCAATGGGGAACAAGCAATGGGAACAAGGTACGTGCCCCGTGTGTGTGTGAGCGACTCTTCTTGACTGCCCAAGCCAGTCATTGGAGGCCTCTTCCGCTCCGAGTTCATCTCCTGGAACGTGGTATGTGCTCATGGTATGCCGTGTGTGGAACAATGGGGATCAAGGTACGTGCCCCGTGTGTGTGTGTGTGTGTGTGTGTGTGTGTGCGCGAGGCTTCTCGATTGCCCAAGCCAGTCCTAGGCGTGCACTTGTGCTTTGAGTTCATCTCCTAGTACGTGGTGCGTATAGTGCACCCATGGGATGGGACGCCTTCACTGGAATGGTTTTGAGACGTCTCAAAAACTCACTCTTTACACGTATCTCCTAGTACGTGGTGCATATAATGCACCCATGGGATGGGACGCCTTCACTGGAATGTGGTGGCATACACCTCAGGTGACTATGCTTTTGAGTCGACTCAAAAATCACCTGGAATGTGGTGGCATACACCTCAGGAGACATGCTGTCTGAACTGGGAAGGCGGCCATTGGTTTGAGAGTTCAGCCACTGAAGCAGCCACAGACGCCGCCTCAAGTCCTATTTTTCTTTGCTGGTTTTTCTCTTCTCTCTGATTTCCCTCCTCTCTCTTGTTCCCTCCTCCTGATTCCCATCCTCTCTCTGCTTCCCCTTTCCCAGGCACAAGGCTTACACGCCAACTTGACCTAGGAGGAGGTGCAGCATAACCTGCGGCAGCAATGCTTGAGGCGTCTCTAAACTCCTTTCTGATTTCCCCCCTCTCTGTTTCTTCTCCTCGCTGATTCCCCTCCGCTCGTTCTGCTTCCCCTCCCGCAGGCACAAGGCTTACACGCCAACTTGACCTGGGAGGAGGTGCAGCATAACCTGCGGCAGCAGATGGCAGTGTGTGTGCAGGGGGCAGCGAGCAAGATCAACCAAGTCAGGAAAGAGCTGCAAACCCAGCACTGGCAGGAGCAGACTCAGCAGGAAAATCAGGGGAAGCAGGGGCAGAAGCAGGAGCAGCAGGAGCAGCAGAAGCAGAGGGAGCAGGAGGAGAAGGAGCGGTTGATCAACGGGTTAGGGCAATTGGTGGAAGGGCCGACGGTCTTCATAGCGGCAGACATCCCATTCAATGAGTCTGCTGCAGTCCAAGCGCGGTCCGAGTCGTGGAAGAGCATGGAGGTGTGGCTGGGGCGGGAGAACACGGGGCGGGCGTCGAGAGGAGCGCTGAAATGGTTGCGACAGCAAGTGGAGGGGACGGTCATGATTGACGAGGTCATGCCCGCCATCAACGGATATGACCCAGGTGGGTGCGGTTGGGTGCGGTTGGGAGTGGTTGGGCCGGGAGAAGACGGGGCGGGCGTCCAGAGGAGCGTTGAGATGGTTGAGGCAGCACGTGGACGGGACGGTGATGGTCGATGAGGTCGTGCCCGCCATCAACGGATATGATCGAGGTGGGTCCGGTTGGGTGTGGTTGGGTGTGGTTTGGGTGCGGTTGGGTGCGGTTGGGAGTGGTTGGGAGTGGGTGAGTGTGGGCGGCCAACAGTGTTCATAGCGGCAGATCTCCCGTTCGCAGGGCGGAACTGCCGGCTCACAGCACTTAAGCGTCCTCACACAATCCCTCTTCACCCCTGTCCTTTCCCCTTTCTCTCCCGCCGAGGCATCGTGTCGATCCTAGACAAGCTGGTGACTGCCAAGGCAGACATACTCGTGGCAGCAGGGCGATAGTGCGGGCTCTTACCACCCTAAGCAACCTAGGCACCTCACTCACCCCCTTTTCCCCCCTGTCTTTTTCCTCTGCCGTTCCTCCTCCCCGTCTCTGCCGCCCAGGCATCGTGTCGATCCTAGACAAGCTGGTGACTGCCAAGGCGGATGTATTCGTGGCAGCAGAGCGGTACTGCGGGGGGAAGAGGGGCTTCGAGTCGGACATTCTGCAGCACAGGGACGAGTATGGGCAGCCAGCAGACAGCGTTGTGCGGTGGGGGTACGAGAAAGAGGCCTGATGGTTTTTTGCGATTGGGGAGACGGATCAATTCGTGGCCGCAGAGCGGAACTGCGGGGGGGAGAGGGGCTTTGAGTCGGACATTCGGCAACACAGGGACGAGGACAGTAGGCAGCAGACAGCGATGTGCGAGCGATGGGAATAGGAGTATACGGTAAGAGCGTGAAGAGTCCTCTAGTCTGGAATTGTACGGTAGCTGTCAGGGGGTGCTGGCGCGCAGCTGCATCCCACAAAGCCAAGAGTGAAGGCCTTCGGCTTTGAAGCCAGCAGTCTTCAGTCAACAGTGAAAAAGAGCTTACGTAGGGTTACATAGGCTTAATTAGGCTTTGAAGAAAGCTGTCACGTGGGAGGAGAAGCGCCCACTAGGAGGAGCGCCCACTAGGTTGATCCGGTTACCGGTACAAAGCTCGTTCATAGTTCGGCTGGCATGGTAGATTGACCTGACTTGAACCCAAATTGATCCGATCTGACTGTATGGACGCCATTGCTCCATGCACCTGTGTGATTCGCAGCTACGGGTGGCAAAAATTGTATGTTCTGGTTGAAGCAAGTGGCCTCTTTTGAGGTGCCCGAAGAAGCAGCCGCAGCAGCATTTTTTTGCATTGGTCGCAGCAAACAGCCTCGATGGGAGCCGTACCGTAGGGAAGTTATGTTACCCTGTGCTACCATACGGGTGGCAAAATTTGTCTGTTTTGGTTGTAGCAAGTGGCCTTTTTTGAGGTGCCTAAAGAAAAAGCAGAAGCCGCAGCATTTGTTTGCACTGGTTGTAGCAACAGCGTCTATGGGAGCTGTAGGGATGTTCCACCAAGGCTCGATGTCGCGTTGATCAATGAGCACAAACGGTAAAATAATCATATAGAAGACCAACAGTGGTAGGTACCTATTACGTAGCTTTGCGGAGCAATGTTCACCAGGGCAGTGGTTCTAGTGAGGCACCCAACCCAAGGGCTCCATATTTGACAGGTTTTCCTTCAGTGTGCGCATTTACGGTATTACCGTAGTATAAATACACTACCCCATCCAGGGGAGGCCGCTTGCACACGTGTTGGTCTGCGGCAGCTGGGTGATTGGGCCAATCACAAGACGCCAGATGTCGAGGAGTATGGTAACCAGCATGGACGCTCCCAGAGAGTCCACTGCTACCCGGGAGAGAGGCCAGCTGTCTGATGTGTCCTCGTCGATTCTGACGGGGAATTATTGGGAGGGGAGGATGGGAGAAGGAAGGGAGTTGATGGGGTTGGAAGTGGTAACCAGCATGGATGCTTCCAGAGAGTCCACTGCTACCCACGAGAGAGGCCAGCTGTCTGATGGGTCCTCGTCGATTCTGAACGGGCAGGGTGAGGTGAGGATAGTAGGGGAGAGGAGAGATAGCAGGTTTGGAAGGGATAACCACCATGGACGCTCCCAGAGAGTCCACTGCTACCCGGGAGAGAGGCCAAATGTCTGATGGGTCCTCGTCGATTCTGAGGGGGATGGAAAGTAAGCGGAGGGGTGAGGTGAGGATAGCAGGGGAGAGGAGAGGTAGCAGGTTTGGAAGGGATGAGCAGTGTGGATGCTCCACGGGAGTCCACTGCCACTCGGAAGATGGGTCCTCCGACAGCTGACCCATCACTCGGAAGAGAGGTCAGCTGTCTGATGGGTCCTCGTCGATCCTGGGAGGGAGGAATGAGGAGGAGAGGAGGGGAGAGGGGGTTGATGGAGCTGGAAGTGGTAACCAGCATGAATGCTCCAAGGGAGTCTACTGTCACTCGGGAGACTAGTTTTGAGGCGCCTCAAAACTTTTGAGAATTCTCAAACGTTCAATCAATGTAGACTGGTTTTGAGGCGCCTCAAAACGAGACTCGGGAGAGAGGCCTGCTGTCTGATGGGTCCTCGTCGATTCTGAGAAAGAGGGTCAGAAGGAGAGAAGTGAAGAGAAGAGGAGAGGAGAGGTTGGGAGGGGAGGAAGAGGAGGTGAATTCAGCAGGTTTGGGTGTGGTAACCAGCATGATTGCTTTGAGGGAGTCCACTGGTACCCGAGAGAGAGGCCAGCTGTCTGATGGGTCCTCGTCGATTCTGACGGGGAGGGGGGTGAGGAGGGGTAGGAAGGGAGAGGGGAGCTAATGGAGTTGGATGTGGTAACCAGCATGGATGCTCCCAAGGTTTCAGGTGAATTCAGCAGGTTTGGATGTGGTAACCAGCATGGATGCTCCCAAGGTTTCAGGTGAATTCAGCAGGTTTGGATGTGGTAACCAGCATGGATGCTCCCAAGGTTTCAGGTGAATTCAGCAGGTTTGGATGTGGTAACCAGCATGGATGCTTTGAGGGAGTCCACTGCTACTCGAGAGAGAGGCCAACTTTCTCCTCGTCGATTCTGGAAGGGATTTTGGGGAACGAGGGGAGAGGAGGGGAGGGGTGGGAGGGGAAGAGGAGAGGAGAACAAGAAGGTAGGGGAGAGTAGAGGGGATACGGGAACTGAAGAATGCAGTGCCACTTGATTCCTGTTGAGTAGTCTGTTAGGTGACTCATTGCCACATTGCTATTTGTGAGGCCCCTCAAGAATGCACTGCCACTTGATCCTGTTGAGTTATCTTTTAGGTGACTCATTGCCACTTTGCTATTGCCAATCCCAGAACGGGAGAGGAATAGAAAAACGGGAGTGGAGAGTGGAGATTTTTTTAGCGTGCGGGCAAGCACACATGCACATATGCACGCACCCGCCACCCACTTAATATGCACACATGCACATATGCACGCACCCGCATACACCCACTGCACACACTCACCAGAAGAAGAAGGGGAAGCTGACAACAAAGTAGAGTGCGTAGAAGAGCGGCGTTAAAGTGGGCATATTGCAGCACATGGCACGCGAAAACACACACACATGCACACACACACACACACACACACACACACACACGCACATACACACACACACACACACACACACTCACGCACCGGAAGAAGAAGGGGAAGCTGACAACAAAGTAGAGCGCATAGAAGAGCGTGCCGACACGGTACATGGCAGCCTTGTCCACAAAGGTATAGTACTCAAACTGATGGGGGGAATGGGGGAGGAGGTGAGAAGAGGGGGTAGAAAGAGGAGTTTGTGCTTTGAGCCACCCCAACAAGTGTCGTGTGCCATTGTAACGAGGTGACTTTTGAGTGTCGACTCATGACTTTTGAGAATTCTCAAAAGTCACTCCAATATAGCTTGAGTCGACTCAACAGTCACAAAGAGGAGTTTGTGCTTTGAGCCAACCCAACAAGAACCGACACGGTACACGGGAGCCTTGTCCACAAAGGTGTAGTACTCGAACTGATGGGAGGGAGGGTGGAGAGGAAGGACAATGACGGAGGGGAATAAAGCCCACTCGTTAAGAGCCCACTCGATGTGACTTTTGAGTCGACTCAAAAGTCACCTCGTTAAGAACCCACACGAGACACGGCAGCCTTGTCCACAAAGGTGTAGTACTCAAACTGATGGGAGGAGGTGAGGGAGGGTGAGGAAGGAGGGTGAGGAAGGAGGGTGAGGAAGGAGGGTGAGGGAGAGGTGGAGAGAGGGATAGCGTGCCCACACGAGACATGGCAGCCTTGTCCACAAAGGTGTAGTACTCGAGCTGATGGGAGGGAAGAAGAGGAGAGGTGAGAGTCAATGCTGTGATGTACGCAAGAGCGAGTGGGTACCCACGACGAACAGGGGATATCAAGCATGTTTTGCTTTTGAGAAATTTCAAAAGTGATTTCAATATACCCATGAACAGGGGATTGCAAGCATCTTTTGCTTCAAAAACAAGCGACGACAATGTTTCGAATTTCAGGACCCGATTCTCACGTTTGCAATGGTTGCTGTCTCACGTTTGCAATGGTTGCTGTCTCACGTTTGCAATGGTTGCTGTCTCACGTTTGCAATGGTTGCTGTCTCACGTTTTCAATGGTTGCTGTCTCCATAAACGCCGTGATATACGAGAGAGCGAGCAGAGCACCCATGCTCCTAGCACGATTAGCTCCTGTTTTTGAAAGACAGCGAGTGATATGCTATGCTCTCACGTTTGCAATGGTTGCCGTTTCCATAAACGCCGTGATATACGAGAGAGCGAGCACCCATGCTCCTTGCACGATTAGGGAGAACACAGACGAGCGAGTTGCGGAGGAGGCGGAGGAAGTAGAAGGTTTGGATTTTGCCGAGGAGGATTTAGAGTTCACATAGTGTTTGGCAGAGGCGGGTTGCGGAGTGCTTGAGGGGGTGTTTAAGAAGTGGCGGAGACGGCGGATAGTGATGTTGGAGATGACGTGGTAGAAACAGAAGTAGGCGTGGGTGAGCAGATAGAGCGCGAAGGGGACCTGCGGGTGGGTGGGAGTGGGCGTAGTGGGGACGAAATGAAAGCAGAAGCAGTCAATGAATCCGCGCCGTTCTTCCTTCATGTGGGTAAATCCCTGCCCTTGGATCCACGACTTGAGGTTCACGGAGGGCTTGAGGGAGGGGGGGCGTGCGAGGGGGTGTTGAGGAAGTGGCGGAGGCGACTTTTGATACGCCTCAAAGGTCCTCCATGTGGGTATATCCCTGCTCTTCGATCCACGACTTGAGGTTCACGGAGGGCTTGAGGGAGGGGAGGAAAATGGCGGAGGGTGATGTGATGGTGGAGATGACGTGATAGAAGCAGAAGCAGGCGTGGGTGAGCAGATAGAGCGCGAAGGGCACCTGCGTGCGGGTGAAAGTGGGACTTTTGAGTCGACTCAAAAGTCATCTTTTAAAGGGCACCTGCGTGCGGGTGAAAGTGGTACTTATGAGTCGACTCAAAAGTCATCTTTTAAAGGGTACCTGCATGCGGGTGAAAGTGGGAAGAGGGAACGGTGCAAAACAGGGGTTTCCATGTGGGAGTGGGCGGATAGGGGGAAGGGAATGACTGAGAGACGCAGAAGTAGTTGAATTTTCACAGTTGGATTCACTTTGGTGAATCCACATCATAGAATCTACGGCTAAGGTTTACACAGTGCTTGAAGGAGGGCGGGGTGGGGGGTGTTGTTGAGACAAGTAGGCGACTCTTTTGAGTGGACTGAAAGTCACATTTGAGGCGCCTCAAAAGTCTTTTGAGCCGACTGAAAGTCACAGGTGTTAAGACGGAGGGTGCTGGTGGTAAAAGCAAAAGTAGGTGTGGGTGAGCAGGCAGAGCGCGCTTGAGACCTGTGGATGGGATGGGACTGGCCCATCCCATTCACATGGGATGGGATGTGGATGGGATGGGACTGGCCGGGGGAAACGGTGCAAACCAGAGCCTTGCATGTGAGAGTGGTTGAGCAGGTAAAGAGCAAAGGGGACTGCTGCACATGCGTGTGGATGGAGGAGCGGAAATGAATGGCGGGGCAGCGGAAGAATTCGCGAAGAGTAGTGCGTGTAGAAGAAATCGCTTTTGAGAATTCTCACAAGCGATTTCAACGTAAAAGTAGTGCGCACGCACGCACATATGTAGAGAGGTTATTTTTGAGAAGTTTAAAAAATAACCTCTCTACACGCGATTTCAACTTAGAAGTAGTGCATCTTGCATCCCACCTGTTGGGCGCACGCACGCCCATACGGAGGAAGTTGCCATGAGTAGTTGCCCACGAAGGAAGGAAGGAAGGAAGGAAGGATGGAAGGAAGGGAGGATGGAAGGAAGGGACGGAGGAGTAACTCACGTCATTGAGGCGCCAGGAGGGGAAGGTGTATGAAGCTCCAAGCAGCGTGTAGAAGTAGTGCGTCCAGAAGCAGTTCCCGACGAAGCTGAAGATTGCAATGCTATAGAGACCCTTAGAGACCCTTAGAAGGAAGAGAAGCAGCGCTAAGAGGGACAACACTGAACTCACATCATTGAGGCGCCAGGAAGGAAACGTGTAGGAAGCACCCAGGAGCGTGTAGAAGTAGTGCGTCCAGAAATAGTTGCCCACGAAGCTGAAGATTGCGATCCACACGTTTGCCTTCACCCAGTGCTGCTCGTGCCATGGGCGCCCTTTATCAGCCTGATGGTATGGGTGGGATGGGTGAGTGCGTGGGTGGGTGGACGGGGATGGGTGGGAGGGAGGGTGGTGGGTGGGTGGGTGGGCGGGTGGGTGGACCAATGGGAGGGCGTTCAGACGTCTCACAACGCAATCCACACATGGGTCGCCTTCACCCAGTGCTATGCGAGTTGACTTATGAGTCAACTCAAAAGTCAACTGGGAGGGCGTTCAGACGTCTCACAACGCAGTCCACACGGTCGCCTTCACCCAGTGCTATGCCATGCGCGCCCCTTGTCGACCTGATGAGGAAGATGGGTTATTATGAGTGAGTGGTTGGGTGGGTGGATGGATGGATGGATGGATGGATGGATGGATGGATGGATGGATGGATGGATGGATGGATGGATGGATGGATGGATGGATGGATGGATGGATGGATGGATGGATGGATGGATGGATGGATGGATGGATGGATGGATGGATGGATGGATGGATGGATGGATGGATGGATAAATGGATAAATGGATGGATGGATGGATGGATGGATGGATGGATGGATGGATGGATGGATGGATGGATGGATGGATGGATGGATGGATGGATGGATGGATGGATGGATGGATGGATGGATGGATGGATGGATGGATGGATGGATGGATAAATGGATGGATAAATGGATGGATGGATGGATGGATGGATGGATGGATGGATGGATGGATGGATGGATGGATGGATGGATGGATGGATGGATGGATGGATGGATGGATGGATGGATGGATGGATGGATGGATGGATGGATGGATAAATGGATGGATGGATGGATGGATGGATGGATGGATGGATGGATGGATGGATGGATGGATGGATGGATGGATGGATGGATGGATGGATGGATGGATGGATGGATGGATGGATGGATGGATGGATGGATGGATGGATGGATGGATGGATAAATGGATGGATGGATGGATGGATGGATGGATGGATGGATGGATGGATGGACGGACGGACGGACAGATGGATGGATGGATGCATGGATGGATGGATGGATGGGTGGGTGGATGGTTCAATGCGAAGAATTATGCCAAACAGATACATCATACTTGCTTAGAATCACATGTGATGATCTCACCGCACACAACATACCCTCCCATGATTCTCACCCACCGCCCGCAGCATGGCGGGTGGAACGAGCACGCAGGGCAGAGCTGCTGGTAACGCTTGTGTATTGTCTCTTCAATGCAGTACTCAACACACTCAGTTTTCTCTAAGGATCACATGTGACGTGGTGCTCTCTCACTCACTCACCGCACACAGCATGAAGGGTGGAACGAGCACGCAGGGCAGAGCTGCTGCAAGGCCCACCCACAGGTACTCCCACTCCGTGAAGCGCTGGGGGAGAGGGGAGGGGAAGAGGGCGGAAGGGAGGGGAAGAGGGCGGAAGGGAGGGGGAAGAGGGCGGAAGGGAGGGGGAAGAGGGCGGAAGGGAGGGGGAAGAGGGCGGAAGGGAGGGGGAAGAGGGCGGAAGGGAGGGGGAAGAGGGCGGAAGGGAGGGGGAAGAGGGCGGAAGGGAGGGGGAAGAGGGCGGAAGGGAGGGGGAAGAGGGCGGAAGGGAGGGGGAAGAGGGCGGAAGGGAGGGGGAAGAGGGCGGAAGGGAGGGGGAAGAGGGCGGAAGGGAGGGGGAAGAGGGCGGAAGGGAGGGGGAAGAGGGCGGAAGGGAGGGGGAAGAGGGCGGAAGGGAGGGGGAAGAGTATGTGTTGACACAGTCAAGCAGGGCAGCCGCTGCGAGGCCCACCCACAGGTAGTCCCATGCCGTGAAGCGCTGGAGGGGGAAGGGGAAGAGAGGGAGGGGTGGGGAGGGGAGGGGAAGAGAAGGGAAGTGGGGAAGGCGATTATGTGAGGACACGGTCGAGCAGTGATCCGCAATGAAGCCCACTAGCAGACACTCCCACTCTGCGAAGCGCTGGGGGGAGGTGGAGGGGGAGGGGGAGGGGGAGGGGAGGGGGAGGGGGAGGGGGAGGGGGAGGGGGAGGGGGAGGGGGAGGGGTAGGGGGAGGGGAAGGAGTACAGCGTGGGTAGGCGCTTGTGTTACCAGGCGGCGTTTAAACCGTTGTGTTGGCTGTTACCATGCCACGTGTATACAATGTATTTTTGAGACGTCTCAAAAAGACATTGTATACACGTCGCTTGTGTTACCAGGCGGCATGTAAACCGTTGTGCTGGCTGTTACCAGGCCTCAAAAGGAAGAGGGGGAGTAGGTCGCTCGGGTCTACAATGCCGAGGCGCGGAACGAGGCAATGCCGACGCGCAGAACGAGGCAATGCCGAAGCACGGGACGAGGCAATGCCGAAGCACGGGACGAGGCAATGCCGAAGCACGGGACGAGGCAATGCCGCAGCACGGGACGAGGCAATGCCGAAGCACGGGACGAGGCAATGCCGAAGCACGGGACGAGGCAATGCCGAAGCACGGGACGAGGCAATGCCGAAGCACAGGACGAGGGAATGCCGAAGCACGGGACGAGGGAATGGCGAGCGATAGCTGCCCCAAGAGCCCATGCGACTCAGACGGCTAGTGCGTTGAGCCGGACGTTCCCTAATGAATCGTTACAGCGAGAAATCTAGGTACCTTATAGAGCTGAAACGGGACGATGATTCCGAGAGCCCATGTGATCCAAACGGGGGAATAGTAAAGAAAGAACTTCTCGGCCCATCGCTTGCTGGGCGTCTCCGCGAACCACATGGCGGCTGCTGATTGGATCCGGAATGAGCGCGTGAATTTGACCTGCGAATGCAACTTAGAGACAACTACGTTTCTGATTACGCAATAAACCAGAGTGTAAGTGCGCTAAGAGCTTCTTGGAGCTTGAAAAACTGATTGGTGTGATTTCTGGCTGAGGCATATGTCCGATCTTAGAGAGATTTGCTCCAAACCCTTGTTTGAGGATTCGTTGTTGCACACGTGGCCACCATTTGCTCGAGTGGTTCTCAAATTCAGTGATAATTGCTCGAGTGGCCTCGCCAGTGGATTCTCAACGTCTTTTTTTAAGAATGAACATTACCCTTCAGGGGTATCTATCCTCGAAACTTCTGTATTGGTTATTGCGCGATCTTTAATATCCGAAATTTATGTTCATGACCCTATATGACCGCGCCTGATTGGACGCTCATATAATCGACCAATCCTGCGCGGCCAGTAATGGTCGCGCGCATCATATTTTAATGCCCGATCATATATTTCCGCAGTTATAAACTGTAATGCCCTTAATGACCGCGCATGATTGGTCAATTATATGCACGGTGCCTTTTTTTGAATTGCGCGTCCAATCAGGCGCGGTCATATAGGGTCACGAGCATAGATTTTGGATACTGAAGATCGCGCAGTAACCAGTACAGAAGTTTCGGGGATAGAAACCCGTGTAGGGTAATGTGACGGGTTAAAAAAAGCCAGTGGGAATCCACTGGCAAGGCCACTCGAGAAATTATCACTGAATTTGAGAGCCACGCGAGCAAATGGTAGCCACGTGGGCAACGCTGAATCTCCAAACAAGGGTTTGGAGCGATTCTCTCCTGACCTTAGGGGATCGACCAGCCCCTCGGGATTGCCTCCCTGGGAGCGGCTCGCCACGTGGGACAGGTCGAGTGGCTCTCGTCGTCCCATGATGCGTTTGACAAATTCGTTGCCGCTCACTACCCTACCCAACCATTCTAAAAACTTAAGTAACCGCTTTATAACAAGACACACCGCAGTCAAACTAACGTCTGGCAAAGATATTTGGGGTGCTTTCTGGGGTTCACAACCCAAATTGCAGGGGTCGAGTTTTAACGAAGCTTAGAACGAGAATAATGGGTGTTCAATGCTCTGACCGCAAGCATGCTGGAATTGATTGTATCGAGGAGAGGATAACCCCAAGGTGTTCCTGAAATAATTCGCGCTACTGTCAACCCAAAGCCTCCCCACCGAGACCCGACTTAGGGGCAAGAAAAGAGCGCCATAAAATCGCGCCAATCACAGGGGCAAGAAAAGAGCGCCATAGAATCGCGCCAATCACAGGGGCAAGAAAAGAGCGCCATAAAATCGCGCCAATCTGGTAATCCACTCTCCCGCAGCTGCGAGCGCGTTTCGTCCGAGGTATCCTTTAAGGCTCACTATGCCGAGCCGGGAAATCTCACAGCTGTAAACCTCTCTCGCTGTAGTCACGTTGCAGCTACAATCAATCCCTCGTTTCCATCACAATGGATCGTTTACCTAAAGTGTGGTATGAACAGGCCAGCAGCATCGAAGATTCGTTATTAGTTTCCGCGTCAAAAGATACTCCGTCGAGCAACCCCCTTAAACCTCCGCAATCCCCGGCTAAAACCCCGTCCAAAAAATCCCTCGCCAAGAAGGCTCGCCGAAAATCCGGAGAGGCGGAAAGCGCAGGAAATGGCGCAGATGCATCCGCGGAAATTCCCCTGGTAGCTGGCGGGGAAACTGGCGCTGCCACTGGCGCGGAGGGGGGCTCGGGGGAAGGCGCAGGGGCGGGCGGAGGGGGGCAGGCGGAAGACCCGCGCGGGGGGCTGTCAGAGGCGGAGTGGATGGCGCTGGCAGAGAAGCTACGGGGGGAAGGGGACGCGCTTCTGAAGGAGGCGGCGGAAGCGTATGAGCGGCGCAAGGAGAGCAGCAGCGATGCCAGGTGGCTCGCTGCCGTCCGTCGATCTGGAACGGCCGCGGATCGTGTGGCTGCGCTGACTGTGGTTATACAGGACGACCCTGTAGCGAATCTCTCCAACCTGGACGCGTTACTGGGTAAGAGACATTGAAAAGTGCGCGCTTTTAGGGTAAGATGCACCTCCTATCCCCCGCTTAACCCCACTCCCCCGCCTTCCCCCCTTCCACGCAGCCATGGTGTTGAACAAGGCCACCAAGCGCCACGCCGTAGGCGCCATGGACGCGCTCAGCGAGCTTTTCACCTCCTCGCTGCTCCCTGACTCGCGCAAGCTGCGCTGGCTGCACCAGCAGCCGCTGCTTCTCCTGTCCCCGCTAAAGGCATCCCCGCTACAAGCCGCTTCGCTACAAGCTGCCTCGCAGCAGTCAAAGGGCGAGGGAAAAGCAGGAGGGAAGGTGACTGTAGCGGGGGGAGATGCGGGCAGGAGGCTGCTGCGGCTGTGGCGATACGAGGAGTGCTTGAAGGAGCGGTTCGAGCGGTTTTTGGAGGGGTTGGAGGAGGGCGGAAAGGACGTGGTCGAGTTTGTGCGCGACAAGGTGCTTCGCATTCTGCATGCCCTGCTGTCGTCCAAAGCGGAGGGGGAGAGACGGGTGCTGCAGGCGCTGGTGAACAAGGTGAGCGAGCAGTTAGTAGGGCGAGGAGAGGCGCTGCACTGCATATATACCCCTACTGTATATATGCAGGTGCTTCGCATTCTGCATGCCCTGCTGTCGTCCAAAGCGGAAGGGGAGAGACGAGTTTTGCAGGCACTGGTGAACAAGGTGAGCGATGGGGGAGGGGGAAGGGAGGGCGAGTAGAGACAAGGTGCTTCGCATTCTGCACGCTCTGCTGTCGTCTAAAGCGGAGGGAGAGAGACGGGTGCTGCAGGCACTGGTGAATAACGTGAGTGGCTTAGCGGGGGGAGGGATGGGGGAAAGGCAGATATTGCAAGATGTTCCGCATCCCCAGCTCCCCCTTCTTCCCCCTCCTCCCACCCGTCCCCTTTTCCTCCTCCCGTGTCCTGCTTCCCCTGTCCCCGCTCCCTGTTCTTGCTTCCTCCTGTTCTTGTTCATGTTGCTCCAGCTCGAGAGCCCGAGTTTTGAGGCGCCTCAAAACTAGCCTTCCCTGTTCTTGCTTGCTTCCCCCTTCCCCATGTTGCTCCATCTCGAGAACCTCGAGCCGGAAGGTCCCTTTCAAGCCGAGCTACCTGGTGGGCTGTCTGCTAGACGCTCACCCCAACATGGCCCCCGTGGTGGTGAAACACGGCCAGGCATTCCTTCTCACTCCCCCCTACTTTCCCACCTCCCCCCTTTCCTTTCCGCCCCTTAATCCCCAATCCAGCTGGGAGACCCGAGTCGAAAAGTGGCCTCCAAGGCCAGCTACCTGCTGGGCTGTCTGCTAGACGCCCACCCCAACATGGCCCCCGTGGTGGTGAAACACGTGGAAGCATTTGTCTTCCGCCCCAACATCAGCACGCGCGCGCGGCACTACGCGGCCGTCTTTCTGAACCACATCACCCTGTCGCACAAGGGGCTGGGCCCCATGCTCGCCAGACAGCTCATTGACCTCTACTTCGCTCTGTTCAAAGTGGTGACGATGGGTGCGGGAGGGGATGGGGACGGGGACGGGAAGGGGCGGTGGGAGGGGAGAGGAGGAGAAGGGAGGGGTGGAGGGAGAGGGAGAGGGAGGGGTGGAAAAAGAGGGGGACGGGGAGGAGAGCGGGGGGGAAGAGGAGGGAGAGGAGGGAGGGGAGGGAGAGGAGGAGGGGGGAGAGGAGGGGGAAGGAAAGGGAAGGACCGGTTTGTGTCGGCAGCAGCGGCGCCGGGAGTGGGAGGGGTGGAGGGGCATGAGTTGGAAGCAGATAGTGCATTGCTGTCGGCTCTTTTGACAGGTGCGTTGCTAATGATGAGGGTGTTATCATTGAGTATGTTTTTTTGGTGAATTAGAAGTTGGCAGCAGCGCCAGGAGTGGGCGGGGTGGAGGGGGCATGAGTTGGAGGCGGATAGCGCGTTATTGTCAGCTCTTTTGACAGGTATGTTATATCGAGTATGTTCTTTTAGGCAGCACCACCTGCAGCAGCGCCAGGAAGGAGTGGGAGGGGTGGAGGGGCATGAGCTGGAGGCGGATAGTGCTTTGCTGTCAGCTCTTTTGACAGGTATAGCATTAACGCAGTTGTTAAAATCAAGCATGTTTTTTTAGGGCGAATCTTCCCCTCTGCTTGGCCTGTCCCCCACCCATCTCACAGGTGTGAATTGTGCATTTCCATACGTCGCTGAGTTACCAGAGGTGATAGAGTTGCTCTCATCTCCTTCCTTATCCCTTCCCCTCCCAATGGCAGGTGTGAACCGTGCATTCCGCTACGTGGCAGAGGATGATGTTACAGAGGTCATTGAAACGCACACACCCCTCCTCTTCCGCATGGTGCATGCGGCCAGCTTCAATCTGGGCGTGCAGGCGCTGCTGCTGCTGTTCCAGCTCATGGGCAAGAGCGCTGCTCTCAGCTCCCGCTATTACCGCGCACTCTACTCTGTGCTCTTCTCACCTGCTCTCGCCAAGTCTTCTAAGGTGGGTAATTAGGTTAGGTGTGGGGCCCAGGGTTGGGAACCAGGGCTGGGTTGGGCCAGGGTCGGGGCTAAGGGGTGGGAGTTCTTGTCTTGATTCCAGGGCAAGGCAGTGACTCCCAGTGGCAGTGCAGGCGCTGCTGCTGCTGTTCCAGCTCATGGGCAAGAGCGCTGCTCTCAGCTCCCGCTATTACCGCGCACTCTACTCTGTGCTCTTCTCACCTGCTCTCGCCAAGTCTTCCAAGGTGGGTGATGAGGCTTGGGGCCCAGGGTTTGGAACCCTTTTGGAGGCAAAGCTTGGGGCTCAGGTTTAGATTCAGGGGTGGGAGTGTCCTTGAGGCTCAGGGGCTAGTCTGCTAAGGTGGGTGACGAGGCCTGGGGCCAGGGTTGCAGCTCAGGGTTGGGTCTATCACCTCTGTCAACCTGACTCTCCCAACCAGTTAAATGATCCCCCTCCTCTTTTCCCCGCAACCGCCCGTCTCCCTCCCATCCCCGCATCCCCCAACAGGGTCCCATGTTTATGGCGCTGGTGTTCAAGTCAATGAAAGCAGACATCAACCTGCCGCGCATAGCAGCGTTCGCCAAGCATCCCCTCCCTCTGCCCTCCCTCCCTTGTTCCAATGACCCCTCACTTCTTACCTCCCTCCACCTCCCTCCACCTCTGTCTACCCCTTTCCACCGGATATCAGGGTCCCATGTTTATGGCGTTGGTGTTCAAGTCAATGAAAGCAGACGTCAACCTCCCGCGCATTGCAGCGTTTGCCAAGCGGCTGCTGCAGGTGGCGCTGCAGCAGCAGGCCACATTCGCATGCGGGGCCCTACTCCTTATTTCCCAAGTGCTCAAAATCCGACCCATGTTGTGGTAAGGGACAGCGCGTGTTGGTAAGGGACAGCGCGTGTACTGGTAAGGGACAGCGCGTGTACTGGTAAGGCCACAGTGCATGTACTGGTAAGGCCACAGTGCATGTACTGGTAAGGCCACAGTGCATGTACTGGTAAGGCCACAGTGCATGTACTGGTAAGGCCACAGTGCATGTACTGGTAAGGCCACAGTGCATGTACTGGTAAGGCCACAGTGAATGTACTGGTAAGGCCACAGTGCATGTACTGGTAAGGCCACAGTGCATGTACTGGTAAGGCCACAGTGCATGTACTGGTAAGGCCACAGTGCATGTACTGGTAAGGCCACAGTTCGTGAGGTGCCTGAGAAGCCAAGTGGTGGCGGGCGCTGCAGCAGCAGGCCACCTTTGTGTGTGGCGCTCTACTGCTTATCTCCGAAGTCCTGAAGCTGCGTATGGTGGATGGTGTTGTATGGAAGAGGCCAAGCTGCGCCCCATGCTGTGGTGAGAATGGGCCCATGCGTCCTAGACGCAGGACGCGTCTTTCTCCATGGGCCCATGCTGTGGTGTGAGTTAGACTTGAATTCGTGAGGATGAGTACTTGCTGTGGTGAGGAGCCGATGCTGGCGTCCTGCTCTGCTTTACTTGTCGAGTCCGAAGTTTCAGTGCTGGCAGTGCTGCATGTGTCGCCTTGGTTGCCTGTGGTGCATTTGTTGTCTTGTTGCTTCTTTTTGCATCTTGTTGCAGCTGTTTCGTTTGTTGTGTTCGATGCCTTTGAGAACAACCCTTGCCATCTCAGAAGATCAAATCGAAACTGTTTTCCTGTGCGTAATTTGTATTTATGTGTGCTTCTTTTGTTTTTTCTTAACAGGAGTGCTATCTTAGAACCAGAAGCAAATACAGACGACGTGGAGCATTTTGTGGACGTGGATAAGGAAGCAGCTAGTAACGAGGATGGGGTTGAGGGGAAGAAGGTGCAAGGGAAAGGAAGAGGCGAGGAGGGAGATGAGGAAGAGGACGAAGATGGGAGAAAGAGGAGGGAGGGAACATACGATCCAAAGCAAAGGGAGCCGTCCCTGTGGTAAGTATACTGGGGGTTGGCTCTGTGATGATTATATGGGGGTGTGACTCTATGACAGCAGATAGGGGGATGGCGCTTTCGTGAGTAGTATGGGTGTGACACTACCCTATAAACATCGTCCCATCTCTAGTGAATAAACGTGTTCAGAGAAGTAAGCCTACTTTTCCCCCTTCGCCGTTCTCTCCCTCTTTTACAGGCAACCCATCCAGGACCTCTCCCTCTCTTCGCCTTCCTCTTACTCCCATTTTCCCCCCACCTTTTCCCCCGCACCCGCCCTTCCCTTCCCCCACCTTACGCCCCTGCTCCTGCCCCATCAACCCCTCCCTCCTCCCCACTCCCTCCAGCCATGCGGATCGCGCGTGCTGGTGGGAGCTGGCAGCATTGGCAGCGCACATGCACCCCACAGTTTCTCGCCTCGCCGCCTCCCTGCTCTCAGGCGAACCCGCCTCCTTCACAGGCGACCCCATCCAGGACCTCTCCCTCTCCGCCTTCCTCGACCGGTTTGCTGAGAAGCAGCAGATGAGAATGAAAGCTGCGGGTAGGGAGAATGCTGCTTCTGCTGCTGCGGTGGCGGCGGCAGGGGGGAGGAGAAGCGTGGGGTTTGTGAAGGATGGGGGGAAGGGGCAGGTTCAGGCGCATGATGCGTTTTTCCATCAGTTTTATGCGATGCAAGGGGAGTTGGGGTCGAGATGGAATAAGGGGGAGAAGAAGGGGGGAGAGGGTTGGGGAAAGAGAAGGGAGGAGGATGAGGAGGGATTGGATGTAGATATGAAGATCGCAGAGGATGGTGATATGAGGGAGGATTTGGAGGAGGGGGGTGAGGGGGGGGAGGAAGAAGAGGAGGAAGAAGGGGAAGAGGAGGAGGAAGAGGAGGATGAGGGAGAGGAAGGGGCTGGGTTCGCAGGGGGAGGGTTCCTGGAAGTTTCGGATGATGATGAGGCTGCTGACGAGGCGATCAAGAACTGGATGGAGGAGGAGGGAGGCGATGGGGGGAGCGATTTGAGTGAGGGAGAAGAGGGTGGGGGGGAGGATGATGAGGAGGAGGAAGAAGAGGAGGAAGGGGATGGGGGCTTTGAGTTTGATTATGATGACATGGATGATTTGGCTGGGGAGGATGCTGTTGGGGATGAGGAGGAAGAGGAGGCAGAGTTGGAGGAGGAGGAGGAGGAGGAGGATGAGGATGAGGATGAAGGCAAGGGGGAGGGGGCGGGAGAGGAGGAGGGAGAAGGTGAGGAGGAGGAACTGGAGGAGGTAGCAACTAAGCCAAGCTCGAGGAAGGGAGGCAGCAGTGGGAAGGCAAAGAAGGAGCGTGCACCGGTGAATGTGAAGAGGGGAGGGAGCAAGAGAGCAACATATATTCAGAGTGATAATCATGAGAATGTGGGGAAGCCTTCCAAGAAGCAGCGGAAAGGGGAAGTGGCGGTTGATGCTGCCGAGGAGAAAGTCAAGAAAGCGGACAAGAAGAGCCGTGGCGGAAAGATGAAAGGGGGTTTGTCTAGTAGCCCTTTTGCAGACTTTGATTCGTATGCCCATTTGTTGGATGACTGACTGATTTGATGTGTATTCTGACGATTTATGGATAATAGGGAGCTTGTCATTCTGAGTAAACAATTAGCAAAAAGTATGCTGGTGTGAAGTAAAACCATCGTTACGCTCGACGCAACAACGCGTACGTGGTTGTCATTAGCACCTCCTTCCTCCCCCAACGCATCATCCTCGCACAACCCGCAACAGCGCATTCTCCGCCCACCTATTCCGCCCCCCACTTCCGCACCCCCCTATCCGCCCCGCTCTTCCGCCCCTCATTTCCGCTTGCATCCCCCTCCCGCATCTTCCGCTCCCTCCTCGCGTTACGACCATCGGCCGGCTTCAAATCCCTAATTCCATTGTCGTTGGCGAATATTATCATCTCCTCTTAGCTGCTCACCACCACTAAAGGTTTGCCACGTGACGCCGCGTCGCTGCTCTCCAATTACCGATGTTCGCCACGTGGCTGCGCCTCGCGGCCCGTCAGACGCACGTGGGCGAGGCGGCGGAGAAGGGATCAGCGGCGGTGATTCTTCGGATAGTAAAGGAGCACGGACCGTGCAACAAGAACGTTCTATGGACGCACGCGGAGGTAATAGGAACGTGCTGTGTCAGTTCATGCGTTTTTTCGTGAGAGGTATACGATCGTGGGATGGCAAGGCAGGGAGATGTGTTCCCAGATTGCGCTGATTCTATGAATAAATGGTTTAGCGAATTCGTAAATAACGGGTATGACAAATGGTCAGCTCGACCCCGAGTATAGTAAACCGGATCACAATCGCAAGAGAACGAAAGCAAAAATGTTAGAAGGAGTGTGATCCACAGTGCAGACAGTAAGGATTGACAGTGGCCGATAGAAATGAGATGGGTGTCTAGGAAAATGCCGGCTCGTGCGTGCTCAGGGCTCGATCGAGAAGTTTGTTTCCGCTTGGGAAGCGGAAGGGGTATGCAAGAGGAAGTGGTGGAGAGGGGTAGTGAGGTGAGGGTGCAGTATGAGGGAGAATGGAGAAGGGAAGGGAAGGGAGAAGGGGGTGGGTTCTAGGGGAAGGCGCTGTTACAAGGGGTTTCAGCACAAAGGTTCTGAACAAAAGTGGTTTGAAGGGATTAGTCAAGGGAGTCAGGATCTCGGGTCGTATGTTGGGATGCCAGGCAAAGGCTGCCCAATCCCCTGCAATACCCATTTCCTTGTTATGTTTCTCCTTCCTTCCCTTTTTCCTCCTGCAGTTCTAATGCTACGTCTTCTTTCCCTGCACCTTTCCACCCACGTTCGCACATTGATCAAATCGCTTGTTCAAACCCTAGTATGACTCAAAAGGAAACATTTTCTTTTTCTCTCAATCAATCAAGCGCCTCATCCATCTCGCCGGGTATCCATCCTCTTTTCTCATCTTCCTCCACTTTCCATCACCCTCACATCCCACTAATCCTTACTAGGAGGTGGGCATGAAAAGCAAGCAGCCCATGAAACTCATGCTGCTGTGGCTCATGGAAGTTTATTTTTGTACCCAGATCGTTGAAGTGCCTTTCAGTCGACCTTTGCCATCCCACATTTACCTCCTCTTCCCCCCCCCCCTCCTCCCCTCAACACTGTCTCGTCCCTTTAAACTAGGAGGCGGGGGTGTAGAGCAAACGACACATGAATCTCATGCTGCAGTGGCTCAAGGATAACCATTATGTACCTAAATCAATCAAGTTCCTTCTATTTGCCATCCCCACGTGTCCTTCTCCATCCTCCCAACACCCTCTCATCCCTTGTCATCAGGAGAGAGGGGGGTGGGAGGGGGGGAGGGGGTGGGGTTGAAGAGCAAGTGTCACATGAAGCTCATGCTGCAATGGCTAAAGGATAATCAATCTTGAAGAATAAACCAGTCAAGTGCCCCGCACATGACCAGTGTCATATTCTTTTCTCCATACCCTGTCTCCCCTTCCCCCTCTCGCCTCTCCCCATCAACCTCACATCTGTCGTCACCAGGAGGTGGGCGTAAAGAGCAAGCGGCACATGATGCTCATGCTGCGGTGTGGTGGCTCAGGGAAAATAATTCTGTGGTTTAATCAGTCAAGTGCCCCCGCACGTGACCGGTGTCACACTCTCTTCTCCCTACCTTGTCTCCCGCTCCCCCTCTTGGCCCCCCCATCAACCTCACATCCCCCAACAACAGGAGGCGGGGGTGAAGAGCAAGCGGCACAAGAGGCACATGCTGCAGTGACTCAGGGGAAATAAATCTGGGGTTTAATCAGTCAAGTTCCTCGCACATGACAGGTCTCATACCGTACTCTCTTCGCTCTACCCTGTCTTCCCCTCCCCCTTCTGGGCCCCCCATCAACCTCACATCCCTCATCACCAGGAGGCGGGGGTGAAGAGCAAGCGGCACATGAAGCTCATGCTGCGGTGGCTCATGGAGAAGAATCAGATCCGCATCAAGTGCCTCACACATGACCCCTCAGCGCCACACCAAGCAGGTTCGGCAGGGTCAGCAGGTTCGGCAGGTGGTGCAGCGGCTGCCGCTGCTGCTCCGAGGGGAGCTGGATCGGGTGCCTTTGCTGCAGCGGCAGCGGGTAGAGTGCAACCGGCTGGTGTGAAGAAGAGAGCTTCGAAGCATGTGTCTGTAGAGAAGGAATTTATTTACTCCATTGCCCCGAGATATGTTCCACCAAGCTCGTCGTGACCATCTTTTTGCCTGCTTTGAGGAAAGTGTTTTACAAAGTTTATTTGGAGGTAGCAATGTATGGACCGCACTTGCCGTGCGCTAATGAAGCATGAATTTATTGTAACTTCGTTGTACAATTATGCGGAGTCTAAATCTTGTCAACATGTTAGCTGCTGAAAATAAAATCCTCAAATGACCTAAATGTAGAGGATGTTGATGAAACGGCCTCATTACCTACAATATATATCGAGTTTGCTGCTTTGGCGAGTATTGGGTGGGCTGAGCACGAGGACTCTTGCGCCAATATTGCTTAAGTCAAGCACATACGACAGTCGTCAAGTAGGGCAGGGCATTCACCTTGATGAATGTTTGATTCTGCGCAGCACTAGACGTATGCATGCACTTGTAAGTTTCACATGCTCGATGGTGGTGGTCCTCCAGAAGAGTCGGTCTAACAACACTGTACCACATCGTTGCCGAAGCCCGCCAAGTTGAAGGAACTCTACTCTGCCCATTTTGTCAGGACTTCATAGGAGAATGGCATGATAGCGCGTCCGATTCCCTTCGGGGCAGCAAAACTTTCGTGGACCTTTCGATGAACCCGAGGCCGAGGCTCCCAGAAGCAGCAGCGTCGCACACCGCCGCATGCCCATCGACTGATCCCTGACCAATGAGTCGACGATCTCTAACGTCTGGCAAACGCTTTACCGCACCTTCCAAACGACTGCCATGCCAACTTGTTGACGCTGCCGAGCCAGTTTTCCCCCCCTTGGTCGGAAAATCGGTTGTCGGAGAATTCGCTCGGTCACTGCAGGCAGTGCGAAGGAGGGGCATGGCGGTTCGACCGGCTCCTTGAGAACTACGAATTCTCCCGTCATCAACAAGGCTCTTCCCCTGCCCAGCCAATGAGGTCTGGCGGGACGCGTTCAACTTGGTCAGGCTCATTAGCCATTCAGCTTCGAAGCGTCTCTCGCGCCAATCCCAAGGCAATAAAGCTCCATCCACATTCCGTCGTTACCAAACCACACAACCGTACGTTAAAAAGGCTTAACGCAAAAAACCCTATCAAACCCAGCTCTTCATACCAAGCCATCCCTAACATACCTTGCAAGGTATGTTTCTGGCGAACCAGGTTGAGCGGGGCAAGCGGAACCGTTGAATGCCAGCGCCTCTCACCATCGCCCCCGCCAGCAATCTCGTCAGTCCCCGCCAGCACTCACCAGTTTCCCCCGTTCCCGCGCTCCCTCTCTTCCGCGCTCGTCACGCGAACCTCCTCGCAGCAGCACCATTTGAAACCAGGCTGTAAATGTCCGCCTTCTTCCGCGGCATTCGGTTGGTAGGGAGAGAATCCACGGCACATATAAACCACTCAACTCGACTTTCTTGATTTCACCATTATTGCAGCCTATAATCCCCCCAGTTTTGATAAACTCAAGCAAGCCACACCAAATTACAGGAAGTCTAGTTCCTCATTGGACTCCTTGGTAGTATCCGCTTGCTCCGCGCTAGTTAGTACAAACAGAGCTTGGGGACGCTGTTCTTAATCAGCAGCCCTTGCCGTGGCAGTTCTACAGCAAGTTCTTTTCATAGTCTTTCGTTTTTCCGAGAAGCTTCCGCGCATCTGTTGTTCCTCTCAGCTATTTTCGTTCCTTCTTGGTCCTCAAAAAGTGTAACCGAGTGCAGCAAAAACTGCAGAAACAGCAAAAGCGTACCGGCACTCAAGATGCCGTACTGTGTGATTCCGTCAAATGCAACCATTGGGAAGGGAAACAACGGAGCGAGTGCGAAAAGAGCAGAAAGCAGCGATGACGGACAAGTAAAACTGTTCTATGAGACCTATGGCAAAGGCGACACGAAAGTGCTCATGATCATGGGTAAGTGACTCGCCGAGGCGCGCAACACGAAATTTGAGATTCATAACACATGTTATGGTTGTTTCTATTCTGTTTTGAAGTCTGTGGAGTGCTGATTATTCTCGGACAGTCAACCTCATCTATTCTTCCTATTTTCTGAATTTGCTTCCCCTTGCAGGCTTTGCTGCCTCACACATTGCATGGGCGCCGCAGATCAAGCCGCTTTCCGGCACCGACATCCCCAACAGCAAACGTATGTCCAAGCAGCCTAAAGCGGAATCCGCTGCTGCGCCAGCCACCGGCTCCGACGACAATTCCGCCGCTCCTCCCGCCATGCGCATGGACAACCGGTCTGGATGCACGGAAAATGGTGCCTGCGCGGTTGCGGTGACAATAGAAGGGGTGGACGAGCGGGGAGACGTGCAAGCTGTCGAGGCTTTGCGGCTGGAGGAGGACTTGATTCTCACGGGAAGGGAGGTTTGCGTTTTCGACAACCGAGGGATTGGCAACAGCACGTGTCCCACCGACAAGAATGCGTACACGTGCGTGTTTTCTAATGCTGAGACATTTCCTTCTCCCCTCCTCCGCACTCATCCTGGCAACGGATGCATTGCATCTGATGTCATCAACGTCAACTTAACATACACCTATTTCCTTTCCCCTTTGCTGTAACCATCAGAACTGCGATCATGGCGATGGATGCACTGCATCTGGTGGATCACCTCGGCTGGACGCATTTCCACCTTGTTGGCCATTCCATGGGCGGTATGATCGCCAGCAAAGTGGCTGCCACCGCTCCCCACCGAGTGAAATCCCTGGCGCTTATCAGCGTCAGCGGTGGCGGCTTCGACCTCTTACCCAGGGTATGCGACCTGGTCGGTGCTCCGTGTGATGCTCTCAAGTGCTTTTGTGCACAAGACCCATTCTGTCAGTGCTGCACGTGTGAATGCATGCGTGTTACAATTGTGGCGGCTTTCTTGAACTCAATTTGGAGCACACTTGGACCTTGTTGCTCACTTCTGTTCCCCTGCGTATTTCTCCGTCCTGTTAACCAGCTTGACAGCCGGCTCTTCTCGGTGGGAGTGAGGATGATGAAGGCGCGTACGCCCGAGATGAGGGCGCACGTGGACCTGGACACGCACTTCTCGCGGGAGTTCATGGACGAGGTGGCTGGCAGCTCGTCGCGGAGGGACCTCCTGCACGTGGTGAGCAGAGCAGCGTTGCAACACTGGCTGCTGCGGCAGCACTCTCGTATAGAACCTTTGGCTGCCCATTTACGGAGTTTTGATGCGTGACGCAGACGTTCCCAAAAATCGACTCGTGTTGTTAGCTCTGTGGCCGCGTGTTTAAGCCTTGACCCTGTGACTGCTACTTCTCCTTCCATCTGTCTCTCTTGTGCTTGCAGGAGTACGTGCAGGTTCTGTCGGAGCCAGGGGCAATGCAGCCACCGCACGCTGCGAGCGGGCATTTCAACGCGTGCTGGACCCACAAGCTGACCCGGGACAATATTGACAGCATCTGCAGCGCTCGCATCCCTACTGCCGTGATCCATGGAGTGTGAGTAACTCTCTGCTATGCCGTGAGAGTCTGAGATGCTGCATTTGTTGTTTTTTTCACGCATCACACCCACGCGCATTGCACACACACACACCAGCAGTGGCCTTCAGCTTTTCCGGTTCCCTCACCTTCTCTGTTCCTCCCTATTCCCTCTCTCTTCCTTCCTGCAGGGATGACATCATAGCACACGTCTCCCTGGGTGAGCGCGTCGCCAAGCGCCTGGCATTCGTGGCCCGGTTCATCCCACTCCTAGGGGCGCACATGGTGGTGCGAGAGCGCACGCACGAGGTGAACGCGTGTCTGGAGGAGCTCTTTGATGCCGGGGAGGCTCGCGTGCCTGTGGAGCAGTGGGTGCGGAGTCGTAGTGATTTGGACCTGCCTGGCTCGGCACGCGAGCAGCATGAGAAGGCCAAGAAGAAGACTCTTGCGGCGCAATTCAGGCACGGTGCTGCACAGTCTCCCTCAGTTTTTTTTTTTTTTTTTTTTTTTTCCCTCTCTCATGTGCTCCATATTGATGCTGTGGTGTTGTTTCCTGTACGTCCGTTGTTCTCTGCCCATCTCTGCCCTTGTATGTTTCCATTCCCTCTTTCCTTCTTACACCGTCTTTAGCATGCCCGCAACGATACCCTTCCTCACCCCCCGTCTCCCCTTCCACCTATTTCCCCTTTCACCCGTCCCCCTCGCCACACCTACAGGGCTCTGCTGTGGACCCTGTTTCTCCCCCTGTACCTCGTGATCTGCCAGCTGCTATCGTGGCCAGTACCCGACGAAAAGAGCCCAGCTTACAGATCTCAGAGTGATGATTCCAACATGAATGATGTGGAATCGGGACTTGATGAGATTAATGAAGCAGAATCTGCATCGCTGCGCTGCTGCTGCCCACCCTGGGGCGCTAGCTTCCTAGGAAACGGTGATCAGAAGTATGGAGAGCTTGGGAACGGCGGAGGGTTAAAGGGTGGAGAATGGAGAGGGTTTTCTGCTGCTGCTGCTGCTGCTGCATCGGTTGGACTGTCTGGGTTGGAGGCTGATGCATCTGCAGCTGACATGTCGCCCCTTCTCGCTCCTGCAGTTCCCACAATAACAGTTCATGGCTGATGCTGACGACAGTACTGTTTGACAACGACAATGATGCTACCTGATATACGAGTGGCCAATTGCGGCTGCTCTCCTCATACTGCCTCTCCATCAAGCTCGATGGATTCTGAGGCAAATAAACGGCCAAGAAAATTTGGCCCACTATCCTAACATAGAGTTTTGTGTTTTCTTACAATGTGTGTGGTGTGGACCCTGTATAGAATCAATATAATGATTTGAGTTTATTTCAATGTACCGGGAAATCAGCACCACCCTGACGGGATTGTGTAGACGGGGATAACAGCCCTGACTTCCGTTCCGTATCCCTTCTGCTGTCGGCACCTCCCTCACCGCCACCAGCGATTCCGTCACTCCCCCGCCGCTGACCCAGCCGCCAACACTCACCAAACTCACTCCTGCATGATTCCAGCCTATATATTTCGTCCAGTCCTGTTGACAAACTCGAGCATGACATATCGAATCACTTGAAAGTCTAGTTCCTCACTGGACTTTCTCGGGAGTTTCCGCTTGCACAGCGCTAGCTAGTACAAAAGCCTGAACGCTGTCCGTAATCATCGACCCCGTGCCACAGATACCCCGTGCCACACCGACCCGTTCCGTGATAGTACCCAGCTGCTGTTATTGTACAGTCGAGTTGTTTCCACAGTCTTTCATGTTTTCGAAGCTTCCTCTCAGCTACTCGTCTTTCGTGATCCTTTTTTACTCTCGGATTATAGCGTAACCCAATGCAGCAGAAGCAGTAGAAACAGCAAAAGCGGATACCGGCACTCAAGATGCCGTACTGTATGATTCCGTCAAATGCAAGCGATGGGAAGAGAAACAACGGAGCGAGTGCGAAAAGGGAAGAATGCAGCGATGACGGACAAGTGAAACTGTTCTATGAAACGTATGGCAGAGGCGACACGAAAGTGCTCATGATAATGGGTAAGTGACACGCTGAGGTCCTGGCAATACAAAATAATAATTTCAATACACATTTCAATGGCCTGTTCCTTTTTCGTTTTCATGTGGCTCTTTTCTGTCAATCAGTATCGCGTGCCTTCCTGTCTTCTGAATACGCTACGCGTTGCAGGCTTTGCTGCCATGCACAACGCGTGGTGGCCGCAGATCAAGCCGCTTTCAGGCACCGACATCCCTAACAGCAAACGGGCATCGAGGAAGTTTAAGACGAATTCTGTTGCTGCACCTTCCACTGCAGCACCTTCCGTTGCAGAGCCTTCCGCTGCAGCGCCTCCTGATGCAGCACCTTCCGATGCAGCACCTTCCGCTGCAGCGCCTCCTGATGCAGCACCTTCCGATGCAGCACGTTTTGCTGCACCGCCTTCTCTCTCTGCTGCACCGCCTTCTCCTTCCGCTGCACCGCCTTCTCCCTCCGCTGAACCGCCTTCTCCCTCTGCTGAACCGCCTTCTCCCTCCGCTGAACCGCCTTCTCCCTCCGCTGAACCGCCTTCTCCCTCCACTGCACCGCCGTCTCCCTCCGCTGCACCACCTTATCCTTCCGCTGCAGCACCAGCCGCTGGCTCGGATGACAACGCCGCCGCCCCTCCTGCAGTGTGCAGGGCCGACCGGTCTAGATGCAATGGAAGTGGTGACTGTACAGTGAATGTGATAGTAGAGGGGGTAGAGGAGCGGGGAGATGTGCAAGCTATGTCGGACAGTGGGCTTGAGCAAGCGGCTTTGCGGCTGGAGGAAGGGGGGAAGGAACTGAGGGAAGCGGAAGGAGGTGATGGGGAAAAGGAAGAGGAGGAAGAGGAAGGGAAAGAGGAAGCGGAGGAAGAGGAAGGGAAAGAGGAAGAGGAGGAAGAGGAAGAAGAGGATCTGATTCTCACAGGCAGGGAGGTATGCGTGTTTGACAACCGAGGAATCGGCAAGAGCACATGCCCCATGGACAAGAAAGCATACACGTGCGTATTTTCTATTGTTGCTTTGTGGCATAAGGACATAGTGATTATTTAAACAGCAGAGGCTTATTGGTTAGGCCAGTCGTAGATCTCGTCCGGCAGGTTACACCTCCAGGCACTGTCTTTGCAGCAGACAAAGTGTCTCACTAGGTGACTTTTGAGTCGACTCGTTACACCTCCAGGAACTGTTGCAGGGTGTTTTTGAGAATTCTAAAAACCACCCTGTCGACTCAAAAGTCACCTCGTTACACGTCCAGGCACTGTCTTTGCAGCAGACAAAGTGTCTCACTCGCGCCCATTTTCTTCCCTCCTGCCGTTCACCCTCTCCTCTCCGCAAATCATTTTCATCATTTCTGTTGAACCAACTCAAGGCGTTTCCTGCCCATTCTCCCCGCGTCCCTAACCATCAGGACTACAATAATGGCGATGGATGCGCTGCATCTAGCGGATCATCTCGGCTGGACGAAATTCCACGTGTTGGGGCATTCAATGGGAGGCATGATCGCTACCAAAGTGGCTGCCATCGCTCCCCACCGAGTGAAATCCCTGGCGCTTATCAGCACTAGTCGTGGCGGCTTCTTTTGAGGCGCCTCAAAAGAAATCCCTGGCGCTTATCAGCACTAGTCGTGGCGGCTTCTTTTGAGGCGCCTCAAAAGAAATCCCTGGCGCTTATCAGCACTAGTCGTGGCGGCTTCTTTTGAGGCGCCTCAAAAGAAATCCCTGGCGCTTATCAGCACTAGTCGTGGCGGCTTCTTTTGAGGCGCCTCAAAAGAAATCCCTGGCGCTTATCAGCACTAGTCGTGGCGGCTTCTTTTGAGGCGCCTCAAAAGAAATCCCTGGCGCTTATCAGCACTAGTCGTGGCAGCTTCGACATCCTGCCCAGGGTATGTGGCTTGGCTGGTGAGACAAACTGGCATGCGACATGGACCGTGTTTTGTGGGTTGCGCTTGTTTGCCTTTTCTGCACAAAGCTCACTCGACATCCTGCCCGTGATCCGTGGGTATCAGACGTGAGTCTTCTGTGACATCTTGGCCTGTGTTCCGAGGTAACTTTTGAGTCGACTCAAAAGTAAAATGTCACCTTCTGAGTCAACTCAAAAGTCAAAAGTCACCTTCTGAGTCGACTCAAAAGTCAAAAGTCACCTTCTGAGTCGACTCAAAGGTCAAAAGTCACCTTCTGAGTCGACTCAAAAGTCATAAGTCACCTTCTGAGTCAACTCAAAAGTCAAAAGTCACCTTCTGAGTTGACTCAAAAGTCAAAAGTCACCTTCTGAGTCCACTCAAAAGTCAGAAGTCACCTTCTGAGTTGACTCAAAAGTCAAAAGTCACCTTCTGAGTCGACTCGAAAGTCAAAAGTCACCTTCTGAGTCGACTCAAAAGTCAAAAGTCACCTTCTGAGTTGACTCAAAAGTCGATAGTCACCTTCTGAGTTGACTCAAAAGTCAAAAGTCACCTTCTGAGTCGACTCAAAAGTCAAAAGTCACCTTCTGAGTCGACTCAAAAGTCAAAAGTCACCTTCTGAGTCGACTCAAAAGTCAGAAGTCACCTTCTGAGTTGACTCAAAAGTCAAAAGTCACCTTCTGAGTCGACTCAAAAGTCAAAAGTCACCTTCTGAGTCAACTCAAAAGTCGTCAGTCACCTTTTGAGTCGACTCAAAAGTCACCAAGCTCACTCGACATCCTGCCCAAGGTATCTGACCTGAGTCGTCTGTGACATCTTGGCCTGTGTTCCGTGGGTTTCCTCTCTCGAGTGCTTCTATTCTATACAAGACCCATCCTGTCACTGCTGCACTGCACGGGTGAGTACACACATGTGTGGCGAGCTCTCACACATGGGTGCAAGCTCTCAGCTGAGCTGCTGGGGTGCGCCGTTACCTAGCGCATTAGCTTCAGTTTCGGCCCCTTCACAGACTTAGAAGCATATTTTGAAGCACACAGGGATCTTGATACTCAGTTATCCTGGTTACCCTACCCCTGCCCCCTTTTCCCCCCTTCTCTCCCTCCCCTACGTCCTACCCGTCTCCTTCCCCATCGCCCCTTTCCTGAATACCAGCTCGATCGCCGGTTCTTCTCCGTGTTCATGAAACTGGCGACAGCACACATGACAGAGTCCAGATCGCTGGTGGATTTGGAGTGTGTGTTTTTTTAGAATTCTCAAAAGAACATACACGCCAGAGTCCAGAGCGCTGGCGGATTTTGGTCATGCCTTTCACAAAGGAGTGACTTGGTGTCACGCCTTTCACAAAGGAGTGACTTGGTGTCACGCCTTTCTGTTCTCCCCTCCTCGTCTCCCTCATCCCTGGATACCAGCTCAACGAACGGTTCTTCTCCGTGGGCACGAAACTGGTGACGGCACGCACGCTCGAGTCGAGAGCGCGCGTGGATTTGGTGATGCACTTCTCAGAGGAGAGACTTCTGTGTCCACTCAACAGTCCCTTTCCCGTCGCCCTTCCCTGGACGCCAGCTCGACCGGCGGTTCTTCTCTGTGGGTACAAAACTGGTGACGGCACGCACTCCTGAGTCGAGAGCGCGCGTGGATCTGGTGATGCACTTTTCAGAGGAGTTCATGCAGCAGATGGTTGGCAGCTCGTCTCAGAAAGACCTGTTGCACCTGGTGAGTAGAGCAGCAGTGCAGCATGTACATATAGGCTCACATGGCTGGTGAGAGGTTGGTGACAGCACACACGCCAGAGACCAGGGCGCGCGTGGATCTGGTGATGCAATTCTCAGAGGCGTTTATGCAGCAGGTCGTTGGCAGCTCGTCTCAGAAAGACCTGTTGCACCTGGTGAGTAGAGCAGCAGAGTAGCAGTGCAGCATAATTTGCATGTGCATGTGCATGTGGACACACATGAAGCAGTCTTTAGCACTGGTGGTGCAGCATTGCAGCACGCACTAGCACTGACTGCTGCAGCGGCTCTCCGGAACTGAATCTGAGGGGCGACGACACAACAGCCACATGCAGCCAGGCGGCTGGTGGAACGCAGCACAGGCTTGGAGGCATGCACGTTTAGATAGATTATTTTTGAGACGTCTCAAAAATAACCGCCAATGTTCTCAAAAATAACCTATCTACACGTGGCTGTTGAGATAGAGGCGAGGAATGAGTGCACTATGAAATGAAACAAGTACAAGTACCAACCCTAATTGGGTTGTACCCCCTATGGGCTACCCCACTACAGCCTAAATATATGCATCAGTAATATAATCATCTGACACACCCTCATAGGCAAAGTGGGGGAGAGCAAGGGGTTACAAGACCAGTCAAGCAAAGCAAAGCAAAGCAAAGCAAGCTCAGGGTGGATCTCAAGGATACCACACAAATTCCGAGCACAAGGTCAAGACCACAAGGCCAGTTAACATGCAGCAGAGCATATATATATAACAGTGCTAAACAAGCAAGAGCAAGGATATATATATGCAGCAGTACAAGCAAGGTCAAGAGGTAAGCAAGTGAGGCCCAGTGGGCACAAGGCCTAGCAGAGTGCAAAAGCGCTGATGGTCATGAGGCGGAAGTGCCTTGGTGAACACATCAGCAGTGTTGGCCTCAGTGGCCACGAAACGCAGGCGAAGCTGACCACGCTGCTGCAGCTCTCGAGCAAGGAAGTAGCGCAGAGCAATGTGCTTCGTCCTGTGCTCCAGTCTGTGCTCCTCACACAAGGCAATGGTTGCCTTGTTGTCGACGTACAGCACTGGAGGAGAACGAGGCCGCTCTCCAAGGTCAGTCAGCAGGTAGGTAAGCCAGCGAAGCTCCTGGGCAGCCATGGCCGTGGCGTAGATCTCAGCCTCACAGCTGGAGCTGAGAACCGAAGAAGAGCGAGTAGAGCGCCAAGAGACAGAGCTAGAGCCAAGACTGAAGGTGTAACCCTGAGACGACCTCTGAGTAGCCTGGTCGTCAGCCCAAGAAGCGTCTTAGTGCCCAGTGAGTACAGGCCGCTCAAGCCCTCCAAGCACTAGCCCCATGCCCGACGTACTGCACAAGTAGCGCAACACCCTCTTAGCTGCATCCATGTGCTCCTTCCGGTGACGGCCGGGAGCAACATAGCGTGCTAAGATACTGAGAGGGTATGCGAGGTCAGGTCGAGTGCAAGTCATCAGGTACATGAGGCTGCCCACAAGCTCTGGATACGGACCACTCGACTCTACGGACTCATCCGAAGGCAGAGCTGAGAGCGAGTGTCCCGTAGGCAGAGGAGTGGACTGAGGCGAGGAGTACGTGAAGCCGAAGCGCTGAAAGACCTGCTGCACCATGTGTGACTGAGTCAGGGTAATGGTGCGGCGTGCTCTGTCCCGCGTGATCCGCAAGCCAAGATAGCTTGTCAGTTCACCTAGGTCTGTGCACGTGTGTCTCTTCTGCAGCTCGGACTTCACGTGGGCGAGTGCGGCAGTGTCCGCAGTGGCAAAGACCAAGTCGTCGACGTACACGAGGATATAGAACGGCGGCAGCGAGGTGTCGGTGCGCAGAAACAGCGACGGGTCAGCAGTAGAAGGAGCAAACCCAAGAGCCGCAAGTGTAGTCCTCAGTGTGTCGTGCCACTCACGCGGCGCCTGGCGGAGACCGTAGACTGGCCGCCGGAGGCTCCACTGGGTACCAGGAGGGAACGACCCAGTGAAGCCAGGAGGGCGGCGCAGCCAGATCTCCTCGTGCAGGCGGCCCTGCAGGAAAGCAGTGCTGAAGTCAAGAGAGTGTAGCTCGTAGTCACGCTCAGCAGCGACGTGCAGTAGAACCCGAAGAGTGGTCATCTTCGGGGTCGGGGAGAAGGTCTGAAAGAAGTCAACTCCCTGTCGCTGACTGAAACCACGAGCCACGTAGCGCGCCTTGAAGACAGGCGGAGAACCCGGCGGCCGCTTCACCCTGAAGATCCACATGCCACTGACAATGTTCGTCCCAGGAGGGGGAACAACGTCAACGTAGGTGCCTGTGGACTCCAGGAAGCCATCTCTGCGTCCATGGCTGACTGCCACTGAGAGGAGTAGGGATAGGCCAACGCCTCTGCGTAAGAGCGTGGGGTCGGGATGTCTAGAGCATCCGGGTCTCCGTCAGGGGCAACAAGCATGGACACGAGATGGGGCAAAGCGGCGGCAAAGCACTGGAACTCCTCTTGCCTGTCCTCAAGGACGTCCGTGCCAAGAGCACAGTCACCCCCGACGGACGGAGGACAGGCAGACGCAGACACAGCAGACGCAGACTCAGCAGACTCAGCAACAAGACTGGCAGCGTAGTCCAGACGACACGCAGCAGCAAAGTCGACCAGCTCAGCAACTAGGGCAGACGCAGCAGCGGACTCAAAGGAAGGGTCAGTGACAAGAGTAGCAAGAAGACGTGTGACAGTAGGACTGGCAGCACGGTGAGAGTCCGACTCCGGGTCGGCAAGTGTAGGAAGAGAAGACTGAGGAGGAGAAGGCAAAGGGGCACGCAGAGGAGCAGTGGACGGACGCAGAGACATCTGGTGCGTGCCAGGGACAGGAGGAGGACGCTGATGCGAACCGCGACCACTAGGGCGAGCAGCTCGGATTGGCGACACAGGGCGGGACGTTGGCTCACGACGCTCAGCAAGACCTCCAGTAGGACCACCGTAGGGAGAAGGAGAAGGCAGGGGAGAGGCGGGCTGTAACTGTGACCGTGACGGGACAGGCTGCGGACACTCTACGGGAGGAGAAGGACCAGTGGAAGGCGGGAGACCAAGAACCTGCTGAAGGAGCGGAACGAAGTACGGCCGAGGCCGCGCAGCACCGCCAGAGACAGCAGGGACAGGACCAACACCTCCAGAGGCAGCATCAGCACCAGTAGCAGCTCCAACTCCAGCACCACCAGCAGCTGCAGAAGTACCCGCAATAGGACCGACAGTCGTAGCCTCAGCGCCAGCACCCGCAGCAGCTCCAGCTCCAGAGGCACTCCCGGGCCCGGCAGCTCCAGTACCCTCAGTACGAGCACCTCCGGGACCCGTGGCACCAGCTCCCTCGGCAGCAACGGAACCTCCAGCACCCGCAGTACCCCCGGCTCCAGCAGCTCGCCTCCAGCGCCGGGCAAACCACTCACGCAGCTCCAGAGGAGAGAGCGGCTCGCGGCGCGAAGAACGGTCTGGAGAACCACCAGGAACAGAAGCAGCAGGCGCAGCACTCCCAGATGCAGAACCCCCAGGCTCAGCACCCCCAGGCACAGCACCTCCAGGCTCAGCACCCCCAGGCTCAGCACCCCCAGTCTAAGCACCCCCAGGTTCAGTACCCCCAGGCTCAGCACCCCCAGGCTCAGCACCCCCAGTCTCAGCACCCCCAGGCTCAGCACCCCCAGTCTCAGCACCCCCAGTCTCAGCACCCCGAGGCTCCGCACCCGCAGCAGCACCAGAGTCACCAGTGACCTTGACAGGCTCGACCGCGTCTACCTGAGACACACCTGAAGGGGCAGGACCCTGAGGGGGGAGGGGGTCTACCGGAGGGGGACCTGGGACCAGGAAGAGGGGCGGGGGGGGGAGGGACGGAGTGCGGTAGGGGAAGAGCCGGTAGAAGGGAACCGACTCGTCGAACGTGACGCCCTGGGAGGACAGAACACGACGAGAGGTGGGGTGGTAAAACTGCCACCCAGGTGCGTCAGGGGGGAAACCCAGGAAGACGCAAGGAGCAGCACGAGGGGACAGCTTGTCCGCAGACAAGTCGCGGACAAACGCCCGAGATCCCCAGACACGGAACGCCGACGCATCGCCAACCTTCCCCGTCCACAGCAAAGCTGGGGAGGTCTCCGGTCTGGAGACCCTGGGTTGAAGGTTGATCTGATGTGCGGCGTACCGAACCGCAAACGGCCACAGAAAATGGGGGGCAGCCGCATGCACCATGGACGTACGGGCGACGTCCATGACAATGCCGATGCGGCGCTCAGCAATCCCATTCTGCTGTGGAGAGTCCGGAAGCGTGAAGGTGTGGCGGATGCCTCGTGCCCGACAGTAGGCTCGCAGAAGGCCGGAGGAGAACTCTCCGCCTCTGTCCGAGTGCAGACGCAAAACAGGAAAGTCCGAGCCGAATCTCCGCCTGAGCTGGAGACGAGCTGCGCGGATCCAATCGATCAACACCTCAGTGACCTCACCCTTGCTGCGCAAGGAGAAGACTGTGGTGTAACGCGAGTAGTCGTCAACCACCAGCAGGAAGTAGCGCTCGTGACCCTGTCCACGGACGCGGGCTGGGCCCTACACGTCCATGTGAAGCGTCTGCATCGGGGCCTCCGTCGGAGGAAACGGGGAGGAGTGAGGGGTAGCCCGCAGGCGACCCTCGACACAGGGGACACAGAGAAGGCCAGGCCCCGGAGGAAGGGGAGGGAGGGACCGGGGAAGGCCAGAGACAAGAAGGCGAGAGGCCATGCCCCGGAGACGAGGCAGGGAGGGGTGACCCATCCTGTGGTGCCACAGGAGGGTCTCGTGGGACAGGAGGCGACACGAGCAGGGGGTAGACTCAGGACCAGACCTGGACGCTGCAGCAAACACCTGACCCGACGCAGCTACCTGACCTGACGCAGGAGGAGGAGACGGAACAGTGAGTGTGTACAGGCTTGACCCCGGCCCACGTGTGAACGTGGTCAAGTGTCGACCCGTGTCCGCGTCCGTGCAGAGGGTGTCCCGTCGGCGTGCAGGGGTGAACTGGTCAACCCCTGCATCCTGTAGGTCAGCACCCGCCACCAAGTTCGTAGAGAACGAGGGGAGGTAGAGACCGGACAGGGCGCCAGACGGGACCGCAGGGCACGGCAGGACAGTGGAGTAGCGAGCCAGAACAGGACCCCCAGAGGGGTCCGCCAGGGAGACCGCCACTGGCCGACTAAGCGGCGTGAGTGTGGTGCGGTCTCGAAAGAAGGAGCGAGACGCCCCTGAGTCAAGAGTGAAGGTGAGAGAGGGCGGAGCCGACGCAGTACCTGAGAGAGCAGACTCACCAGCACCTGAGGACACAGACTCACTGGCACCTAGAGCGACAGCCTCACTAGCACCTGGAGCAGCAGCCTCAACAGCACCTAGAGCCACAGTACCAATGCCCGGGTCGGGCGGGAAACACCGGTAACAGTCACCCTCCTCACTAATAGTCACAGCATACATGGCACGAAGAATAGCATCAAAGTCAAGATCAAAGATAGCGACTCCTGCCTTAGACAGCTGGTCCCAGCGAGGGATCTCAGAGGCGTCAGGAAACTGGCGGCGCCAAGCGTCAGTCAGGCGGCCGAAGCAGCGCTGGGCGGGGTGTGGACCACCACACGGCTCACCCGCACGGTCGCCCGTGCGCAAGACGTAGGTGCACGGACCAGTACCCCCACCCCTCTGACGTGCAGCGTACCACTCACGGAGCTGCTGCGGGGAGAGGGTCTCCTGACCACGCTGCTGCCGCTGCTGTTGGCGCTGACCGCCACCGGAGCCACTCCTCTGCGACGAGCCACGACCTCCTCCGCTTCCTCCTCCGCCGCCGCCGCCACCACCTCCGCTGCCACCGCCACTCCCACCGTCGCTGCCGCCACCGCCGCCTCCGCCTCCACTCCCACCACCACCGCCGCTGCCACCCCCGCCTCCACTGCCGCCGCTGACACTTCCACTCCCGACACCACTCCCGCTACCACCCCCACCTCCTCCGCTGCCTCCACCGCCGCTCCCACCGCCCCCGCCGCCTCCACCACCGCTCCTGCCCCCTTTGCCCTTGCCAGAGCGACGTCTCCCACTGGGGGCAGACGCCGCACCAACCGACTCAAAACCAACTAGGTCGGCCGTAGCAGCAGAGGCGACAGAGGGTAGGAGGGGGGAGGGGGAACACCCCTCAAAGATGGGGGTGCGCGGGTCACCACGAGAGGCCCCTACAGCGAGAATGCTCTTCTCGGCTGCTAGGAGGGACTTCTCGAGGAGGTTAACAGTGAGAGTGGTGGGGCAGACTGAGAGTAAGTCGTCCGTGACTCCGCGGAGGGAGTCAGGGAGGCGGGTGACAATGTAGTAGAGAGTGAAGTACTGGGGGGGGGGGTTGTTGGCGCAGAACTCAGTAGGAAGCGCAGCGCGGAAGCGAGCGTCACTAGTGCGCAGGTGGGTAATGAGGTCGGCGACTGTGGCAAAAGAAGCAAGGTCGGGAAAGAGGTACGGTAGCATGAGGCGGCTCAGTGCAGCAGTGGCAGGGGTGGAGTAGCGTGCAATAACGGCGTCGTACAAGGTCTGAGCACTCTTGTACGACCCAAAGTGTGCACGCTCAGAGGGAGGGAGGTGGCGACGCACAGCAAGACGTGCAGCAGCATCGCGTGTGGCCCACTGTGAGCGAACAGTGGCATCCTCAGTAGCAGCAGGGGCGGGAGAGGCACCAGAAGTGAGATCAAAGAGAGAGAGGCCGTCAGCTCTGTCGCACTGTAGGAAAAGCAGCAGGTCGTCTACCCACACGTCAAAGTCGATGGCTCTGCCCTCAGCGTCGAAGGTGAGGACACTGGGGGTAGCCATGACAGCAGTGGGGTAAGGGCAGTGCGCAGAGTAAAGCTCAGTGCTCACCAGACAGGGCAGTGCAGGCGGCTCGGGCGGCTCGGGCGGCTCGGGCGGCTCGGCGGGTCGGCTGCTGGGCGGCTCGGGCGGCTCGGCGGCTAGGGCGGCTCGGGCGGCTCAGCTGCTGGGGCGGCTCGACTGCTGGGGCGGCTCGGCTGCTGGGGCGGCTCGGTTGCTGGGGCGGCTCGGCTGCTGGGGCGGCTCGGCTGCTGGGGCGGCGCAGTTGCTGGGGCGGCGGGGCCGGGAGATGCAGATGCGGGGCCGTTAGGGGTAGTGGCGGGGCCGGTAGGTGAAGCGGCGGGGCTGTCAGGTACAGCAGCGGGGCCGGCAGGTGAGACGGCGGGGCCTGCAGATGCAGCAGCGGGGCCGTCAGGGGTAGCGGCGGGGCCGGTAGGTGCAGTGGCGGGGCCGTCAGAGGGGACGGCGGGGCCGTTAGGTGCAGCGGCGGGGCCGTCAGAGGGGACGGCGGGGCCGTCAGGTGCAGCGGCGGGGCCGTCTGAAGCAGCGGCGGGGCCGGCAGAGGGGACAGCGGGGCCGTCGGGTGCAGCGGCGGGGCCGGCAGAGGGGACGGCGGGGCCGTCAAGCGCAGCGGCGGGGCCGGCAGAGGGGACGGCGGGGCCGTCAAGCGCAGCGGAGGGGCCGGTAGAGGGGACGGCGGGGCCGTCGCAGGCGATCGCGGGGCCGTCAGAGACGGCGCCGGCGTCGCGAGGGTCAGAGGGGGGGCGGCGCGCGACTGGAGGGCGGCACGCGCGACGCGGCGCGGCCGTCTAGGGGCGGCGCGACGAGGCCGCGTAGGTGGCGCGTAAAAAATTCGCGGGCGGCTCGACGCGGTCAGGCCGCCAAAGGAAAAAAAAGGCCCAGCGCGACTCGGGCTAGGGCAGAGCGCGCTCCGGGCAGGACAGAATAGTAGGTGGGCCCTAGGAACAGTTCCCACTAGGGAACCTGCTCGATACCATGTTGAGATAGAGGCGAGGAATGAGTGCACTATGAAATGAAACAAGTACAAGTACCAACCCTAATTGGGTTGTACCCCCTATGGGCTACCCCACTACAGCCTAAATATATGCATCAGTAATATAATCATCTGACAGTGGCGTCTCAGACACAACCGCCACATGCTGCCCTGCCAGGCAGCTGGTGGAACGCAGCACATGCTTGGAGGCACGCACGTGTCAGTTTTTAGAAGTGACACATGCATGCCGGACTGGCTCGTGTTGGCTCTGCAAGTACCCATCTTAGTCGTGAGACGTCTCAAGACTGAATCGTGTCAATTCTGCGACTGGCCGCCTTGAAGCGTCTCAATACTGACTCAACTGAGTTGTCGAGCTTCCTTTTTTACGTTCTTCCACCCTCCTTGTGTTCGCAGGAGTACGTGCAGTATCTGTCAGAGCCAGGGGCAAAGCAGGTGCCACACGCTTCTAATCTAACGGACATTTGAACTCAACTAGCCAGCTCCAGTTTTGAGGCGCCTCAAAACTAGACGCCGCAGAACACGCTTATAACGGACATTTGAACTCAACTAGCCAGCTCCACTCATGCCGGACCCACTGGTGTTAACCGTGTACCTCCTCATTCCCCTGCACCCATCTTCCGTGCCTCCCTCCTTGTGCTTTCACGAGTACGTGCTGTATCTGTCGGAGCCAGGGGCACAGCAGGCGCCACACTCTGCCAGTGGGCATTTGGATTCAACTAGCAACCCCTACTCATGCTGGATGCACTCGTGCTAACTGTGTACCTCCCCTTTCCCCTCCACCCATCCCCCATCCCGCCCTCCTGGTGCTTGCAGGAGTACATGCAGTATCTGTCAGCGCCAGGGGCACTGCATGCGCCACATGCTACCAGCGGGCATTTGAACGCCGTTTGGACGCACAAGCTGACCGGGGACAACATTGACAGCATCTGCAGCGCTCGCATCCCCACCGCTGTAATTCATGGAGTGTGAGTGTCTCTTTCTATATCGTGTGAACTCATAAAATGGCCAAGCCACTCTTGTTGTCTGTCTGTGTATTGAGATGTCTCAAAACTCCCCACTACTGTAATCCATGGAGTGTGAGGGTCTCTTTCTATGCCGTGTGAACTCATAAGGTGGCCAACCCATAAACTTGCTGTCTGCCTTCCAGGATTTTTTTTTTTTTTTTTTTTTTGCTAGGTGCACGACAATAATGGCTCGATTTCTTTTGCAGACACATAATTCCTGCTAAGCGCGCACTAGCATGGACTGACCTGCTTCTCTCCCCTTCCTTCTCGCTCCCTTCTCCCCTCCTCCCTGCAGGGACGACATTGTAGCACACGTCTTCCTGGGAGAGAAGGTGGCCAAGCGCCTGGCACCCATAGCGCGGTTCATCCCGCTTCTAGGGGCGCACATGCTGGTGCGAGAGCGGATAGAAGAGGTGAACGCATGTCTGGAAGAGTTGTTTCAAGCCGCAGAGGCATGTGTGCCTGTGGAGCAGTGGGTGCAGCGTCGCAGCAATGTGTACCTGCCTGAATCGGCGCGGGAGCGGCATGGGAAGGCCGAGGAGAGGAAGCTTGTGACGCGATTTAGCCATGGTGCTGCTCTCTCTCCTTAAGGGATCATTAAATTCGTTCCCTTTTTGGGTTCTCTCGATTTGCTATTTACTTTTCTTATCTTTCTTTATCCTTTTCTTCAGCATTGCCTTCGTATAATATTTTCATACTGTGTGGTTTTTCTTCTTCTTCTTGGTTGCTGTCGCTCTTGTGTTGTGTTCCATGCTATGGTGTGTGTTGGAATGTGCCCCATTGCGCTCTTGTGTTGTGTTCCATGCTATGGTGTGTGTTGGAATGTGCCCCATTGCGCTCTTGTGTTGTGTTCCATGCTATGGTGTGTGTTGGAATGTGCCCCATTGCGCTCTTGTGTTGTGTTCCATGCTATGGTGTGTGTTGGAATGTGCCCCATTGCGCTCTTGTGTTGTGTTCCATGCTATGGTGTGTGTTCCATGCTATGGTGTGTGTTGGAATGTGCCCCATTGTGCGCTGACTCTCTGTCCCCTCTGCCCTGACATGCTCTTTGTTCTATTGCTGTCCTACTACTGTACCTGTACCTGCATTGCTCCATCACACTAAACCCGAATCCCTGTCCTATTTCCGTACCCCATTGAAACATGCCCTCACAGTATCCCGCCCCTCTTTTGCACCTTTTTCCCCCCCTCCCTCCTTCCCCATTGTCAATCCTACAGGGCTGTGCTGTGCACCATGCTTCTCCCCCTCTGCCTCTTGACCTGGCAGCTGCAATCGTGGCCTTCACCCTTTGGATACAGCCCAACTTACCATACAAATCTTTTATTGGGGACTCTCCTACATGAACGACGTGGAGTTGTGTATTTATGAGGCGAATGGAGCACAATCTACGTCTCTGTGCTGACTTTTGAGGCGCCTCAAAAGTCGTCTTTGAGTGAGGACTCTTCAACATGGATTGGCGTGGCATTGTGTTGTGTAGTGATGAGGCGAATGGAGCACAATCTGCGTCTCTGTGCTACGTGTAGAGAGGGTGTTTTTGAGACGTCTCAAAAATACCCTCTCGACACGTGTGTGTTTATGAGGCGAATGGAGCACAATCTGCGTCTCTGTGCTGCTGCTGCCGTGCCGCCGACCTCGGGTGTTTGCTTCCTGGGAAAAGGTGATTTAAAATATGGGGAGCTTGGGTAAGACGGTTGGAGGGTGGAGAACGGGAAGGATTTTCTGCTGCTCTTGCTGCTGCTGTACCGGTGAGACCATCTGGGTTGGAACCAGGTGCATCTGCAGCTGCCACATCGCCCGTACTCGCCCCTGCAGTTCCGACAATAACGACCCATGGGTGAAAATAATGTCGATACTGCTTGCTGAGAGTGGAGGGGTGTTCCTGCTGCTGTTGCACCGGTGAGACCATCTGGGTCGGAACCTGATGCATCTGCAGCTGCCACATCGCCCCTTCTAGCTCCCGCTGTTTCCACAAGAATGGTTCATGGTTGGCAGTGACAATGGTACTGCTTGCTGACAGTGGAAGGACGTTGCTGCTGCTGCTGCATCAATAGACTGTCTGGATTGGAGCCCTGATACGAGGGGCTTTGCTGCTGCTTCTGTTGCATTGGTTGGACCATCTCTGTTGGAACCCAGAGCATCCGCAGCTGCCAGATCACCCGCCCTCCATGTTCCTGCTGTTCCCACAAGAACGGTTCGTGGTTGACGCTAACGAAGATACGGCCGACAGTCAAATGCGCCTGCTCTCCTTGTACTGCCTCTCCGTCAATCTCGATGGATACACAGGCAAATAGACGGCCAAGATAAATTGGCCGACGGTGTTCGAACGCCTAGAGCTAACGTAGATGTTTTGCGTTGAAAATGTGTGTACGCCCTATACGTAGTTCCAGTAATGAAAATCAAATATTTGCAGCGCTACTAGCATCATACCTACAAGAAACGCATGTACGTAGTATTTGTGGTTTTTTTGTTTGCTTACAACCCGTAAATGTGGTAATTGGGGTACTGTACCATGTAAAATTATGGAACTATTGCCACCTGACATCTACCCCAAACCTGGATTTGATCGTTCCATCTGCCAAACACTACAAGCACACCTAACCTAGAGAGTCCAAACCAGAACGTTAACTTTTAGTGGCTCTAACGGTTTGCTGGCCGATCCGACAGCGGCAATATCCCATCATGTCGGCCGCAACACTCTCCTTTGTGCGGCTCGACGTCAAAGCCGGATTTGCGTACCGCTCCCTGCTCCCAGCCTCTTCGTTTACCCCAAAACCCGCGTCCTTTCAACCACGCGTTCCCGCATTCGCGCGATCGTTTAGCCACGTCAGCAGCCGTACGCAAATCAGAAGGGTTGGAGTGGTTGCGATGGCGTCGCCACGGGGACGGGGATCGGGGTCGAATCTGGAGGACGCGGCGCGGCAGCTGGTGAGGGATGCTGGTCGAAAATTTAGGAACTAAGAAGAGAGTTGAATGTAAGATCTGTTACATTGTAACCACATGCGTTGATGCGTGGCGAACGACCTTCTCTTTGTACCCGTATGGCTGGGACTATTGATTAGAGCTTAAAAACCCTTTCCCATCCCTAGCAGCCATGTAGTTTGAGGCGACTCTATTGACGTTTTTTCGTGTTCCTCTCGAACCGCTGGGAACGCATTCCCCCACCAACCATCCCCGTCGTCTCTCACCCCCTCTCCTCCTCCCCGCCACACCCGCTTCGCCCCCTCGTTTCCGTTTTCCAGAATACCCTCACCACCTCCCCCCTTCTCCTGTCCCTCCCCGTTCTCTTCCCGTTTTCCGCCGCCCATACCCGCTCCCCTTTTCCCTCAGACAGCCGTTTAGCATTCTCTCATCCTCTCCTCTCTCTTTCCCCCGCCTTTTGATGTTTCTCTCACGCTGCTGAGACTACATTCTCCCAACCGTAACCCCCATCTTCTCTCCCCTCCACCCTCTTTTTTTCCTATCCCCCACCCACCTCCCCTCCCCCTTTTTCGTCCCCTCCCCTTCCCTCCTCCTCTCCCCTCATCCCACCGCCCACATTCTCTCATCTCCTCTCACCACTCCCCACCTGTTTTACTGAATCTATTTTTTGGGAATTCTGAAAAAAATCAGATTCAGCGAAAGACTCCTGTCGCATGAGAAAATAGCAAAAGAATCTCTATGGGAATTTGCACAAGCATACCCGTGCTTGTTTTTTTCTTTTTTTTTTTCTTTTTTTCTTTTTGGTTACTTGTTTGCCTCATTCCCCCCTCATTCTTCCAGGTGGACGATTTTGTCCGTAGTGGCATGGTGGTGGGGGTGGGGTCAGGCTTTGGCTCCTCTCTCGCTGTCACCCACCTCATCAGCAAAATCCAGAGCGGATCATTGCGAGATATCGTCGCAGTGCCCACGTAAGTTCCCTTGTGCCTCATTGACCATGCTTTGGGGAGATGAAGCATGCCTACATGAAATGGCATTGCTGCCACCCACCTCATCAGCAAGATCCAGAGCGGATCACAGTGAGTTATTGTCGCCCAGGTAAGCTCATTGAGTGGCACTAAAAGCGAGACTGTTTTTCCTGAGCTGTTTTTCCACGTATAAATAAGTCAAAGAACTAAGTTTGTGCTGCATACATAGAATGTTTTGTGACGAATGCTTGCGTTGATGAATGTGCATGGCAGCACGGCAGCAGCAGCAGCGGAGCTCGCGCAAGCAGGAGTCGTGATGTCAACACTCGAGGAGCATCCCAAGGTATTCCTGCCTTTGTGTTTTAAGTCACAGTCAGAGGCCCCGAACATTGAAAACCCTCTCACGTCCAAACGCTCCTCACCCCAAAAGGTCCCTCACATGCACCTTGAGTCATCGTCCCAAGGTAAGTCACTCCTTTTTGAGTCACTTTCAAAGGTACTTCTTTCCGGTTTGAGTCACACTTGAAATTTCTTCATCCCTTCTGAGTCGCATCGGGAGTCAAGAAAACTGTTTTCGAACACATGGATTTAGTTTTTTTTTCCTCACCTAACCGCTTTTCCCCCCTTTTCCCCGATCAGTTTTGCCTTCACAGATGCAGACGTGGTGCGGGACCGAACTCTACACCCTCCCATCTCCCCCCCCCACATCCCCCTACCTGCTACCTCCTCAGCTAGATTTCGCCTTCACAAATGCAGACGTGGTGCATACTCTCCTCTCTGTCATCTACACTCTCCCATTTCCCCCCCACATCCCCCTCCCCCCCCCCCCCCCCCCCCCCCCCGACCTACCCGCTCGCTCCTCAGCTCGATTTCGCCTTCACAGATGCAGACGTGGTGCAGGAGGGAACACTCTTCTCTATCATTGGGCGTCGCATCCCGACCAAACGGGGTTCGGTGCTCAAAGAGAAGGTGGGTGGGTGCACTTGAGCTTCCACGCACACGCATCTGCCGCTGATTCTTGCTAAGTTTTGGTGGGTTTCTTTCTTTGTTCGTGTTTCTCTTCTAATTTTCTGACTGCGTTCTTATTTCAGTGACCTTTTGGCTGGTCTCAACTTATATCTTCATTTCTTCCCCTCAATGCGTTGCTTTTGCTCTTCCATGTTCCCTGCCATTTCTGCTGCAGTAGGCCGTGGCTCGGGCAGCTGAAAATTTCGCTGTGATCGTGCCCGAGAAGCACTTTGAAGAGGGCCTGATTGACGGGGAAGTGCCCGTTGAAATCGAGCAGGTGAGGGGCGGAATAAATGGGGGTAAGTCTCGAGGCGCCTCAAAACTCACTATGAGGAGGGTCTGATTGATGGGGAAGTGCCCGTTGAAATCGAGCAGTTGAGGGGCGGAGCTGAATGAATGGGGGAAAGTTTTGAGGGGCGAAATCATCTCCTCAGAACCAGAGTGGTGGAGTGATGATGAGGTTTGAGGGTCGCAACGCTTTCCAAGAGCATGAGGAACACAGCAGAGGCGATTGGCAATCCACACACACATGCTCTTCCACCAGGAGCTTGTGTGTGCGTGGTGCGAGTGTGACGGAGGCCAGGTCTACCGGCACGGCACCACATGCTCCCCAATCCCCACCCCCTTCCCTGTTGCATTCTCCCTTCCACCAGGAGCACTGGCTGGACATAGCAGAGGAGATTGACGATCTGTTTCTTGGAGATGCAGAGGTGTGGTGGAGGCCCACCAGTGGTACTCACTCCCCACCCCCCCCCCCCCCCTCCTCCCCTGTCACATTCTCTCTCTCACCAGGAGCACTGGTTGGACATAGCAGAGGAGATTGACAACCTGTTCCTGCTGGGAGATGCAGATGTGTGGCGGCGACCCACCAGTGGTACTCACTCCCCAACCCTCCCACCCTCTCCCGCACACATTCCTTTTCACCAGGAGCACTGTCTCGATATAGCAGAGGAGATTGACGACCTGTTCCTCCTGGGAGATGCAGATGTGTGGCGGCGACCCACCCACCAGTGCTACTCACTCCCCAACCCTCCCACCCTCTCCCGCACACATTCCTTTTCACCAGGAGCACTGGCTGGACAAAGCAGAGGAGATTGACGACCTGTTTCTCGGAGATGCAAAGGTGTGGCGGAGGCCTTCCAGTGGCACACCCATTATCTTAAGCTCTTGTTCCCCCCCCTCCTCCCCCTTTTTCCACCAGGAGCACTGGCTGGACATAGCAGAGGAGATTGACGATCTGTTTCTCGGAGATGCAGAGGTGTGGCGGCGACCCACCAGCGGCACGGCAGGGCCGTTGGGAGGGGAGTTCCCTTTGGTCACAGAGAACGGACATTTCGTGTTGGATGTGATTTTCACGACTCCCATCGCTGATATGAGTGAGTGATTGGGTGAGAGGCAGTGTGTATGTGCCTGGCTGTATGGAGACCTAGGAGAGGCACAGCAGGGCCGTTGGGAGGGGAGTTCACGCTGGTCACAGAGAACGGACATTTCGTGTTGGATGTGATTTTCACGACTCCCATCGCTGACATGAGTGAGTGGATGAGAGACACGTGCTTGTATGGGATGGGGGCTGCATAAGCGGGCCGTTGGGAGGGGAGTTCCCTCTGGTCACAGAGAACGGACATTTCGAGTTGGATGTGATTTTCACGATTCCCATCGCTGACATGAGTGAGTGGATGAGAGACACGTGCTTGTATGGGATGGGGGCTGCATAAGCGGGCCGTTGGGAGGGGAGTTCCCTCTGGTCACAGAGAACGGACATTTCGTGTTAGATGTCATTTTCACAACACCGATTGCTGATATGAGTGAGTGATTGGGCAGAAGGCATTGTGTGTATGTGTCAAAATGTATGGAGGGAGGCCTGCCAGCGGCACAGCAGGACCGTTGGGAGGGGAGTTCCCTTTGGTGACTGAGGGCGTCATTTTCACGACCCCCTCCGCTGATATGAGTGAGTGACTGAAAGGAAGGCATTGTGTGTATGTGTCGGGTTGTTTGCTATCTTAGCAGTGGCACAGCAGGGCCGTTGGGAAGTTCCCTCTGGGGACTGAAGGCAGGGATTTCGTCTTGGACGCGAGTTTGAAGACAAAATGTTTGCCATTTTTTAAATTACGCTTCTCCCTGTTCCGTGTATCAACCTGACAGGGGATGTTGCTCGCCAGTTAGAGTCTGTGCCGGGAGTCGCAGCACACGGCATTCTCCTTGACGAAGCGTATGTATATTCGCCCTAGCTCTCTGTGTGTATTCTCAATTGTCGTGGCCGTTCGAGCGTTGTATGTTTCATATGTTTTCACATTGTCCTCATCTCCAGCGTTGTCAGACCGTGTTCATGATTCCGCAAGATAATGTTCGTTTTCAGGTATGCTGCATCGGTGGCGACCGCGGAGGGAGTGAAAATCCGGACATCAATATTCAAGGAATCTTTTACACCTTCCGAGTCTTGAGAAACGCATTGACATGTCAAGAAGACCTATCACCTTGAGTATTTAGCTCATAAGGATGTGCTGCTGAAGTCGTATGAAACATAGCTGAACCACTTGACGCTGTACTCCTTATTGCGTAGGTCCGTGGTCGTCAGCGGGAATCTCGCATCTCGAGGGCTCATTTCTGAACTCACCGGAAGTCGAGAGAATTTCTCCAGTGGCCAATCGGGTGATTCATTCTCTCTCGGGGGGCCTCGATTTACTCGAGTGGCCACGAAATTGGGTGATAATTACTCGAGTGGCCACGCCAGGGGATTCCTGCTCGCTTTTTTTTCACCGGCGAATTACCCTATGGGGATTTGTAGCCCTGAAATTCCTTATTCGTGCGAGTGGTATTCCTAGGTAGTGTTCCGTTCTGTTCCGCAACTTAAAATTTCGCCAGGCTCACGGACGCGAAAGTGGCCCGCCCACTGTACAAGAAACTGACCAACAGTACATTGACAGGTCAGTTTCGGCCAAATGCGCGACCAATGAGCGCGCGGTCCATCTAATTAACATCCAATCAGCGATCGAGTATATGACTTCGTGATCATATACTGCATTTCACCCGAAACGAACCGACAGAGCAAAACGACCACGCTCGATTGGTCAGGAGATAGAGTTGTGCATTTGTTGCCACTGCGCGTCTAATCAGGCGCAAGATTTACGGATTGCCGATCATATTTGAACGCGTTCATTAAACACAATTTACTATATGGCTGTATGGGATTTAAGAGTATGTTTTATATGCACCCTAAGCACACAAACTTGGAGAAATCATATGCGCACTAATATTTGTTAGTGTGCGGTCCTATTTTATATATGGTTGCCATTTCATTTGGACGGGGATAATTGGACGCTCAATGGCAAAGCATATCCTGAGATTAAAACAAACCAGTCACGCGCGGTAATTTAGTTTATCGCGAATTGATGGCCGATCATTTCGGTATATGATGGGGAATTCAATGATGGCGCCTGATTGGACGCTCAATGGCAACATATGCACCGCGCATGTTTTTTACGTATCATGCGCGTGCATTAGGGGTGTGGCTGTTCGCTTCGGGTCTATAGGATTATATGATCGAGAAGTTATATGGTCGATCGCTGATTCGTTCGGAATTAGATGGACCGCGAGCTCATTGGTCGCGCATTTGGCCGAAACTGACCTGTCAATGTACTGTTGGTCAGTTTCTTGTACAGTGGGCGGGCCACTTTCGCGTCCGTGAGCCTGGCGAAATTTGAAGTTGCGGAATAGAACGGAACACTACCTAGGAATACCACTCGCACGAATAAGGAATTTCGAGGCTACAAATCCCCATAGGGTAATTCGCCGGTGAAAAAAAAGCGAGCAGGAATCCCCTGACGTGGCCACTCGAGTAATTATCACCCAATTTCGTGGCCACTCCAGTAAATCGAGGCCCCCCGAGAGAGAATGAATCACCCGATTGGCCACTGGAGAAATTCTCTCCCGGAAGTCCATCCGACAAGTTTCATTTTGAAGTGCGTGTCAGAGGGAACCCTGCTGTGCTGTCCGTTCTCACAGATCGAATTCTGACAATTCCCCCAAGTGGCATGTGACACTGCACTCCCACAGGAGGACGAACGGGCTCTCGGGCGCTCTCACGCGTTGTGCTATTACAACACCTCGGAAATTCCGCCACAACAGCAGCAGGCTTTCCCTACAAGCCAAGAATACTTCGAGAGAACAGCAGGCAGCAGCAACATCACCAAAAAGTTTCTGACCCTTACCTGACCCACCTTCCAGCCTGACCAAAGCCTGTCCTGTAAATGCCCCCAGAGTTTCTTTGGGGTCAAATTGGGGTTAGTGGTCAGAACAGGGACAGTTCGGGGTCAGTGAGTATTTCAACCCAAAAGTGACCTGCCCCGCACAGCCCTTGGTGATCTGGAGATGCGGGTTCGATACTTGTCGCTGGCAGATCCCGACGAGTTTGGGTGCCCTCGCACTAACCCAACGTGGAACTGACCCAAATCTGTCCCAACCCACCATACCCTCATGTTCGTGGGGCGGCTGGGTTCGACGCTCGCCATGTAACAGGAAACCAACAACCCGTTATAAGCCGGATGCATTATGGACAACGACATAAGCCATGGTTGCGCAGAAAGGTGTACCAAAAAATGAACTCTCCATACACGGGGCATAAACCGGACTATAATACAGTCCTACCCTAAAAGTACATCTCGTGGTGGCCAAGAGGAGCGCCTCACGGCTTCCCAAACCACCTCAAAAACCGATCGTACATGACCAAACTACTACTGCCCAACTGCCCACAGGATTTTCATTAAAAATGTAGCTGTGGTTTGCCTCCCGTACCGACCCCACATGGTCCCCGTCAATGCACGACCACACGGCTGCACCCTGTCTTCCGCCCCCATCACTCATCAAACAGGAACCGGTTAACCAAAGAGAACCGGGACTCTGTGAAACACGGGACAATGTGGGCAAGGGAGAGAATGCTCTCCACCTCGACAACGGCATACTCATCTTCTCCCTCAGTTGGCAAGAGCCTCACGCATCCCGTCACGGGGCATGGAGTGGGATGCTCGTCGAAGTACCGCACCACGGCGCGCCTGTGAATCTGGGCCTCTACGTCCATGAAATGGAAGAGCATGAGGCACCGAGCATACCACTCGCCTCCCCCCCCATCAATCGACACGTAGCTGAACTTCCCTTCGCCCGGCGCTGCCTTCACCATGTGCCCTGGACCGCGGCCCAAGAGGCGGTCATGCGGGGGTATCGCCAGCGCGGTGTGCACCTGCATAAACGGACATGAACGGCACATTGAATCACGTGAGGGTGCCCCTCAAACACAGCAACAAAGCACTGCTGACCACCTTGAACCCCAGGAATCCCATGCCCTGTTACGCCCCCTTGCTCCCACTCGTTCCATCGAGCCATCACCTGCACGCCCGACGCATCGATACCCACGCGCTGCATCACCCGTGCGATCCCGTCCATCACGACGCTTCCCAGCGCCAGGCCATATTCCGCCCATACCGGGTCCTGCGCATCCCCCACCGCCATGCTCCGTGAACGTCGGGTCATCACCGCTGTGTTGTGCTTCACCGCCTGCGTCCACGAGCCGCATGATAGGAAGGGAAACGATCTAATTCGGCGTTGTGCCATGACTACATGATTTTACTGCAAATACGGGACCTCATGCCATACCATCCATGCATGACCAGAAATAACTCACCTTGCGCATGGCCGTCTCGTACGTCCTCCCCCCCTCTTCCCGAGCCATGCCCCTGATAGCCTCGTTGCGTGCGTGGCGAACCGCAATGTCTCTGCCCACGTCCCGCCAGTTCGAGTTCCGTGCAGGCCATTTGCAGCATCGCTTATGCAAGGCCTCGTAGGTGTTGGTAGATTGCTCGGACGGGATGCCATGCATCCTGATGGCGTGCGGAAGGTGCCTGAGAAGATGCACCTTCGGCAGCCGCCACTGCGACGCCTGCCTGGGGAAGACGAGCTTCAGCTCCGCGACCAGCCTGCGCAACATCGTACAGCAACAGCGTGAGATGTATGTCGATGCGGAACCGTGGCATGAGGAGCATGTGCATTAGCTGGGAGTTGTAGAAGCTGCACTGGCGTGATACTGCAGAGCAGATAAGGCTGGGGCATGTTATGCGGAGGGCGGAGGGGCAGGAGAGTGCATAGCAAGATAGACACTTGCATTAAAGCCCAGAGTGCGGGGGAGGACAGGGCATGATAGGCTGCCGCGTCTGCTTCAATGGTTTGATATCCTCCGGCTGCCTAACACCATTTAGAAATATGGCCAAGGGCACGTGGGGGCATGCGGGGATTAAGGGTTGAGAGGCAGGGGCATGATGACCAGCCGCACCTGCGGGAGTGGCCTTATATGTTAGAGCCTGAGAGTCAAAGGCATCACAGGCCGGTGCGGGACACAAAGTGTCTTGTGAGGCAGGTGCTCCAGGTGCTGGGACATGGTGGAGGCTAAACCCAGCCTTGCGTGAGAATGACACACCCACTTACACAAGTGTCTTCCTCGTTGCATCGTCAAGAGACGCCTCCGTATGATAAGCCACTCGGAAATACGCGCGGTACCACTCGTTGAAGAGGATGACCACGCGGGCAATGTCCTCGTGGCCAGGCAGGTGAGCGACCAGAGGTACAATCTGCAGCATGGCCCGATGCTCCCATGCGGCGTACTGGGACACCGTCCCAAAGTATGCCGAAGGGTCCGGATGCCGGAGAAGAGACGGTGGCGTCGCTGCCATGACGGCCTCGCACTGGCTGCGGACATAAGCAATGCAACGTGTACAATGACATGAGCAAGCACGCTTTGAACCGCACAACCCTACATGACATGTGCTTTCAGCACCACGCCACTACCCAAACAAAAACCGCACTCGGTACCTTAGAAGAGTCAGCTGCTCGGTGGGGGTTAATTTCGCCACCAGGCATCGCATGGTGTGCAGCCACACCCCCTCGTCCACCACGTGCATGATGCATATGCCGATGACCTCGTAGAGGTTCCCCCAGGGCGTGTCGACGTGCGCCCATTCCCATAGTGCGCACTGCCAAACCGAACAAAGCTAATGTCGTAATCAACGCATCAAATCCATGACGTAGGCTGCCGCAATCACTTGTTCAACTGCCGGACGCACCCGGCGCGAGATCCGCTCAGAGGGTCACTCACCTTCACAAAGTATGTGCACCATGCCGACTTCACTCTCTTGCGCTTCTTCGGGTTGGTACCCTCAATCCGCTCATACACGTCCTTCTGGCCTTTCACGGTGCGGGTGGTGCTTTCCAGGGTCAGATCCGCAAGGTCCCACTTGCTCACGAGGCACATTGAGCAAGGTTGGTTCGACGTGGCTGCCAATGTGCATGTCACCATGCACGACTCCGTGTGGTCGCACACGTACTTGCTGAGGAGTGGAAAGACCCTCTGTTTCCGCCCCAAATGATCGGTGACCATGATTCCCCCACTGCGCAAGAATGGGCCCGGTCGTCGGTAGAAGCAAGTGTTATCATCTGGTGATTCAAGTGTTGGACGCCTGGGACACTACACCCCATTCGGATGGCACATCAGAGGCCTTTACACGCAACGTACCTCTCGACTGATGATGCGCGCATGAGAGGCCCTAGTACCAGCCGCAACATCTCGTGCATGAGCTCCGTCTTCTGCTCCGGAGTCAAGGCTGCGGGTAGCGGGGGGAAGAGTGCTACCATCTCCACGCCACCTTCAAGCCATCGGCTGGCCTCGGGAATGTTGTCCAGCGAGAACATCAACGGGTGAGCCAGCTGCCTCCCATTAAACGTCAGATGGGTCGCATCACTGAACAGAATCACCGCTGCCACTATACCGGCACCCTGTAAAGCCTCCTGAAGGGCATGTGTCGGACACAATCGGAATTGAGTACGTTCAACCCACCCCCCGTCTGCTCACCCGCCCGATGCTGTGACATGAGACCAGGAGAACAAGGGGAAAAGACACACACACATATGCGAACGTACCCATGCCCGAAGAAACCAGTCGCATTCTACAGCGGCCCCATAACGTCGCTCGCCATCCACCTCCACTTTCCGTGGTTCCGTTGTGAACCCTCGGACCCGGGACATCTTCTCCCACATCCTCGCTAGTATCTGCATGGTTAAGGATTGCACAATGAGAGGAATACCAATGAGTCAATGTGGCTGAAATGTGGATTACCTCAAAACTCACACGATCGAGCGGCCGAAACCGGAACGTCACCGAGCCCAGACCCTCGTTGAGCTCCAACACGCGTATCTCCCATTCGTCGCCATATGACAGGTACTCCTCCTCGAACCGTTCGAGGTCCCGATATGTCTGCCACATATCCACCTCGGATGGGTCCCCGTTCCCAGCTTTAAACAACTGGATGATGTCGGTTATGGCTGCATTAGGCAAGAAGTATGTCCGCGCAATGCGCGCAATCTCTAGCCTAAAATCCCGACTGACACCCGCCTCCGCAACGTCCGACGACTCCCCCGATGCAACAGACGGAGCTGACTCAGCTGATGACCACGCGGCCTCGTCATCGCCATTGGCCTCCTCCTCGTGGCGCTCGCGAGCTGTGCGCGGCTCAAATGTCGCGTCAATGCGACTACCGGATGCGTGCACGATCGTTATTAACGGCGGCCGATAGAAGCGGCCGTACGGAATGCCTAATGCCGCTAGACGGTCCTGTTCGTACAGGCATTTTTTGTTCCGCCGCTGATGTCTACGTAACCCGCCGTAGCTTTTCAGTAATTTCTCGCAGAAAGAGCACGTCGCGTACGGCATAGCAGACGGGTCTGGCTCGTAACATGACTCCCATTGCCCTTCCGGAGACGCATGCGTGCGGGCACTCGCATTACAATGTAACGCGGTCCACGCCAGTTAAAGAGGGGGCCGCGCATAAAACTGCCGGACGTAGTGAACATGGCAGTGTACTTTGTTAGGGTTTCACCGCTTGCGTGCCCTCTCGATACAGATATACCCCTCAGTTGCATAAGTGTGCGTTTATGCGATGTGTTGTGTACCATACATTACTAGATAGCATTTCTGCTTACAAACATGGAGGTATAGCACTGAGATTCACTCTTATCGCCCTCCCATATCCGTATCCGAGCTACATCATTTCCAACAATCATACCAGAGGCAGAACTATAACATGTCACGTCTCAATCAAGACATAAATAGGTCTACATTTTATGCTGAGTCAAGAAAGTGTTTCTACGGCGCATCAATGTCTGTGCGTTGGCGCTTTGCACTAGGCGATGGCATCAGTCGCTCAACAATATCAATGAACGTTATGGCGGTGTCGAAAGTCGGGAGCCTGGCAACAGCTGCAGAATTATGAGAGGGTTGACCATCACTGACAATTCGTTAGTCATGTGCACCACAATGCAAAGGTGCAGTTTGCCACGCCTGACGAGCAACTCACCGGTAGCGAGTGCATCCACATGAGCCTGGGCTCTGATCGGTAATCCCATGTTGGCTGCCTCCTTCGCATCGTTAGCACCTGCGGACAATGTTTATGGCGCGAGACATCAGACGATTCCCAGAAACGCTAATTGTGTAGCTGTGCCTCACCTTCCGTGGGTAGGCGGATAGTAGAGGGGATGGGTAGCAGCCGCTCTACCACATCGATGAACGAGACTGCCGTTACAAAGTTTGGCAGTCTGGCAGCAGCTGCGCAAAGGGAGGGGTTGGATGCTTGAATTAGCATGGCATCTTATAAGAAGCCCATCGCGTGGTGCACTAAGAATGACACACACATGTAACGGACTCACCCCGCGCGGCACGAGGTACATTGGGCAATGCGCATGTGAGCACTGTAAAGGCCATAGCCTGAGGTACTGGGCCCATACTTGCCGTGGCACTTGAACGTAGTCGCACATCATGGACCTCTGACGCTGTCCTCAGCGTCACTCCTGGCGCCTCCTGCCCCTTGTCCTGAACTATGGGCTTGCTTGCATTGCGGTCCGAAACGTCCCCTTGGCGAAGACCGTCCAGCGACGCTGCCCCCCCTTTCTGCTCCACTTGTTCGTCCCGTGTGCCGGATAGCATCTCCCCCCTGACTCCTCGCGTGTCCCCGGTCACGGGGTCCTGCTGCTGGCTCTGGCCATGTTTGCGATTAGGACGGCCGCTCACCGGCAATGAGGCAGAGAGGGGTGATGTTGGCCCCAATACATCGACGCCCTTTACATTACCGATGTCCTCATCGGTAGCGCGTCTCGCAACCGGAATTGGTGACTTATCGATAGGGTTATAATGGCGTTCGATCATCGTGCATCCCACATTTTGCTTTCCTCTCACCACGGCAGGGTTTACACGCCCCGATGCAGCACTAGTAAGGCGGTTAGTGGGACGGCTCTTATGAGCATCGTTCTGGTCAGGCCCGATTAGTCTGCCGCCTAACTCCGACGCAGTTTTGTCATTGGCACGCCGGCAGGTGCTAGGGTCCTCCTCGGTCGCAGGAATTTCTGTCCCGAGGTCCGGGGAGCCGGTATAGATCTGCGTCGACGCTTCCATTAGCGCGTCCACCGGCTCGCCTAGTGCTACGGGTTCCGTGTCATCCTGTCCGTGCCCAGCGGGGTCGTTGGTGCCTATGGGCTGAGATTCTCCTCCGCACCGTGGATCTGTGCTTTCCCACTTGTAAAACTGAGCCCGTGGATTAAAACAAGGAAGTAGAAACGCGCCGCTTCGATAAACGTCTTCCGGCAATCCACAAAATGGGTCTTCGCTTTCTGTGTCTGCGCCACCGTCGTTACCGGCGTGCCCTATATGCTGACTATGTGAGTGCTGGTGTGGCCCGCTACGCGTGGACGCCATGGCCGTAAAAAGCAACATTGGAAGCGGGGTTGTTTTATCGGTTGTCAAGTGTTGTAAGGGCGCGTGTGATCTATTTTCAACTTCTGAAGAAAGGTCGAACTATGTGTGCTTACCAGCTTCGCTAATGTTGCAAAGCAGATTTGGCGAAGGCATGAGAATTTTGGGCCACATAATTTGAACTAATAGCTGCGAACTCAACTCGAATCACACGAGTGAACGTGCGGGTGTACGTGCGGCCTGTATGGGGCCTTTTCAGCACGTACGAAGAGCATCCGAAAATCGATACCGGGTTGCGCAGGTCGTTGAGTTTCGATGCCCTACTTTGTTACCGTGTCGCGATGGACCCGCTGGCAAGAAAGTCGAGTTTTGGCGAGGTTTGTATGAACATACGCGCCCTAAGCAGTTGTGGTTGACCGCTGATTAGGGTTTCGGGAACAGGTACGGCCTCGCATCGAGATGTTTCACGTGAAGTTTGGTATGCGGTAATCAGAGAGGTCCATATAAATTTATCAATTGTGCTTACACATTACCAAAACATAAATCAGGCATGCATTACTACTAATCTGGGAGCCCAGATGACCTAACAATTGATCATTCTTAAATGATTTACTGTGACTAACGCAGTACTAAGAAGATGCTTGGACCATCTGCTTGGGGTACCACCCGCTAAACTCCAATAAATCCTCCCTAATATCCTCTCTCCATACTGTTGGTTCACCCCACAGTTTGATCGACAGAGTGTTTTCAAATGCGGTTTCCACCAGCACCTGCATATATTTCATCACGTACACACCACAGTCGTGCTCGTTCGACTGCTTTGTGACCTGGTACACGGCGAACATCACACACAGACCGGAGGAAACACACAGGCCAGGAGCAGTCATAGATGAGCCACATTCTTTTTGTTATGGCACATAACGCAAGACTGTTAAACTTTGCATACCTCCATGGTCACGAGCTCCACCGAATTCTCCCATAGTTGCGCCTCCACGTCCGTGACAATGGGACGATACCCAGTTAGCTGAGACGCAAGATAATGTCTCAGTGGTCCTGCGATGTCAGTGTGTAACGAGAGTGAGTCTGCATGTAGGATGCGGGTGGGTCGCGGGATTTTGTTCTCGTCGACTGGGTGGTCGTTGTCCAGTATGACAAGGCTCCAGTGGCCGCTGCAACAATGAATGCAAAAATGGGTGCCGCCATGAGACCTTGTGGTAACCCACAGGTGCTATGACGGATGGCTAGCAATTTAAAATACTCACTCGCGGTGGATCGGTACTAGGACCCACTTGTAGGTGAGGACATTCTCTCCGCACGCGAAGTTTCGCGGTGCGGATGCGGTGTTGTGACCGTCAATCAACGTGTTAAAGTATGTCCCCGCGTATAGCCACGTTCGATCTTCTCTTATTGTCTCATATTGAAGCAAGCTGCATCAAACGAATCACGAACCGCGGGTCAGCATGGAAACGTACGGGATGAAACGGGTTGTTGCAATGACACACATCAAGTACCGTTTTACATACATGCCCCACCACTCAATGATGTCGCCAGAAACCCATTTTCCAGGGGACAGGGTGTCTAAGTGTTTCTGTGTCAATGATAACCACGAGCCACCTATTGGGTATGGGATACTGTACTTCTTCATACGGGAGGCCGATGATTTAGACTTCTTAGGAGGCATTGTAGGCTCTAGCACGAGCGTGTGTCGTGAGGTCTAGATCGATGCGCCGTGAGGCTACGTAGATGGCGCGGCTAGGCAGCGTCAAGTGCGGCGGGCTGGAGGTTTCGGTTTTGAATCGACTGATCCAGAAATGGCGATCCACAATACATTACAGATCGGTGGTGCACGATTTCTTTGTTCGCATTGTACACGAGCTATCGATCACCGTGGCTTACCGTCGCCAGAATTGCTGAAGAAGCATTTGCAGTGTGCACTCCGATATGAATGGGCAACCTTGACCCAACCATTCCTCATGGTCGCCTATAGGGGTACTCGTTAAGGCAACCGGAATTGGTATGAACGGTTGGCAGTGCAACCAACATTCATGATACACGGTACTGGGTTCCGGCGCGCCAAAGGATTAGGTTACACGTCATTGCCGCAAGTCGAGGCCGACGCGTGGACAGGGGTCGTGTCAAAAGCGGCCAATTGTCGCTCAGCCAGACCTTCGTGTGCTGTACAACGCACAGACGGTCTAGATTGACCCAGGCGGGCGTGGAGTTATATGGACGGATGTCAGTCACGTCGAATGCCACGCCCACAATGGAGCAGGAGCTTCTTTGGCGGGTCTGGTTGGTTGCGGTCTGGGGTACCGTACTGTTCTTTGTTGTATCATAGTGTTTTTGGCGAAACCCTTGCAAGTCTCTTTGGGTAATACTCGCCCTATTGAAGAAGCCAGTTCGAGGTCAGAACGATGTCGCTAACCTTAGACCGACCCTTGCGAGATAGGAAGCCGCCCGCACACCTTAACGGTACCGATTTCGTAGTGACTACGGTCCGCAGTCGTGCGCTAGACAGCAAATGGGTGGAAGCGAGCGAGCGCACGCGTGTGCTCGTTAATGAATATCGATCTCGGCGTCCACGTGGCGGCAGTCATTTGCCGCCAGGCCACCGTGAGTCCACTCACGGTGTCAACGCCGGCACACGCCAAAAACCGTTGCCCAATCCATATGGACAGACTCCAGAGGACGTGCACGCGGAGCGCGAAGCACGGAGACGTCGACAAACGAAGCCGTTGACCGAGATTACGCCAGGAGACGCGGGACCTGCAGAACAGTCAAACAAGGCAAGGGGTAAGACACATCCTTCCCTTCACAAAAAAACCGCAATCCCAACTGGGATTTATTACATGTATTGGATCATCGCGGCGTTGGCCATTGGCGTTGCTGCCAGTACGGTGACCCAGGGTAGACTCACCAAGCTACTAAGTAGCGTTTTGGTTTGTTGTTGCAGGTTGTGATCCAAGCCTTAGCGGGGACACTGAGCACGGCGGTCCACGCAGCACCGAGTGCGGCCCTGAGGCATGGATGAAGTACAACGAGGTGCTGTTTACAGTGCAACACTCATCATGCTCTGAAGAGCCCGACGTAGACGGCGAGGGCTCGGAGTCATCACACTGTGACAGCGAGGATCATGATGGCGACGCCGACTGGGTCGCAAGCGAGTCAGAGTCCTCGGCGGAGACTGATAACACGCCTCCTCCCTCTCACCAATCTGAACTCGCAGGAACACAAGGTTGCGACCACGCAGCATCAGCATGTGCGGGTAAGCGCTTGCGGGCCACCGGGAGCGGGTCCAATCGCTTACGCAATGACGCCAACACGGCTGTACTTCGACGGGTCGTGGCTGTGTCTACACATACGTCCGGCATGAGGCGAAGCTTTTTCAACATCTACGACGAGAACTGCGATGTTGACATTCCGTCAGATACTGGCCCGAGCGTGAATGTCTTGCGAGGCGACCCGGGAACGTCGGAGACCCAAGTACATGATAAAAAATTGGAGCCGCTGTTCTCTGCGGCGGCAGCGGGTCATGGTGGGTACCCCGCCACATCGACCCCCACACCTACAACCCCTTTGAATCACTCGCAGGATGTCGTCAGGGGATCGGCATTTTCCGGAAATTTTGCGAGGCCGTGGCCGCTCACCACGAATACATCAGTTAAGCACAGTGGCATGGAAGCGGAGTCCAAGGCGGCGCCATCTCGTGGCGGGGGGGTGGTGAACCGGACCTTGTTCGCTTCGCCGCCCAGGATGCAACTGTCTAAAGCTCCCGGCTCGCCTTCTAACTTTACCCCTGCCACGCCCTTGGTAGCACATTCACCGCAGGTGCACGAGAGTGGTCAGGACGGAGCAGGAGTGTTGCCTGGCATGATTCCCACGCCCTTCCTGGCCACATACGAGGACACTCCCGCCAGTGCCCGTGGAGAGGACACCGTTCTTGGCGGCGATGGGGGTGGGGACGACGTCGCTAGGCGGGCGATGGATCAAATACGGCTGCTGTGGGCGCAGGTTCAGGCGAGTCGTGGGACTAAGAGTACATCGCCTGCGGCACACGGGGGTGGGCCGAACATCACCATTGGGGAAGACCTGCATGCCGCTCTCGCGGCAATGGACGGAGCTGCGGCAAATGAGTCGGGCAAAGGTGGCAGAGTTGTCATGCCAGCCGCGGAACCCCAGCCCCAGGCTCCGAGGCCGGTCAGCAGGTTTGGAGATGCACCCCAGCAGAGTGAGGTTCGGAGGGACGCGTGTGTGGCGACACAGGCACGAACACGACCCGCTTGTGCTGCCGAAGAGTTAGCGCCGGTTGCAGAGGCATTTGCGCGTCCACAACGTGGATTCGCAATGAACCGACTGTCAGGAGCTGGGAGGCTGGCGATAGTGGGGAACCACGTGGCTCCCCGGGTGGGCGGAGTTGGCGTGGGGACAGAGACGGGGATGGCCGCGGGGAGCGCAGCGCCCGGCATACAGGGAAGAGGGTTGAAGCGCGAGCGCCCGAAGATGACGATCGTGGTCGACTACAACCCAAACGATGCCAGGCCTGAGTTGCAGCCGGGAATGCCTCCGGCAGACAAGATACACGTAAGTGCGCATCGCAATTCTCCGCAATTGTACGCATGCGGACACGGTGTGGTCGTGATATGCCGCCTAGCTGTTCGCCCTGATGTACTCTCCTGGGACAATCACCGAAACTGCTCTGTATTTGTGGATGCGCCGTGGTATACCCCCCCCCTCCACCACCCCCCCCCCTGTGAAGATAGGTAGACAGGAATGAAAATGACTAAGTCAGAAATTGGTACAAATGGGAAACCTAATTGTGTTGTACCCCTTATGGGATACCCCACTGTAGCCTACACAAACAGGTAAGCTATATGTTCTGACACACCCCCATAGGCAAAGTGGGGGAGAACAAGAGGTCACAAGACCAGTCAAGCAAAGCAAAGCAAGCTCGGGGTGGATCACAAAGTCACCACACAGTCCGAGCACAAGAGCAAGGCCAAAGGCCAGTTCACATGCAAGAGTACAGACACATATATATAAAGCAAGACAAGCAAGAGCAGGTATATATATGTCACAATACAGGTAAAGTCAAGAAGAGAGCAAGTGAGGCAAGACAGGCACAAGACCCAGCTGGGTACAACAGCGCTGATGGTCACAAGGCCCCAGTGCCTTGGTGAACACATCAGCAGTGTTGGCCTCAGAGGCCACGTACGCAAGTCGCAACTGACCACGCTGCTGCAGCTCACGAGCAAGGAAGTAGCGGAGAGCAATGTGCTTCGTTCTGTGCTCCAAGCGCTGCTCTCGACACAAGGCCAGCATGGCCTTGTTGTCTACGTACAGCACTGGAGGAGAACGAGGCGGCTCTCCAAGGTCAGTCAGCAGGTAGGTGAGCCAGCGAAGCTCCTGTGCAGCCATGGCCCCGGCGTAGATCTCAGCCTCACAACTGGAGCCGAGAACCGAAGACGAGCGAGTAGACCGCCACGAGACAGAGCCGGAACCAAGGCTGAAGGTGTAACCCTGTGACGACCGCTGCGTAGCCTGGTCGTCAGCCCAAGAAGCGTCCGCGTGGCCTGTAAGGACCACTGGACTGCGCCCTCCAAGCACTAGCCCCATGCCTGACGTACTGCACAGGTAGCGCAATACCCTCTTCGCCGCAGCCATGTGCTCTGGTCGGTGTCTCCCAGGAGCAACATAGCGTGCAAGGATGCTCAGAGGGTATGCGAGGTCGGGTCGTGTGCAGGTCATCAGGTACATGAGGCAGCCAACAAGCTCTGCATACGGACCACTCGACTCTACGGACTCATCCGAAGGCAGAGCTGAGAGTGAGTGGCGAGTAGGCAGAGGAGTGGCCTGAGGCGAGGAGTACGTGAAGCCGAAGCGCTGAAGGACCTGCTGCACCATGTGTGACTGAGTCAAGGTGATGGTGCGCCGTGCTCTGTCCCGAGTGATCTGCAAGCCAAGGTAGCTGCGCAGTTCACCCAGGTCTGTGCACGTGTGTCTCTTCAGCAGCTCGGACTTCACGTAGGCGAGTCCAGCAGTGTCCGCTGTGGCAAAGACCAAGTCGTCGACGTACACGAGGATGAAGAACGGCGGCAGGGAAGCGTCGGTGCGAAGAAACAGCGACGGGTCAGCAGTAGAAGGAGCAAACCCAAGAGCCGCAAGCGTAGTCCTCAGTGTGTCGTGCCACTCACGCGGTGCCTGGCGGAGACCGTAGACTGGCCGTCGGAGGCTCCACTGGGTTCCAGGAGGGAAAGTCCCAGTGAAGCCAGGCGGACGGCGTAGCCAGATCTCCTCGTGCAGGCTACCCTGCAGGAACGCAGTGCTGAAGTCAAGAGAGTGAAGCTCGTAGTCGCGCTGAGCGGCTATGTGCAGCAGCACCCGAAGAGTGGTCATCTTCGGGGTGGGAGAGAAGGTCTGAAAGTAGTCAACTCCCTGCCGCTGACTGAAGCCACGAGCAACGTACCGTGCCTTGAAGACAGGTGGAGAGCCCGGCGGTCGCTTCACCCTGAAGATCCACATGCCACTGACGATGTTCGCCCCAGGAGGGGGAACTGCGTCAACGTAGGTGCCTGTGGACTTCCAGGAAGCCATCTCTGCATCCATAGCTGCCTGCCACTGAGAGGAGTAGGGACCCTCTACGGCCTCCGCGTAAGAACGCGGAGTCGGGATGTCTAGTGCATCCGGGTCTCCCTCAGGGGCAAGCAGTACAGACGCGAGATGAGGTGAAGCAGCCGCTAGACACTGTAACTCCTCCTGCCTGTCCTCTAGGACGTCCGTGCCAAGAGCACACTCACCCCCGACGGACAGAGGACAGCCAGACACAGACTCAGCAACAAGACTAGCAGCGTAGTCGAGACGACAGCGAGCAGCAAAGTCAACGAGCTCAGCGACCAGAGCAGACGCAGCAGTGGACTCAAACGAGGGGTCAGTGACGACAGTAGCAAGCAGACGCGTGACAGTAGGACTGGCAGCGCGAAGAGAGTCCGACTCAGGGTCGGCAAGCGCAGGAAGAGAGGACTCAGGAGGAGAAGGCAAAGGGGCACGCAGAGGAGCAGTGGACGGACGCAGAGACATCCGATGCGTGCCAGGGACAGGAGGAGGACGCTGACGCGAACTGCGACCACTAGCGCGAGCAGCACGAACAGGCGACGCGGGACGAGACGCAGGCTCACGGCGCTCAGCAAGACCTCCAGTAGGACCAGTGTAAGGAGAGGGAGCAGGCAGCGGAGAGGAAGGCTCCAGTAGGGACTGCGACTGGACAGGCGGTGGACCCTCTACAGGAGGAGAAAGACCAAGAACCTGCTGCAGGAGCGGAACGAAGTACGGCCGAGGCCGCGCGGCAGCTCCAGACTCAGCAGGGACAGTACCAGCACCCTCAGCGACAGCACCAGCGCCACCCACACCTCCAGCGGCAGGTCCAACAGCAGCCGGCTCAGCACCAACGCCCTCAGCAGCTCCAGCTCCAGGAGGACCAGTAGGTCCAGCAGCTCCGGGACCGGCAGCACCCGCACCCTCGACGGTCGAAGAAGCTCCAGCTCCAGCTCCAGCAGCACCTCCAGACTCAGCAGCACGCCTCCAGCGGCGAGCGAACCACTCGCGCAGCTCCGGTGGAGAGAGGGGCTCCCGGCGAGACGCAGCAGCAGGAGAAACCCCAGGCTCAGCAACTCTAGGCGCAGCACCCCCAGGCTCAGCAGCTCCCAGCTCAGTACCCTCAGGCCCAGCAGCTCCCAGCTCAGCACCCCCAGACTCAGCACCTCCAGGCACAGCACCCCCCGGCCCAGTACCCCCAGGCTCCGCACCCACCGCAGTAGCACCCCCAGGCCCAGCACCCCCAGCAGTAGCACCCCCAGGCCCCGCACCCTCAGGGTCAGCACCCCCAGAGTCAGCACCCCCAGGCTCAGCACCCGCAGCAGCACCAGAGTCACCAGTAACCTCGACCGGGTCAACGGCGTCTACCTGGGACACACCTGAGGGGGCAGGAACCTGAGGGGGGAGGGGGTCGACCGGGGGGGGAACCGGCACAAGGAAGTCCGGGGGAGGGGGGAGGGAAGGAGTGCGGTAGGGGAAGAGACGGTAGAAGGGGACTGACTCGTCGAACGTGACGTCCTGGGAGGACAGAACACGACGAGAGGAGGGGTGGTAAAACTGCCACCCTGGGGCGTCAGTGGGGAAGCCAAGGAAGACACAGGGAGCAGCACGGGGGGACAGCTTGTCGGCAGACAAGTCGCGGACAAACGCCCGAGATCCCCAGACACGGAACACAGACGCATCGCCAACCTTCCCTGTCCACAGCAAGACTGGGGACATCGCAGGCCGAGAGACCCGGGGGTGAAGGTTGAGCTGATGCGCCGCGTACCTCACAGCAAACGGCCACAGAAAATGGGGGGCAGCCGCATGCATCATGGACGTACGAGCGACATCCATGACCATGCCAATGCGGCGCTCAGCAATCCCATTTTGCTGTGGTGAGTCCGGAAGCGTGAAGGTCTGGCGGATCCCCCGTGCACGACAGTAGTCTCGCAGAAGGCGAGAAGAGAACTCTCCGCCTCTGTCAGAGTGCAGACGCAGAACAGGAAAGTCCGAGCCGAAGCTCTTCCTGAGCTGGAGACGAGCCTCGCGGATCCAGTCGATCAGCACCTCAGTGACCGCACCCTTGCTGCGCAAGGGGAGGACTGTGGTGTAACGCGAGTAGTCGTCAACCACCAACAGGAAGTAGCGCTCGTAACCCTGCCCACGGACGGGGGCTGGGCCCCACACATCCATGTGAAGCGTCTGCAGGGGAGCCTCTGTCGGGGGGAAGCGGGAGGAGTGAGGAGTAGCTCGGAGGCGACCCTCGACACAGGGGACACAGGAAGGTCCTGGCCCGGAGGGGAGAGGAGGGAGAGACTGGGGAAGACCAGAGACAAGGACACGGGAAGCCATGCTCCGAAGACGGGGCAAGGAGGGGTGGCCAAGACGGTGGTGCCACAGGAGAGTCTCGTGAGACAGGAGGCGACAAGAACAGGGGGCAGACTCAGGACCTGACCTGGAAGCAGCAGCAAACACCTGACCTGACGCAGCTACCTGACCAGACGCAGGGACAGGAGGAGACGAAGTGGTCAGGGTGTAGAGACTCGACCCTGGCCGACGCGAAAAGGTGGCCAGGTGTCGGCCTGTGTCTGCGTCCGTGCAGTGGGTCACCCGTCGCCTCGCAGGAGTGAACTGGTGAACCCCCGCATCCTGTAGGTCCGCACCACTCACCAAGTTCGTAGAGAACGAGGGAAGGTACAGACCAGACAGGGTGCCCGAAGGGGCAGCCGGACACGGGAGGACAGTGGAGAAGTGAGACAGGACAGGACCCCCAGAGGGGTCAGCAAGGGAGACCGCAACCGGCCGGCCAAGAGGCGTAAGGGTAGTGCGGTCTCGAAAGAAGGAGCGAGAAGCCCCAGAGTCAAGTGTGAAAGTGAGGGAGGACGAAGGCGACGCAGTACCTGAGAGCGCAGTCTCACCAGCACCTGAGAGCGCAGTCTCACTAGTACCTGAGAGCGCAGACGCACTGGCACCTAGAGCAGCAGCCTCACAAGTACCTAGCGCAGCAGTACCAATGCCCGGGTCGGGCTGGAAACACCGGTAACCCTCATGCTCCTCACTATAAGTCACAGCATACATAGCAGAAAGGATAGCATCAAAATCAAGATCAAAGATCGCTACACCAGCCCTAAGGAGCTCATCCCAGCGAGGGATCTCACTAGCCCCGGGGAACTGCTGACGCCAAGCGTCCGTGAGGCGGCCAAAGCAGCGCTGGGTGGAGTGGGCACCCCCACACTGCTCACCCGCGCGGTCGCCGGAACGAAGAACGTAGGCGCAGGGACCAGTACCCCCACCCCTCTGACGCGCAGCGTACCACTCACGAAGCTGCTAAGGCGGAGGGATGTCCCGCGAACGCTGCTGCTGCTGCCGCTGCGAGCGCTGGGCACCACCACCGCCGCTCCGCTGCTGGGTACCACCACGACCAGCTCCACCTCCTCCACCACCACCGCCTCCTCCGCCGCCGCCTCCACTGCCTCCACCTCCACCGCCTCCGCTCCCGCTGCTGCCTCCACCACCACCGCTGGCACTACCACTACCGTCTCCGCCGCTGCTGCCACCACCACCACCACCACCACCACTACTCCCGCCACCACCCCCACTCCCTCCGCCGCCTCCGCCGCCACCGCCACCGCCCCCTCCAGCTCCGCCCGCGCCCTTGCCCCCCTTGCCCTTGCTAGAGCGACGTCTCCCACTAGGGGCAGACGCCGCGCCGACCGACTCAAGACCAAGCAGGTCGGCCGCAGCAGCAGAGGCAACAGAGGGCAGCAAGGGGGAAGGAGAGCACCCCTCAAAGATGGGGGTGCGAGGGTCACCACGAGAGGCACCTACAGCGACTATGCTCTTCTCCGCTGCGAGGAGGGCCTTCTCGAGGAGGTCGAAGGTGAGAGTGGTGGGACAGACTGCGAGAAAGTGGTCCCTGACTACGCGGAGGGAGTCAGGGAGGCGCGCGACTACGTAGTAGAGAGTGATGTACATGGGGGGGGGGTTCTTAGCGCAGAACTCAGCAGGAAGGGCGGCGCGGTAGCGAGTGTCACTAGTGCGGAGGTGCGTAATGAGGTCAGTGACAGTGGGAAAGACAGAGAGGTCAGGAAAGAGGTAGGGAAGCATGAGACGGCTCAGTGCAGCAGTGGCAGGGGAGGAGTAGCGCGCAACTACAGCGTCGTACAAGGTCTGAGCACTCTTGTACTGACTAAAGTGCGCACGCTCAGAGGTAGGGAGGTGGCGACGCACAGCAAGACGTGCAGCAGCATCGCGGGTGGCCCACTGAGAGCGGACAGTGGGATCAGCATCGGCAGCAGGAGCAGGAGAGGCGCCAGAGGTGAGGTCAAAGAGAGAAAGGCTGTCAGCTCTGTCGCACTGTAAGAAAAGCTGCAGGTCGTCTAGCCAGACCTCAAAATCAATGGCTCGACCCTCGGCGTCAAAGGCTAGGACACTAGGGGTGGCCATGATGACGACAGCGAAGCAGTGCAAGCAGTAGGGAAAGAGGGCGCAGTGACAGAGGGACTGTGCTCACCAGGCAGGGCAAGTCGTGCAGCTCAGTAGAAAGGCGGATCGACTCCCGGGCAGCTCGGCAGCTGTGGGGCGGCTCGGGTGCTGCTGGGCGGCTCGGCCGCTGCTGGGCGGTCCGGCTGCTGCTGGGCGGCTCGGCTGCTGCTGGGCGGCTCGGCTGCGGCTGGGCGGTCCGGCTGCTGCTGGGCGGCTCGGCTGCTGCTGGGCGGTCCGGCTGCTCCTGGGCGGCTCGGCTGCTGCTGGGCGGCTCGGCTGCTGCTGGGCGGGCCGGCTGCAGTGCAGCGGCGGGGCCTGGACAGGTGCAGTGGCGGGCCGGGAAAGGTGCAGCGGCGGGCCGGGACAGGTGCAGCGGTGGGCCGGGACAGGTGCAGTGGCGGGCCGGGACAGGGGACGGCGGGGCCGGGTGTGTAGTGGCGGGGCCGTCAGGGTGCAGCGGCGGGCCGTCAGCAGGTACAGCAGCGGGGCCGTCAGGGTGCAGCGGCGGGCCGTCAGCAGGTACAGCGGCGGGCCGTCAGGGTGCAGCGGCGGGCCGTCAAAAGGTGCAGCGGCGGGCCGTCAAAAGGTGCAGCGGCGGGCCGTCAGGGCTCAGCGGCGGGCCGGGAAGGTGCAGCGGCGAGGCCGGGAGAGGGGACGGCGGGGCCGTGACAGGAAACGGCGGGGCCGGCAGAATGCAGCGGCGGGCCGTCAAAAAAGGGACGGCGGGGCCGTCAAAAACGGGGCCCGCGGCCGCGACGAAGCGGCCGCGTGGCCGATTCGAGGGCGGCGGGGCACAGCCGGGCCGAGAGGGCGGCGCGGCGCGGCCGTAAAGCCCGCGCGACGTGGGCCCGAGCCGCGCGCGCTAAAAAAAATTTCGCGCGCTACTCGCGGGGGGGCCCACAAAGGCAGCGGGAAATGCACTAAGGGGGGAGGGGGGGAGCGCGCCTCGGGGAGAGTAGGGCGCTCCGGGCAGAGAGAATATCGAGGGTGGGCCCAAAAAAAAATCGGTCCTTAAGAGGGACCCGCTCTATACCATGTGAAGATAGGTAGACAGGAATGAAAATGACTAAGTCAGAAATTGGTACAAATGGGAAACCTAATTGTGTTGTACCCCTTATGGGATACCCCACTGTAGCCTACACAAACAGGTAAGCTATATGTTCTGACACCCCCCCCCCCCCTACCAACCCCGCCCCCCAGTTTTACGCCAAGAAGGCGATGCATCTGCTGTTGCGTTCTTGCGCCGCGCATGGCGTAACGCACTGGCCGACTGACGAGGAGAGGAACGTGGCCCTTCTCGTGGTGCTCCGGTGCCACTACGACGTATGCGCTCTAGACGTTGACCGCGCCATGAACGACGGGGCGTACAGCAAGGTTGTCAACAAGATCTGGTCGAAGTTCAGGAGTGACTCGTCGTCGAACTCACGCCGACGGATCGTGGATGGGCTGAAAATCAAGGTAGCAGCCACTGGCATCTACAAACTGGAGATCGATATCGACACAAAGAAGGATCTGCACCGGAAATACGCGCCCAGTGAGTGTCGTGGGTGCAAGGGGGGATCCCGGTGGAGGGCTCGCACGGCAGGGCCTATGTATGCTGGGCCGGCTTTAACCACCAATTTGCCTGCCGCAATGTGTACAGAGAAGGAGCTTATGCAGCTTGTGTCGACATGGAGCTGCGAGAGAGGGGATTTGCGGCCCTTTACCACCAAAGTCTTCTTTCAAGCATGCAAGGCGGCCTACCTAGAGTGGGTGTTTGGAGGCAACCTGGTGCTGGTGCCATACCACATCGCATGGGTCTTGTATTCCGTGAGTGGATTGGTTCGATTCGTTCTGTTTAAAAATGGCCCTATGTATCCGACTGACTGCCTTCTGCAATTGCCCTGATGGCAGTTCGATTTCGGGATACGCAACTGGGAGACAAAAGCGATATGCATGACTCCTAGCCCTCTTGACAACGAGGGTGGTTTAGGCCACTGTAACGAGCAAGTGCTGAAAGTGATCACCCATTGGCTGGGTGTGTCTAAGGGAAGGTGGTACGATCCCGTTGTCGGCGGATTCCGTTGGGGGGCAGAGCACCTTTATGTCAACGAGAGTGAGCTGGAGGAGTTCAAGCCCGTGCAATATGGGGGCAAGATGGACCCGAGTGGTGACACCGACGAGCCGTGGCTTGCTTGATTTGGTTATCATGAAGTGCAGGGAGGCTAACTGGGCATGCGTCTTTGGGGGGCATGTTATTTAGGGTGCGTAGTTAGGGTGTTGGATAAGACACGCCCAAATATTAGTAGCGAACAAATGTTTGCTATGTTTCGGAGTTGGCGTGGATAAATGAAATTTACTAATTGCGTACAGTGTAATTTATTATACGCAATAAGCGTTCCAACAATACAGTATCATGTTGTAACGAGGATGCGGCTCGAACGTGTACACCATAGGCATTATATAGTGGGACCGATATAAACGTGACCCATGTAACAAGTGTCGAAGCTGATTACAACGGGGATTACGTGGATTGTGTGCCAGACACGTGTGCCCCAAATCTGCCCTCGGAGTGACTTTGGGGTCAGTCTATATTGACCCGAATCTGACTTTTCCCGCCAAAATCTGGCCCGTACCTGACCCGTACCTGACCCGTACCTAACCCGAAAGTCGCTTGTGGGTTAGCCAATCTGACCTTCGATTAGCCTTAAGTGTCAGTTCCAAAAGTAACTTGTGGGTCACTTTCCGAAATGTCCCCAATCTTGCCCGAAAGTCACTTAGGGGCCCCATTTGGGTCAGTACATTTTGGAGATGAATTCCTAGGGTGCGTCAGGGAGAAACTAATCTCCTAGGCTTACCAGGCAAAATCCGTCGTTCGTGGCCAAGCCTCGCTCTAATGTCCTTGAACCGCACACGCAGCGCAACTCTTTTGATTGTGCTTGTATCTAAGCAGGAGAAAATAACCCCACATTGTCGAGTTTTCACGGCACCCGTGGCTGCGTTCCGTAGTAGCTGAATGTTGCTGGAGGGGTTAAAAAAACTCAATGCAGTAATCTATCGGGTGCCTCTCAATATTAACTTATCTTGCCTGCCATATACTAGTGGGTCATGGCGATGAATGCACCCAGTGACGAGTCACGCGAGCTTGAAGATCGCCACGTGGCAGTCTCGCTGGCATCGCATTCGGAGACGTCGTCGCTGACGGACCCCCTGCTGACGCGTCGCGAGGTAATGCGATGCGCATTACGGCATAACAGTGGAATGCCATTCATTGCCGCTTTTGAGAGTTCTTTAAAGTGCAGTGCATTACGGAATAACAGTGGAATACCATTCATTGCCGCTTTCGAGAATTCTTAAAAGTGCAGTGGAATGCCATTCATTGCCCTGATAGTTGTGGGGGTCCGGTAGTGAATGGAGCGAGAGGAGGAGGCGGCTGGGGGGAGGAAGAGGGAGAGGGGTCTGCGTGCATGACGTCCTGCATTTCCCGTTCTTCTGCTAATGTATATCCGAGAATGTTGGCGTCGCCGTTTTTATCCGCGCTTGATTGTCATCTGTCTTTTCCGTTGTGTGTTTCATTCTTTGAATAATCTCTCGAGCCTCTTAGCAGTGTATGCCATTCAATAGTTTCTTTAGAGGGGTTACATGTACTCTTTTTTGCATAAGCTTATCTCTATAATGGTTCTTGTTGGAAACCTTACATAGCAACTTTTCTTTTTTTTGCCACAGATTACTTCTTTCAGAACAAGTTCTTGTCCTTGCCGCATCCCCCTTGCATTACAGCCCCCTGCTCGCGCTGCTCGGAAGGGCCCCTTGCTGCTCGTCGTCTCCCTCTGTGCCTGCCTGCTCGCCACGCTGCTGCTGTCCCGCTCCATCCTGCTGTGCCCTCACTCCCTTTCCTTCACCATCTTTCCCTCTTTCTCTCTCCCCTCCCCAACCACCCCCTTCTCCCCCTCCATTTCAGCCCTCCCCTCGCTCTGCTCGGAAGGTGCCCTTTCTCCTCCTCGTCTCCCTCTGTGCCTGCCTGCTCGCCACGCTGCTGCTGCCCCGCTCCAGCCTGCTCCGCCCACACAGTCACGACCGCCCACCTATGCAGCCGATTCCGCTGCTCCCGCCACACATGCAGATACCAGCAGCCATGCAATCACTTTCACCAAATAGTAGCAGCAGCAGCAGCAGCAGCAGCAGCAGCAGCAGCAGCAGCGAGCACGGGAACAGCAGCAGCGAGCACGGGAACAGCAGCATCATTGCGCCTGTTCGCTTCTTTGCGTTTGGAGACTGGGGAAGGAACGGCACGTTCAACCAGTCGCTCATTGCCACGCAGGTACCAGCACAGCTAAGCAAGCATACAGCAAGAGGGGCATAGCAAGGGGATGAGATGAGCAACCACATTACAGGCTATCGAAGGATTGGGGAAAGAACGGCACGTTCAACCAGTCTCTCATTGCCACGCAGGTACTGCCACTGCAAAGAATGCATGCAGCAAGAATCATGGCAAAGGCTGCAGCAAAGAAATCGTAGCAAGGAGGGGATGAGATGATGAGCAAGCACATGACATGCTAGCAAGGGACTGGGGAAGGAATGGCACGTTCAACCAGTCCCCATCTCCACATCTCCCATCCGTGCCAAGCCAACCAGATGGGCCTGGTCGGAGCCCACATGCACCCCCAGTTCGTGGTCACTCTGGGAGACACTTTCCTCGAGCCCGGCCTTTCAGGCGTCAATGCGAAGCCAACCACCTTTGTGCCCAACCCCTTGCCTCAACTCTTTGTCTTCCTGCCACCCAGATGGGCCTGGTCGGAGCCCACATGCACCCCCAGTTCGTGGTCTCTCTGGGAGACAACTTCCTCGAGCTCGGCCTGCCAGACGTGAATGCGCCACAGTTCGCCCAGTCCTTCACCAACATCTACACCCACCGCAGCTTGCAGATCCCCTGGTATGCAGGTGAGCCGCTTATCTGTGGGTAGGCCCACCCGCATGTGCCGGTGAGACTTTATGCGTCGTTTAGTGTGAGTGTTTCCCCCTAGTTCATTCAGCCTTCCAGAGCTGAATGCTCCCCAGTTCGCCCAGTCCTTCACCAACATCTACACCCACCGCAGCCTGCAGATCCCCTGGTATGCAGGTAAGCCAGCATGTATGTACTGGTAACCCTGTACGTGCTGGTGAGTGAGGGTGCTCGGCCTGCCAGACGTCAATGCGCCACAGTTCGCCCAGTCCTTTACGAATATCTACACCCACCGCAGCCTGCAGATCCCCTGGCATGCAGGTGAGCCCGCAAGTGCTTGTGAGCCTGCGCGTGCCAGTAAGACTGTATGTGCCGTTTGGTGTGAGTGTGTGCCTGCATGTCTCCCAGACCTCAATGCCCCCCAGTTCGCGGACTCGCACAGAAGCTGCACCCATCTCTGCCCATGTGCGACCCTTCCTTTTCTCCCTCCCCCTACCCTCTGGCTTCTCTGTTTCCCTCCCCCCCTGTTCACTAATAGTCCTGGGAAACCATGACTATTATGGGAACATGTTAGCCCAGCCACCTAGCACTGCCCATGTGACCCTTCCCCTTCCCCCCTCCCCGCCTCCTCTCGTTTCTCTGTTTCCTTCTTCCCTTATCCGCCAGTCCTGGGAAACCATTACTACTACGGGGAACGTGCTCGCTCAGCTGCATCCAGCCCTGGCCTATCGCCAACATCCATCCCCCTGCCTTGTCCGCATTCCTTCTTCCCTGTTTCGCTGTTCCCCTGTTCTCCTTCCCTACCCGCCCCTTTATCTCCCGACCTGGGAAACCATAACTACTACGGGAACGTGCTAGCCCAGCTGCACCCAGCACTGGCCATGTGTGGCCCTTCCTTTTTCCCTGATCCTTCTTCTTCTCCTTCTCCTTCTCCTTCTCTGTTTACTCTTCCCATGTTCACTGCCAGTTCTGGGAAACCATGACTACTATGGGAATGTGCTAGCCCAGCTGCACCCAGCACTGGCCAATCGCGACCCTCGGTGGACCTGCCGTCGCAGCATGGCCCTCTCGCTCCCTATCTGCGCCGAGATGGATGAACAGAGCGTTGACCACGTTGACCCCGTTGACTCAGCTGGTCAGGGCGTTGACCGTGTTGACTCTGGAGGAGGACAGGGCGTTGACTGCGTTGACTTTGTTGACCTGTTTCTGTACGACTCAATGCCGCTGATCCCCGCATACCGGCACAAGGAGGGCCGGCGGGTGGACTGGCGGGGCCTCAACACGGGCAACTGGAGCCGGCAGGAGGAGGCACAGCTGCAGGTGAGGGGCTGACTGCATTGACTGTGTTGACTTTGTTGACCTGTTTCACAAGGAGGGCCGGCGGGAGGACTGGTGGGGCCTCAACATGGGCAACTGGAGCCGCCAGGAGGAGGCACAGCTGCAGGTGAGGGGCGGAAGTAGTGCTGTTTGGGCAGGAGGAGGAGGGTGGAATGGGGGTAGAAAAGGGTAGGCGGGTGGACTGAGGGGTGGTGGAATGGAGGGGCCTCAACACGGGCAACTGGAGCAGGCAGGAGGAGGCACAGCTGCAGGTGCAGGAGAGGAGGGATGTTGCATTGACTGCGACTCACGCACATACACGAGCGCGCGCGCGCGCGCGCACACACACACACACACGATATCTGGTGTGCATTCATGCATGAGGCGCACATATGCACAGATCCACGAGTCACCCAAGCATTTTCTTTCGCTCTTTCCCCTGTGTGGCAGGAGCTGGAGGGGTGGCTGAGCAACTCGCAGGCGCGGTGGAAGGTGGTGGAAGGTGGTGGGATGTGGACATTCACACATCCACACACATACACAGACGCACAGACCTGCGTACTCATGCAAGCATTCCTCGCTCTTCGTTCGCTCCCCTGTGTGGCAGGAGCTGGAGGGGTGGCTGAGCAACTCGCAGGCGCGGTGGAAGGTGGTGGGGGCGCACCACCCGGTGTTCAGCTATGGCAAGCATGGGGACCAGCCCGAGATGGTGGAAAGGATTAAGCCCCTGTTAGAGGTGAGGTTGAGGCCTGAAAGGGTAGTCTATGTATAGTCATGTTGTGTGAATTGGTGGTCTTTCTGTCCTGTACCCACACATTTGCTCCACTGTTTTAGCTTCTAACTTTCCATGTGTTATACAAGCACCTGGGTGAGTTGAACCCATTCTCAGATCCATTCAATGCAGGAGAGAGTTTATGCCGAGTGTATTACTTCTGTGGGCTCACACATGGCACACGTGTGTCTCCAAGAGCAAGCATTCAATATTGATTCCCGCCCCAACTCCCCTTACGGCATTCCTATTGGTGTGTGACACTATCAGAAGTACGGTGTAGACGTGTACATCAACGGTCACGATCACAACATGCAGCACATAAAAAAGGATGAGAGGTGAGCCCCCCATTCAATTCCGAGCCCTGAACCCCATCACGGGCTATAATCACTGATCTGGACCTTCGTCTTCCAGCTGTTAGCCCCGTGCCTGGGTACTTATAGCGTGCCCTTTTTTGGCACATGAATTCATTGTCTCTTTTGTTGGGAACAATAAGTCTTAAGCGCCTCTGTCGTGTCGAAACTCAGAACACAAAGTGAAGCAGTCCAAATCGAAGCATCGAGAGTCAACCCTCGGAGGTTAGGGTAACCGCCTGGAGGTTACGCGAAGGTCAAAGGTGAGCGACCTTTGACTTGACCAATACAGCGCGACAGCAAGGACACACAACTGACTCGACATTGAGCAGTTGCCCGAGTCGCATTGTATCGAATCGCAACAGCAAGGTAGTTTAATTATATCTATTCGTATTCCTTGTACTCTTATATAAAGCCTTGTATTTGCCTGTTTTTAATCAACTTACTTTGCCCTCACATACTAGCGCAAGGTGGTTCAAGGACCTTTCATTCAACGCTTCCGCTATTACATCATCCTACTCAGACTTTAACTCTACAAAGATCCTAGGGCCCTCCAGCCCAACATCTTTCTCTAGTTCTTATCCTAGAGTGCCCTAAAACATTCACCTTTGTTTCTCCTATCGACTTTCGCCCCTCTGTCTCCTATCTGATGTCTCCCGTGATTCAGTCCCGTTCACTATTTCACGGTGGGTGGGGGATCCAAGGCGTGGCGAGGCGATGCTCCCCCTGTCGCCCCAGGCCTGCGGTTCTTCTTTCCTGGGCAGGGCTTCAGTTCTCTGGAGGTTTCCAGGAACTCACTGACCGTTAACTTTTATGGTGTTTTTGGAGAGCTCATGTACTCCACCACGCTCAACAAATGATTGTCTCAATGGTTGATGGGTGCTGTGATAGATGCACAATGGACATATATTTATGAATCAAGCGTGTGATTGTTGCATGTGTGTTTTCTTTTCAGGAGGACCCCTCCCATGTTTACCCTGGGCTTTTTAAGACATTGCTCATTAGTGTAGGCAATTACTTTGGGTGCATATTTTGTAGAATGCTTTCAGCTTCGATAATGTCATTTTTTTGTCGCGAATGTAAAGAGTAAGCGATTGCTCTAGTGGTAATCGCACCATCCCCCAAGCGAGACATTTACGAAGCCCACCAGCCCAGATGAAGCGCCTCGTCTGGTCTGGACATTTCTCCAAAACCAGACCGAGCCTCACTCCCGAGCCTTTCCCTTGCACGGCACGGTTCCCCTCAAAAGCTGCGTCTGACTAGCCCGAACCACGAACAGGTTGTGTCTGGGGGTGTCAGTCTGCCGTTTCTCGACACGCATACCTGGAACTCCTAGGAACACGCTCCGCCTCCTGACGGCGTACTCGTGCTGATGAGTCAATTTGGTTGAAGTTGCCGCAATCAACCACGCTGAAATAAGGTCTACCGCACCATACCATGCCTCACCTCTCTCAAACATTATTCGCAAGTTTGGTTCAGCCGAACCACGGCTTGGGAAAGTGGCATCCATCGAAGTTCCCACAGTAAAAACGGAGCCAGTGATTTCCACCCAAGCTCGAGCTCGCCAATACTTGCGAGCAGTGGCGACCCAGTTCACTAACGCGTTATCCTATTAGGGACGACATAGACAAGATTAGCTGATTGGGTCCCTTGTGCGATACGAAGAAACTGATGCTGCCTGAGTCCTAAACTAAGCTTCATAAGGATTTTTTTGGCGGTGTAGTGCGACATGAAGTAGATGAATATCATTAATTGCGCAGTCCCAGATAATCGGCTGTCAAACGGAACCAGCTAAATCTTACAGTCGAAAGCTTCTCAGTTCCCAAGTTGTCATTGCTTGTCCCCTGTACGGTTCTGTGGACTGCGAGGTCGAGGGTTCGATACATTCGTGTAGCAGGAATGGCAAAAGCGAGTACGGATCCGTTTGACAAGATGTTGCAACGAAGCCATCGCGAAAGTGTGAGGCCCGAAAAGTTGCGGAATAGCAACTTCAAAGTTGCTTTTCCGCAACTTTGGTTTCGCAAGAAAAAAGTCTAGGCCAAAGGCTTCTGTGGCGGGGTGACTTTCGAAGTTGCGGAAAAGTGACGACAAAGCGACAAAAAAATGGCCATATTGCAACCACACGACACAACTAAAAGGTGACATCTGATGTGACATTTGTCTGAAGGACTTGGGCTTTAAGTCCCTTTTGCCACCCCTTTGCCAAATGGACGCCAGAACGCCACGTGCGTAGATATTTCCTGCCAGCTGTCAAGGTGAATAGTGCAGCTACAAATGCCACGTGGACCAATCAGTTTTCGGGATGCATATTGGCGCACGCAATATAATTTGTGGAGACAGTTGAGTTCAGCATGTACATATAGAAATTTGTGTTACTATAAGTACATTTTTATACAATAGACCTGACAAAACGCCCTAATACCATAATCAGCATGATCTGGCACAACTAAATAATCTAACTGCAGGTACTTCAACAGTATCAAAACATTTACGCCCTTTCAACCACTTGAGCCTGGAGTTCTGAAACACACGTAAAATCAGAAACACAATCCAAGACAGGGAGTAGTACCTGCAAAAACTGATGTTAGCCAGGCGAGAACAAATGTAGTAGTAGACATACCTGCGGCCACTTACCTGTTTGCCATAGTGGACTACGAATGCTTGTGCCGTTTGATAAGTCAACATGTTTACGAAATACATCGACATTAATACAAGGTCGCGCAAATGAGGAGCGCACCACAAGACGTTAAGAAAATACAGATCTGCACACAAAGCGACATAATTCGACCAAGAGAGAACGCACTCCCAGCGTTGCCCTCCATTCCGTGCACAGCACGGTACGTTATGAGTTAGGCAAAAAAAAAAAAAAGGAGAAACACGGTGTCGACGTACCGATAAAGGACCGTCTCAGTGACTCATTTACACCCGTTGTACAGTTGTAAAACGGCTCCCGACCTCCAGTTGAGTTTGGACTGCAACCTGGACAATGGCACAAGGAGGAAAAAAAAAAACGACGCAATAAGACTTTAGGTTAAAACGAGAATACTTAGGGAAAACGGATCTGATTGTGGCAGAAAAGATTGATACACAGAAGAGCAGCGTGCCTAGTAACTAGAGAAAAACGTTAAGTTTTGAGAAGAACAAGAGCAGAAAATGAGACACAAAGCTAGGAGGAGGTAGAAGAAGGGGTTGGTTGGGAGCACATTCGAGAGGTTCTAGGTTCAGAGCTCTGACGTGGAGATGAGGAATCATGCTGATTGGTGGGCTTGTCAGAACATTGTAGCTTACTCATTTCTGTAGGCTATAGTGGGGTATCCCATAGGGGGTACAACCCAATTAGGGTTTCATATTTGTACCCACTTCATTTCATAGTCATTCATTCTCGTTCTAACTTTCTCAGGGCTCAGGTTTGTTTCCCACATCGAATGGTTCAGAACCACAAGATGTGTATCTGATTCCTGAATCAGTAGAGTTTTGGTTGGCGACGTTACCACGAAACACAGTGGCGTGTGACATTCGCGCTGCTTGTTGATTGGTAGTTTCAATTTCAGCTCGGAGAAATTTCGGTCACACAAGTAACATTTCGTCAGCTGTGCGAAATTGCTGCCAACCTTAACTTCCCAAACCGCACTGTAACGCTCTTTAACACGCGAGACACAAGTGGGTGTGAACATTTGAGGGGACTCTTACTACGTTGTGGCGGAGTTCCGAGTGCGTTTGCCCCATGATTCGAGGCCTTGGATCCGTGTGCTCCGGATTCCGAAGGGCTTGGGCGCAAGGCTCCGCCGCATACGACAAGGCCAGCCGCTCACAATTCCGTGCCCACCTGACCGTGAAAGATGTGTTCCAACCAACCTGCCCGTGACCCTTTGTGCCAGTGATTTCATGGGTATGACATTTTTCGCCATCGTAACTCTTTGGCCGACAAGTGACGACCGCCGGTCGCATGGCCGGATGCGACCAACTTGTATTTTCTGCGTGGTTATATGCTTTAACTCGGTTTTTTTTAATGGCTAGAGCCTTAAAGCTGCAGCAGGTGCGTTCCTTTATACCATTGATTTTATGTGTTTTATGAATAACATGAGTGCAAGTGTAGCATCCTACGTTTGCTCATTGTGTTTTATAGTCATTGTTTACCAAACTGTAGGTGTTCTGCACACGTCGCCATGGCAAGAGCCAATAAGCGTCGTGTAGGGAACTTTATTTTTTGGCGAGAGAATCATCCAGCCCAGGGTTGGATGACCAGATCTGGACACGGGCTTCTGTGTGTGTGGTGTATGGGTATGAATGGATGTTTTCGTGCTCACTTGCTCCTTTTCATTTGCATTTCATGCTCCGCAAGCTCTTTGAGATCTTTTCATCCAGCACCTGTTAGTCCACCAGCGTAGTCTTTTAAGCCTGCTTGGCCCACTGGCAGAACATTGGCGTCCTCGACGTAGTGACGTAGGTCGTATAGAGTGGGTTTTTTTATTTTGGGTCAGCCCGGTTAGGATAACTGCAGTCACACTTGTTAGGTCGCTTATTTAGGCGCAGATTTGTGTGGTAGAATATTTTGTCGGTAGAACTGTTTGTATTTGCCCGGAACAATTGTCGTAGGTCGCCCGCTCTTGTAGCCGGACATCTTCGACGTTAGGCTTGTTTACTGGTAGA